GTACCCGCTGTTGTGGCGCTGCAAAAATCTGTTACTCTATGCACAAGTAAAATAAAAATAAAGAATATTTTAAATAAGTAAGGTAAGTCTGAAATCCCAGTGTAGATGTTGAGGCTTTATTAAATAAATTCAGAGTTGGTCAAGTGGACCCCATTACAAGCCTTCATCTGTCTCAAATCAGGTCAACAAAATCTTATTTTACCTAAGCTACATAATAAGTTAAAGGATCACTATAGTGTCAGGAAAACAAAGCGGTTTTCCTGACACTATAGTGCCCTGAGGGTGCTCCCACCCTCAGGGGGCCCCCTCCCGTGGCGCTGAAGGGCTTAAAACCCCTTCAGCAGCTTACCTTAATCCAGCGCCGGAATCCCTCGGCGCTGGTGACCTCTCCTCCCCTGCCGACGTCAGCTCCCCCGGCCGTCAGCGGAGCCGAATGTTCATGCGTGTGCATTCAAAGTGTCCATAGGAAAGCATTTCTCAATGCTTTCCTGTGGACGCTCTGTGTGATGGAGGAGAAATATGCCTCCAGCGTCACAGATGCGCCTCTAGTGGCTGTTCGGAAGACAACAACTAGAGGCTGGATTAACCCTAAATGTAAACAGCAGTTTCTCTGAAACTGCTATGTTTGCATCTGAAGGGTTAAAACCTGAGGGACCTGGCACCCAGACCACTTCACTGAGCTGAAGTGGTCTGAGTGACTATAGTGTCCCTTTAAGACTTTGCATGAGATTTTATGGCTTTTGAATTATTTTACAAAAGCCTATCTAAAGCCTAATATACTGCCAGTACCAAGATATGTGTAGAAACTGGCACACACAATGGATTATATGGAGCAATGGGCTGTAGTAAATATGGAATGCTATTACTAAAGTGGTTACAGTTACTGGATGTACGTGAATGTTAAGAAAGTGAAAATCACTGGTTGTGGAAGGGAAAATAAAATAAATGGTAAATGAAAACAATACTGTAAAAAACTAAAAAAAAAAAAAAAGGAAAAAAAGTGTATAAAAAAAACCCCAAAACTATTTTTGCCTAATTTTTTACCGTTTTTTTCACCCTCTTCTTAGTAGCTTACTTTTCTAAATATCCATTACTTTAAAAAAAAAAGTGGGACTATTTTTGTGGTTTTCAAGTTATGCACTTCAGGGTAAAGAACGCACAAGCAACTTATACCAGATGGTTGTGAATTAGGGATAACAATACACTAGAAGGATTTGGGAATTGTTATAGACAACAAACTAGGCAACAATGTCCAATGTCAATCAGCAGTGGCTAAGGCCAGTAAGGTATTAAAATCAAAAATAAAAGGAAGTGATGTATCATCTTTAGTATTTTTAGTTTTATAGTGTAGGAGGTTGGTTATGAGTAATTTTGATCTAAAAATATATATTTTTTTAAGCTGTGACTGATTGTTAAAATGCTCTAATAAAGTGCAATTTCTCCCAATTCCTAGTAACTGGCTTTTAGGGATGTGATTACTCCAGTGCTGTAATAATAGCTACCCTAGTCTATAACAGCATTGGTGTGTGTATGTATATATATATAAACACAAGATCCAGCGCACTCACCTATCCACTTAACAGCAACTTCAATGTTGAAAGATTTTATTAGTTTTTTTTTAAAACACCTAATCTAGGCAAAAATAATGGGGGTTTAGTTACATTATATGATCATACATTGCATAAGCCTGCCACAACAATGTATGATCATATAATGTAACTAAACCCCCATTATTTTTTGCCTAGATTAGGTGTTTTTAAAAAAACTAATAAAATCTTTCAACATTGAAGTTGCTGTTAAGTGGATAGGTGAATGCGCTGGATCTTGTGTTTTGTATTATTTGGCCCCCAGCAGCACCCCCATTTATGCATGTTCAGGTGAGTGCAGCCAACCCCCCCCCTTGTTTCATTTATATATATATATATTATTTTTTTTATTTTTTTTTTAGAGTGTGTGTATTGATTTTACGGTCTTTAATAAAAATCTAAAAAGTTAATTTCAAGTTTATTGTACCCTGATCTGAGGATACATTTATCAGTGTTATTATAATTATATATATATATATATATATATATATATATATATATATATATATATATAATATAAGTTAAGATTTTTTTGATTTGTTCCAAATAAAATAAATAGGTCACCAATAAAGCGATAGTAGTAAACCAGACTTGAGCTCCAAGCATGCTCCCCTTATAAGGCAATGGACTTCCAATCTGCTATAAATAGGTAAGCATAATACGGAGCGACCCTGGCCCTCATAGCTGTTCCCTGTTTTTGCAAGTAAAATTAATCTAAAATCCCAAAATAATTATGTAAAATTAAATTAATCCCTTCAATAATAAAGTACATTTCTTGGTTAGGGATAGCTTCAACTTTGTAAAGTATGTTATAAAACACTTAACAGCCCTTGTTTTGGGGAATAATGGTGTATAGCGACTGAACGTTGCAGGTGACTAGTACATAGTTTGATATAATTGAGGGCTTGGATAATGGACATAGAGTCTTCCAAATAAGATTTACTATTTTTTGTTTACAGAGGGTTGTAGGATAAGTCTAGATATTCTAATAAGTTTCTTAGTACAAAGCCAATACCAGAGACAAAAGGTCAACCCTGTGAGTTTATTTTTTTTTTTTGTGTGAGTTTTAGGAAGGAGGTATAGTATAAGAATTTGGGATAAAAACTACTCAGAAAAACATTTAGATTTAACAATAGAAAAACTAAAACAAGATAGAACCATACTTCTACGGTATAAAACTAAAATTACTAAAGATGCCCCATCACTTCCTTTTGTGATTTTAGTAACAAAAAAAATCTAAACTATAATAAAAACAAAAACATTATTACATCTTAAGATCTTATTCCCCACACCATCAAATTATCTTCAGAGGGCACCGAACTTAAAAAAAAATATCTTACAAAGCATTATACCAATAAACACAATATTACTAGCAGCAATTTATGTAACTATACAGGTTTTTAATGTTGTATTGAAAGTAGGACTAGTGTTCTCACATTTGAAAGAGCAGTAGTTCTGCTCAAATTAATGTGATTTTCTTTTCTTTTGTTCTTTTATATTCATAGATTTTCCCAGGCTTGAGACTTTGGCAGTTTGAAAGAAGCTGGACATTTTATCAGTTTTTAGGGTCGAAAAGATATTTTTTTTTCTTTCATATATCTATATTAGTACCACCAAGTCTGCCCTGGGAGCTCTTTGTTATTATGAAGAACAATGTGATGGTGGTTCCATCAGAAAGGATTAATGTCCAAGATATACAATTTGCAATATTCTAAAATATTGTAAATATATAAAACAATAAAATTCTAAAACCTAGAACTAAGGTATATTCAACAAGCAAATGAGATCTGCATGAGGTCTGGGGGTGGGGGAACCATATGAAAGGTAGCTCATCTTCCTGTCCGCCCGCACCTCACTCTTCTGTCAGTCCCTACATTGGCTTCCTATAAAATATAGAGCTCAATTAAAAATTCTGATTCTTGCTTTCAAATCTCTACATAATGCTGCTCCCACCTATCTATCCTCCCTTATACACAAGTATGTCCCGTCTAGGCCCTTACGATCTGCTGAAGACTTACGTCTATCTTTTGTCCGTACTCCCACCTCTGATGCTCGCCTTCAAGATTTCTCGAGGGCTGCACCGTTCCTGTGGAATTCGCTTCCCTCCTCCGTTAGATGCTCACCCAGTCTCCACTCCTTCAAAAAATCATTAAAAACCCACTTCTTCATTAAAGCGTATCAATTAAACTGTTAATAGCTCCTGACTGATTCCTCTTCTGCAACTGTCACTAGTCTAATACTATCCTTACCTTTTTGTGTCATTTTACCCCACTCCCTCTAGCATGTAAGCTCATTGAGTAGGGCCCTCAACCCCTCTGTTCCTGTGTGTCCAACTTGTCTGGTTACAACTACATGTCTGTTCGTCCACCCATTGTAAAGCGCTGCGGAATTTGACGGCGCTCTATAAATATCATAATAATAATAATAGCTACAGGAGTCTCAATCTGTGTAAAGTCACAAGAATATATATTTAAGATAATTTTTAGATGGTACACAATTCTTACAAAACTTTTTTGGATGGGGAAGGCACAAAATGTTTTGTGGTAAAATAGGCAATTACTGCCACATGTGGTGTACCTGGTGGAAACTCACTAGTGAGACATCAAGAACATCTTGTTTGCAGCCTTTAGAAGACCTTTTGATTTGGACCCGTAGTCCTTTCTTTTGTCACACCCTCTGGATGGTCTCTGCTCCGATTCATCAAGTCAGTGAAGTTGCTACAGTGCATGGAGTAATTCACGTTCATAATGTTTTGTACATGCTTTGACCACAGATTGACAGGAATTGTAATGTTAAACTTACATGTTTATTCAGTAATGTGAAAATTGTCCGAAACAAAGTAAGTTAAAACGTAAGGCCTTAATATCACAGACTATTCTCACTTTAATGAACAATCCTTTACATTTCATTCTGCAGTTCATAGTAAAAAAATAAATAAATTAAAAAAATAAAAAAATTCCAGAGATTCATCAGAAAAGTCCCATTCCGGACAATTTAATGGTTGCATTGAGATCATGTCATCCACAAACGCAGAGACACAATAGGACATTACAGTCCAACACCAGCATCATGAGAAACACAGTTCCTAAATCTTGTGTAGTAAAATATAAAAATATATATATTTTTAAATCTATAATTGAAGCAGGGCACCAACAACTTAAGAGCCACCTGGAATCTTCTTGTTTCTGTGCTTGTCTTACCCAACTCATATACTTCCTCCATAAATCCCCTATGCATATTTCCTGCAGATCTAATTTGCTGTCTTCTCCACCCTCTTCCCTATCCATAGTTCAGTCTTTAGCTAATCTTTTACCTTTTATCCTCAATTAATATAAAGAAAATGCCCAGCAAGAATCTTGCCCCTCCCTCCCCCAAGAAGTAAACCCCCCGCCCCCCAAAAAACAACTCAAAAAATACCTTTTGTTCGCTTTAATTTATTGAAAATTTTGTTTGTGGAACATAATGTCCGGGTATTTAATGCCAGAAATGCAGACAATGAAACAAGATTGTACAAAATGCGAATTACAACCAATTAACAGACACAAAGTCAATGAAATATCCAAATAAGTGGGATATGTTATAAGCTTTCAATTTGTTTTACACAGGAGATACCATGACATTTTAATTTTTTTTATTTTTTTTATTTAAACGCTATTTCTACATACAAAGTATTTTATTAGGTATCATCCACATTATGTCTTCAAATCCACAAGATCCTTGGCTATAAAAAGACTATTTGCCAAGAATCTTCTTTAGTGAACATTCTATGAAATAATGAATGAATGCCAAAAACAAGGTAAATCCAAAAGATATGTTCTTTGTTGTAATTGCACCTTCAAAATGATGTACATTCTTTCAATTTCAACAAATGTTTAGTGTCTGATCAAAACCGACAGCATTTCCACCTCCATAAGGAAGGCACACGTGTCTGACTATAACTTCGTCTTGAAGAAGACCACTTAAAATTTACAAAACAAAATATAGATAAATGGCAAAGCATGATCGATCTCTAAATGAAAGCTAAGGGCCCTACTTTGAAACAGAGCCCATATATAATTACATACATATAGATATAATTTAGCAATTACCAACACATTCATTTACTTCCAGCCATCTATGACAACTTATAACTTTGTCCATATACCAAAAAAAAAGTAAAAACAAAACCCTGCAAAGGCCACTGCCATCCTTTTATAGTTACTTTTATAGTTACTATGTAACTGTGTCAGGTTTTGGTTTGTGCAAAGACATTAGGCAAAAGTTGATTCAGCTGCAAATATAAGCAAAGGACATAGAATACAACTTTCAGTTTATTTTAGTGCATGTCTCTTATTTAAAGGAACACTATAGTCCCCTAAATTACTGTAGCTAAATAAAGCAGTTTTAGTGTATAGATCATCCCCCTGCAATTTCACTGCTCAATTCAATGTCATTTAGGAGTTAAATCACTTTGTTTCTGTTTATGCAGCCATAGCCACACCTCCCCTGGCTATGATTGACAGAGCCTGCATGAAAAAAAAAAAACTGGTTTCACTTTTAAACAGATGTAATTTACCTTAAATAATTGTATCTCAATCTCTAAATTGAACTTTAATCACATACAGGAGGCTCTTGCAGGGTCTAGCAAGCTATTAAGATAGCAGGGGATAAGAAAATCTTAATTAAACAGAACTTGCAATAAAGAAAGCCTAAATAGGGCTCTCTTTACAGGAAGTGTTTATGGAAGGCTGTGCAAGTCACATGCAGGGAGGTGTGACTAGGGTTCATAAACAAAAGGGATTTAACTCCTAAATGGCAGAGGATTGAGCAGTGAGGCTGCAGGGGCATGTTCTATACACCAAAACTGCTTCATTAAGCTAAAGTTGTTCAGGTGACTATAGTGTCCCTTTAAAGGGGGAGAAGGTCAAGGGAAGGTTACTATGGTTTCAACACAATTCACATTTGTGGTTGCGGAGTTTGAGATTAGAACAGAAAAATGTTGACAGTATCCCAATGTGTATAAAATTTTGATAACAAAACTAAATGTAATATTTACTTTAAAAAAAATTATGGCTTTTTAGCCAACCACTAATATTTATATGCCAGCCCACATCTCTGTACAATATGTATAACAATGGCTTGTTTCTACAAATTAGTTTAATAGCCAGTGATGCGTTAAAAAAAAGCTATTGTTAAAAGGCACATTTTTATATATATATATATATTTAAAAAAAATTGAAAAAAAAAAAAAAGGCTGAACAACCAGTGATTTAATGATAACGTACAATGTAGCTGTTAAGAAGTCCAGCATTGCCCCTTACACAGCAAATGGAGTAAAATCATTGATGGATTACAGACACATCATATTTAACTAATCTGCATAAACAGATATATACACACACACACACACATCTAGAAGAACGTCCTCACAAGGCTTTAAGGACACACACATACATGTTTTCATGTGTCAAGCGTTTCACAATGCAGTATTTATATGTTGCTCTGTTTACCTATTCAAGATGTAGTTTGGGAACATAATACATCCATAAACAGTATTAAAATCTATACATAGCCAGATAAATTAACTGAGATGTAGATCTCCCATGTTCACGGAGAATTCAGCCCTATGAAAAAGTAATTGTCTCATTGTCTATTGGCAAGATTTTTAAAGAACATATATATGTATGTGAAGTATATGTGTGTACAATTCTATATTCACAACTAATTTAATCATAGATTAATATACAACTACTTGCACGTTCCTTCATAGCTTAAATAAATATAGACATATTTAGACATGGAGATTATTTATAAGGTCTAGGAAAGTCCCAAATGTGTGTCTGGGTTTGCAGACCAGCTCTTGGAATGAGAACCTGGATTGTAAGGGTACACGTGAGATATAGTCTAATGATCTTAATGCCATTAAATTCTATCAATTCTTGTTTCCCAGTCAGTAACATTTACCCAAAATCAAGAGCTGGAGTTTGTCTTCCCATTACTAGGGTTGGTGAAAAATCCAATTTTCAAATAATCCTGCAACACCCCTTAAATCAAAGCTAAACAGATTATTAGTCATGGGGAAAAAAAAAAATAGTACATATCTTAGGATCTTACTTATTGACAATGGAAATAGATCTTTATAATTAGAAAAAAATAAATATAATATAGTAGATTTTGGTTTTAAGATATTTCTGCCGTTTCAAAACATTTGTTTTGCCTCCATAACTAGTCTACAACGTAAAAACCATTAGCACAAGCCTATTTTTGTCCTAGCACATACTAGTATCCTTGATTTACACATACTTCAATATTCATGTAATTTTCCAAAATCCTTAATGTTATGAAATACATTTATACTTTTTTTGTTTTGTTACAATGGTCCCAGGTTTTAGCAAATACAAAATTAAATTCCTTACACTGACCAGGAACCGTTGTCAAGATAAAATGTTTGCATATTAATAGCAGTCAGGCTAAAATATAGTATACATAACGTCTAACTCGTTTATAGCAGAATACATTGCCTCAAAAAAAGGAAAAAAATGTGTGTGTGTGTACGTGTATATATTTTTTTTTAGTTGCCAATCGGATTTGAAACCTGAATATTTACGCAAACCATATCTCTGGAAATCATAGGGGAAAAAAAATATAAATAAATAAAATAAAAATTTGCTTCATTCAAAATAACAAAACTCTTTCAAAATGTCAGTTCTAAAGAGCCATCATAACTATGTCAATACTGAATCGGATGGTAATACTTTGAAGTCATGCCAAACTATCAAAGCTTTAGTTTGTATAGAGGGCAAACATTTGGGTTGCTGCAAACCATTTCTACCAGAGGAGAGTCCAAAAAGAAAATCTACGAAGTTAGAGTACATGGACTAAAGAAAAACAGCTGGAAAAAGTTCAATACTTTAAATTAAAAGCAATCTTATAAGGTCTATAGGGATACGTTTTCTAGTTACATTATGGAACCCAGATTCATTGCTACTAAAAGTAATGGCCTCAAAGCTAAAAAGGAAATTCCTCAGAATTGAGGTAGTTACAAAATATGGGCACATTTTCCTGCATCTCACATCCTCACGAAAACTATTTACAACTGTTCTTTCTTCCACAAGCTTATTTTTTTTCCCTTTTCCTGGAAAAAAACAAACAAGTAGTTTCCAGATGAACCATTCTGTTATGTTTTAATAAATAATGGCTAAAGAAATTACCCCTCAAAATATGTGTGTTTAAAATTGAATATTCTATGGCAAAATTAGTAAATATGTTTGGGAATTAACTCTACAAATCTGTTCCTTTTTACTCTAGATATAAAATACATTTAGACAAATACGCAAAATGTCAACTTCTTGTAACTGTAAAAGTAAGCTTTACTACATTTTTACAAAAAAACAAAAACAAATCTAAAATACATTATAGGAAAGATTTTTTTTTTAATTTTTAAAAGTAAATAAGTAAAATCTTGAATTCAGACTATGGAGCAGAACTTAAAATGATATGATATGGACACTTTAGATTTGGAATTCAGTTTATAATAGACACATAAGTACCATTATAAAGCAAATAAATCACCCTGAGCTGATAATGAATTGAAATTCGTATCTGAATGCTAATTTTAAAGATATTGCAAACAGTACATCATTAGGGGAAACTTAAGAACATTTGTTGTGTTGTGTAGTATTAAAAAACCTGGACAACACCTCAAGCAATTGATAAGTTGAGTTGAAATGTCTAGGTAGGATGTCTGCAATATTATTAATTTGCAACGTGTTAGTCACGCTTATATGCCCTATGGTGCTATACAAGCTAGAATAATGATAAGAAAAGAAAAAAAGATTTAATATTGCATGTATAAAAGAGTGTATAAAAATAAACAATGCCACTGTTGAGAGAGAAAAATATGACCCACAAATGACTGTCTTCTTGAAACAATTTAATAGCATGGCACCCAGAAGAAGCAGTCATTCACATCGTTGTCAACAGTATCACTATTTAGTACAACTTGGTAACACACAAAATCACACGCGCACATGAACACACATACACCAAATTAATGAAAATCCTAATGTTGCATCTGAGTGATTTTTTTGGGTGTTTAGAAGCACACAGAAAAATATAAAAAATAAAAAAAATGACAAAAATAAGGATCTATTACATACAGTGATAAAAACAGGTTAAAACAAACTTATTTTTTACGGTTATCAAAGGCCTCTTTGCTTGCATTAAGTAAGCTGTATTATTGTTATTGTAGCCAGTATTATTACTGTGTAGCAGTGGATTTAGCCCAAACACTTGGTCAACGTACCAAATAAGTCATTGCAATTCGTACTAGTTGAGACCAATTTTGAGATCGAGCAAGCGCAGTATTGCCATATAACTGAAATCTTAACTCGAAGAAGCATATGTTGCTGACTGCTTGGTCATTTTTTTCCTCTCAAAGAAGTTGGTTACAATGATAAATAAAAATAGCTTCTGTACAGATATCTCAATAAAAAAAGCATAATTGTTACATGCCAAGGTGTGACCATAGTATTAATTGTGTGGAAATGTGATAAAACAATAATGCATAGCTACCTACAAATCTATATATACATGTTTTGTCTGCCACATTAAACCGGACAGGTCATTAAGGTCCATATCCCACCCCAATGATACTGTGGGTTACAGGTGGATCCAACTTGAACCAGTGGCAACATAGTAGAAATGGCACACCTTTGTCCGTTAAAAAGACGAGTCAATTGATGGTAAAAATGTGGAAAAGGTGCAGTTCCATATTGAGAAAATAAGTCTCTTCGCTATAGCATAAAATCCACTTTCATTATCTCAATTGCCTCAGCAAAACCAAGGTGTTGAGAAGCAGGACTAGTAGTGAGACAGTGCTGGTGGAAGCTGCGCTGGGCTGTTCTTCCTTTCTATTGTCACCCACTGGCTTGTGCTTTTTTGGGTTTATATTAGGCTCATCTGTGCTGTTAAACACAAATTCTCCGGAACACTTCTGAGGATCACAACCGCTGCCGCTTCCTTCCCCACTGCTCTCGTCACCTGCAAAGCCCAAGTGGAAAATGTTTAGAGCGCTTGTCCTTACAGCTCTCTTTGAGCAAGAAATTATTTTGGCGAAACAATACTTACTTATATCAATGAAATTCACATCGTTCCCATTATAGGCGTTCTTCATTTTATTTGTCATTACTCGTAACGCCATGATCTGCTGACGGATCACCATGTCAGGCCTTGTGATATCGACTATAACATCAGGGTTGTTGATCTGATTCGCCAAGCCGTTTCCCATAACTGCATACAAGTACCTGAAACAAAAACAGCAACCATTATTCTTTGCATGTCAATATTAGAATTATATAATATTTTGGGGTCATAGATATTCCATTAGTTTACAGGGATGTTCCATGCAGCACAACCTATGAATTTGCACAGGATTTGGTGTGAGCAGGTTTCTTATCCTTGTACACATCCTCTGAGTTACCTATTTTGTTGATTTGCAAAAAAAATTGCGGAGCTCTAACATGTCAGTCATTTTTTTCGACTTAGAATCAATTTTCTGAAATATGTTTTTCTCCCAATCTATACATTTGCTAGCACAATGTATAGATATAGAATTTAATGCTACTGAAAAAGTTGTACATGGAATGACAGCTACCCTTTTAAAGTTTAAAACCAAATCTAAATGTATCCATTTCATGAATAGCACTTGTAGAAGCTCTTAACAATGCAAGATGGATGTGCTAGGATGCGCTGCAATATGTAGTCAAGGGGAATTAAGTCCTGAATATATCAACAGGATGTTTCAACAGGTTTTATTTCATAAAAAGTAAATAGCTGGTAGTTTGGCATGGCATCCCAGAAATATGTCTAATAGCACTTTATCCTTCAAGCAACAATAGTCATTACTCATTCTCAATACAAACAAAGATTCTCAATACAAGTAAAGAAAATTTTTCATAAACAATACATTTTACATAAAAAGTTTGCATCATAACATAGCATGTACAACAGAATCCCAAAATGCCAAAGCTTCTTCTGAGCTCAACTGGGGAGTACATTTAAATGTAAAATCTGGCACAAAATTCTAAAAATGCAGCAAGTGGTAGGAACATTTTACTAATTTCAATGAGTGTTCCTCTACTTTTAGAACTTGAAAACACAATCATCACACCAACCTGCTCTTGTCGCTTCCATTCCAACAGTCATCTTCATTGGCTCCCGATGTCCAGTTATTCTTACAAATGCTTCCAGGCAGGGAGGACCAGAACTTTTTAGCATTCTTCAACTTTTCTTTAACATCTGCCACCTGCAGACAAAAGATATCATTGGAGGATTTGCATACGATTATATATCTGTGCAAATATAAATTGCTAAACAGTTCAACTGAGTATTCAAAATATTAGATCAGGCCCTGGTATGAAGGAAACATGCAAAATGGTTTCAAGTCTGGATCAGTCAGAAGATTATATCCTTTTATCGTGTAAGCCACTGGATCATAGTTTTCCTGTCACTCAAAAACCTTGAGGATATTAACTACAGGAAAAGAAATAGAGAGGCACAGCTGTGAAAGCATATGTACAGTGGACGGTGTTTAATAATCTAAAAAAAATGCAAAAAAAATCCAACAGGCATCATTAATTTGTATGAGAAAACAAAAGCTTACCAGTCTATCTAAGCTTGTACCAGCAGCTGTTGTTGGCCTTTCTTCGGGAGCATAGGATCTAAAGCGAGAGTTGAATCCTACATCTGAAACCGAACGGGCAGTTCTTCCTGGAGGAAGAGGTTTTGGCTGGCCACATCCTTGGAACACCTTTAAAGGTAATGGCACAGATTTGAAAAGAATGCATTGAAACTGTCGGGTAACAATCTGCCAAAGTATGAACTTCTTTTCAAAACACGAGGCTGATTTGTTTTATATTGCTTTGCTTCTTCAAACTATGTAAGCCAGATTTTACATTCTTCTGGTTTAACATGGCAAAACTAGCAATATGTTAATGAACCACTAGGGTACCATGGCATCGTTGCAATGAATTTATAATAGTGTGAGGAGGTCCCGGGCAGCATTTTACAGTAACGAACGGTTCAATCCCCAAAGTGGGCTAGCGCTCACTCTGCCCTTCCCTTTAATCAGGAATCCTCGGAGTAGGCAATGTTCACCATGTGAAACGGTTATTTAATGTAAAATACAAGCAAGTTTTCCATTACTGTCTATTACAGGTTAGACCATCTGAATTCTTGTGTACATACTTTTTCGGAGACTTGCACGCTGTTTTCTTGCATGTTCATTATGGCGTCAGAAATCTTCACATCAATTGGGTCCATGACAGTTTCAATGTTAAATGGGCCCTCCAGCCGCTCTGCTACCATTAACATTGCATCTATAAAACAAGAGTTTTTAATATAATAGAGGTGGAAAAAGTGAATGCCATTCAAATTACTTTGAAACAAGTTCCACTGCCTCTGTTGCAACAAATGCTAACACTTGTAACTGTATTGATTTATACAGTGTATGTCTGTTCAAGATGCATCAGCTACTGTAGCCTGCTAAAAAAAAAGAAAAAAAAAGAAAAAAGGAATATGGTCATTGCCAGCAATCCTTTTTTCCCCCTGAATTTGAAACATTTTATAAATGAATTGCATACATTTAAAAGAGATAGGCGACCTACCAAAACTTCCGCCCCATCTCCCTACTGAATGCAAATGTGAAGTTATACGCCAAAATATTAGCAAACAGAATGGCAACATTTATACCACGTATAGTTAACACAGATCAGTCGGGCTTTGTTCGCAACAGGCAGGGGTCAGATAACAAGTGCAAAATATCGAACATTATATCACACATGCAAAAGTCAAAGAGAGAAGGTCTTCTACTGGCATTATATGCAGAGAATGTCTTTGACAGGCTCAATTGGCGGTACATGGAGAAAGTTCTCACGAAATTTGGGTTTCCAAAAGGCATTCACAGCTGGAATCCTAGCACTCTATAATCGACCCAACAGGTGGGTCAACTTTGAGAGTCCCTGAGACACCAAATGTGATGCTGACCGGAGAGAAAGCCACTGGATTAACGGAAAGCCCTGCTGCAGGATTCCTGGACACAGCTTGGAGTAGGAGACCTCATGGAGCAAAGGTGAAACCAAAATGGCGTCTTGTATGACCTGGAAGTGGATCTCATGCAAATAAATAAAATAAATAAATATATATATATATATATATATATTTTTTTTTTATTAACTTATAATATATATATTATTAACTTTCAAAAGAAAGGACTCCATATTGGGTTTAATAGCTCAGGCATTTAATGTAAATGATTCCATGATTCCAATCAAACCTCTGGCAAAGTTCCTCAATGGGACTGCAAAACAGGTTGTTATTAATGCAGCGTCGACTCCACTTAGACAAACTAAAAAATGCCCCAAGATGACTTTCCAATTAAACCAAAATGATTCATCTCTAAAGGATAGCTACAGAAACTCATGGATGAAAACATAGAATTACTATTTAAAATGTCAGCTTTCAATATCTAGTTCATTCAGTGTAATTTATACATCTTATTTGGCAAAATGCATCAATGTTTAGTTGAATGAATATACTATAAAACATTAAAGCTGTTATTGCCATATACAGACAGAGAGAAAGTGATGAGGTGCCTGGGTATACACATGAGCATGTATGAAAAATGCAAAAAAACTGCATACATTTTTCAAATATAACAAATTATGTTTAAATCTGAAATGGTGCATGGAAGGGTATATTTTCCAAGCTGAATATTTCCTGTAAATGGGCACTTTGTGTAATGAAGTTGCTGAGATTCCAAAAAAAACTGTACATTTTGTGAAAGCAGGAAGACTATTCTGGCAGACCTTTATCTATTAATAAGACTTCGACCAAGACAGTGTTATTGGATCCTTTACCAGAAATAGGTCAAATGGCCACCCGTTAACTAATGTAAATCTTCCAAGTGCAGGTACTGAGGCTGTCAACAAGACACATTAACACCAGACAGTGTACAGCAAGTACAGATTGAAGAATATGTTATAATTATAGAAAGAGCCAACAACGCTATCAGTTTATTCAATGAATGCTGAATATCAACCTTTTACGATTTTTTTTATAAAACAAGAATGAACCTGAGATTTATGCACAAAACCGTGAGATGCGTTGTATTAGAGAGCTGAGACAGTCAGGAGGTTTTTTTTATTATTTGTTTATTCTAGCTCGCAATATTTGTTGCGGTCACACGAATCAGGGTTGCTTTTTGCTGCCTGTTGCTCAGTAAATTTAACTGCAAAGACCAGTCATCAATGTGATTTTAACACGTGACTCATTCCGCATATACTGATAGAAACTCTGCAAAGCATATTCTCAAATACAAGCTCATTGGTATACAGCCCAACTACTGTATACTAAATTTTTTTTTTTTCTGCCAACATTTTTTTTTTGTATTGGACTACTATTTATAATATTTCTATGGTTCTCAAAAAAGTATTTTTACTTTTTATTTATTAATTTTAAAAGGGACCTGAATTATAGAAATGTCATTAGTTGAAAAACTATTTTTCAACACAAATATGTTATCTGGTGAATAAATTTTGCAAAACACCTTCAGATTCTTCCCAGATTCAAAATGATCTTCGCTGCACACAGGAACTGCAAGCTGTTTCATGGGATCTGACCAATGATGTACCAGTTTCCGTTTCAGTGAGAAAAAGTTGCATTATGTAAAATTAGTAGCCACATAAAAAGGCAGAAAAAGGGGGAGAGATTGACTTGGCTACACCCAAAGGGACAACCAAAATTCCTGCCCCCAGATGTTACTATCCTTGGCCCACATCTGCAAAAACGTTATGCACACCGTCCAAAAATATCAACAGACATGCTTAAAATCAGAAAGCTTTTTATAGAAACCTTTAAAAATTATATCAATTCATACCAGAAAATATGTAGCAAATATAAATAGGGCCCTTAAAAAAATAAAAATAAATTAAAATTAAATATATACACAAAACCAACCAAACAAATGTTTCAATCACAATTAAAGTTTTTTGTTTTTTTTTGTTGTTTTTTTTAAATACCATAAAAGTGATATGTAATTAAAAATAAATAAATTTGCTGTTTATCAGAGAAAAATGCTAGGCTACAATAAAACAATAATACCCCAAAACACTAACACAAATAACTAAATATATATTCTCGTCTGGCTTTTCACGAACTATGCTCTGAAAAGAAACGACAAAGCCTCTCACTAAGGAATTCAATTGATCTGACCTGGAGACAGGAATCTGACTAAATGAATATTTTGTTGAAAAAAGAAAATGTAATAAAACAAAAGAGTCAGACTTTTTTGTGATGGTCTTCAATAAAAAGTTGCTTCAAATCCCTTTGCAAAGACTGCTGGCATGAATATACTATTGTGATACGGAAGAGAAAAAGTCTTTTGATGTGTCAGCAAACGAGGCTTGGTAAATAAAAACGCACAAGCCAAACTTGCCGGCTGTCTTAGTAGCCATTCTTTAGTTTGTAACGGGCCAGGTTAAGGAAGCTCCCTTTTACATTTTAATATGGCAAGCATTCTCACTGTTCCATATAGAATTACAGTTTTGGTGTGCGATGGCTATTTGAAGAATTTTTTTTTTCATCTGGTAACTTTGTATTCCCTTAGTGGCCAAGGGAAGGCCCCCAGATCAATAATGTGTTTGTGAATGCCTGAAAAGAAACACAAACCCCAATTCTTCTGGCTGTTTGGGGTCTTTGTCAAAGCTGAGCTATCCAGGCCATACATAAGAGCATGGGAATTCTGTACGAATCATGGCTTTTTGTTAGTCCTGGTGCCATGGCGTTACATGTATCCCAGCGAAGGAATGCAGCTTTTCGCTTTTGTCTGCCCATATAGAAAAAGCATTTGGGCTCCAGCTGAGCACCTAAAGTATGCTATAAAAAGGTAAGGACTTGAATATGTAGTTGTGGACTAATTATTAAACTGTGGCTCTTCTGTAGCAGATTGACATTGACAGAAAAGAGCTCTTTAGAATTATAGAGTTACTGTATTTAATTTGTTCAGGTCTCACTCTACACAATTTGGCTGCAATCTCATTGCTGGCACCAGGAGCTAACCCTGCAAAGATCACCATGTCTTCATATAACAGAGTTTTGGGAATGTATATCATATATGTAGAAACCAAAGGGATGTACACTTATACCAGCTCTTCTAAATAACAGAAGGGAGGGTGTATTCGAAAGAAAGGAAAAAATAAAATGTGGACAGGTAACTGCAGTGTCTAAAGGTTTGGATCAATTTTATGCCCGGTGTTCCCAGACTGCCGTACTGCAAGGCAATCACAGAGTGGTGCAAAAAATAGGTAGCGGTGCATAGGTTAATGCTAAAGTGAATCAATGAATACATACAGGGCACATAGCCCTTTCTCAATGTACAAATGTCCCCGTGAAGTACCACAATAAGAAGGGTGCCCCGAATAACTCCCGTCCTTGGAGGTAAATAAAAAAAGTTCTAAAAAGTTAGATTATGATGATTTAACTTTGCGAAAATTAAATATACAGAGCACAAGAAAGCATGTGCAGCAACATAACTTATCAGATTTATTAATAAATATCCAATTGGATCAAAGACATGAGAAGTTAAAAATAAGCCAAGCCCTGGTCCTTCAGTGGTTAAAGACCACAATTAAAGAGAATTGATAAAAAAAAAAAAAGTGATCCATCTCCTTTCTCTGATTTACATGCTGTTAAAGGGGGGTATGAAATATTTATAATCATATGGCAACTGTACACATGCATCATCATAAATACATGTTCTAAGCAATGTTTGGTTTTCCTAGGTTACTTTAGTAAGTGGGAACCATGACAGAATGGCTGGCCTGAGAATTTTCGTTTACTAGTTATTTAACAAACATTTTTGAGTAGCATAATCCAATAATGCTGCCAAAACAAGATGTATAAGGGAGAAACTTTAATAAATAGAAAAAAAAATGGCATTTAAAAAATGCAATAATTTTGTCACTTTATTAACACAGACCTAAAACCTTAATGCTCTTAGTTTGGCTACTACTTTGCATATAATTAAGACAGCATCTGTGCCTTCGTGTCAGTGGGAGTCGTGATTGTCACCCCTGCCTTTGACAGTCACTCGCTGGTATCCCAAGAAATAAGAACCTTATTTGAGGTTTAGGAATGCTAACTAAAAACTGATCTGTCTGCTAAGGTAAGCTCATTGTAACTGTGCAATATGCTTTATAAAGAACTAAGTGGTAAGAAGATTATTTCCATGACTTCAGTGCAAAGTGGATGTGGATAATGTGCAATGAACGGTTGGTTGCTGTGTTTACGGGTAGATACTGCGTCAGGCTTCAATTTAACAAACTCTACATCACTGCTATGGCTGGTAAATATAAATGTATCTTCATTATTATAGTCACCAGAACAACTACAGCTTATTGCATTTGTTCTGGTGAGTAGAATCATTAGCTTCAGGCTTTTTGCTGTAAACACTGTCTTTTCAGAGAAAATGCAGTGTTTACATTACAGCCTAGTGATAACTTCATTGGCCACTCCTCGGATGGCTGTTAGAGATCCTTCCTGGGTCATGGCTGCCTAAAATGCATCCAAACATTCAGTGTCTCCTCCCTCTACATGCAGACACTGAACTTTCCTCATAGAGATTCATTGATTCAATTCATCTCTATGAGGAGATGCTGATTGGCCAGGGCTGTGTTTGAATTATGCTGGCTCTGCCCCTGATCTGCCTCCTTGTCAGCCTCGACCAATCCTATTTACACAGAGGGTAAAAAATGGGTTTGCAATTCTGTGAATCTGGGCAACTTTATTCTTTAACACAGCAAATTATACTTTGTTTATATGGCTCCTTGCCTCAAACAGAAAAGCTAACATTATACACATCAGTCAGATTAGTTGTACTAAATCAGAAAAGCCTAATGACAGATACACAAAGCAATTTGCTGTCAGAGGCTTCTGGAAAAAAATAAAAAATAAAATCTTAGATAAACAACTTAAATCATAAACAAATATAGTGATTTCTGTGTTCTAAGTCATGTATATTAATACATTTTTAGCCATTTGGGATAAACGAAATGGCAACACACACACTTCCACCTGAGGGCGATAATGCTCTTTGGAATGGATAATAAGCAAGTCTGAACATTTCCTGTTCATAAACAAGTCTCTTCACGGAAAGGGGTATTTGCATCATGAAAGCATCATCTACAAATACTCTTTCTTGGTGTCACAGAACGCGTTTGCAGTACAGTGAGATAGTTACACTTTCAGCAGACAGTGAAACATTGAAAAAGCATTCTTTGTGGTACTCGTTTGATTTAATAAACAGGAGGCAAAAACCCTTAAAATCATCTTTTTCTTAATGGGAAAAAAAAAATATTTCTCTAAAAAAATATTGCGAAAAAGTAGTTTATCTGAACAGGAGCTAGGATCATTCCATTGGCCACTGCGTCTAAAAAGAATTTGGGGTAGTGTATCTGGGGCAAAGCTCTGCATTCCTCTGGTTTCCAAGGAGATAGCTCCACTTTGAAAACACTGCGCCAGAATTCTTACGCTAAGGTTTAATCTAACTGGCAGACAAAATATAACCACATTTTGTAAAAGCTAAATTTTCAGTACAACAGTTATGTAGAAACACCATGAAATGAAATATAAAAATACATGATGTGACTTCTGGAAGATCAACTAAAAGTATGATGCCAACAAAACAAAAAAGTGATTTTTTTCCATGCCAATTCAAAATACAATATTTTTTTTATATTATGCCTTCATTAAAGTGGTTAGAATTCTTACCAATAAAGTTGTTCCATTCAGCGTCCAGGTCTCCAGGATTAGCGAGACAGCCTTTCATTACGTTCAGACAATAATTATTACAAGGTTTTACAGTGACAAGCCCACGACAATAAGGACAGTAGGTCATTTTCATCATTGCTTTAATACAGTGAGGTGTGGGATTTACCTAAAGGATATAAAAAATTTAAATAAAAAAATAAAAAAGACAAATTTGAAACGGATTTAAAACGCAGTGATATATTAAAATCTCCCAGTGCTTACAATAAATACCAGTGAAAATTAAACATTTATAGCAAGGAATTATTAACTGGATTATCATCCCTCCAGTTGATAAAGTTGCACACAGGTTCTCATAATTTAATATAATACTAATATAATTAACATTAGCACGGGTTTAAACACAAAGCATAAACTGTAACAGACAGACTGGGAGCAATTTATTTTTTTCCCAGAAGTGCATCTGATGTGCTGCAGAAAGTTTAGAACGAGGAATTCGCATGCGGATATTTTGCTCTGTGAAAGTTTATGTCGCTGACCTTACATTTTGTTCTGCTGTAACTACTTAAACCTTTATATTAACCTAAAGTAAAACAGCCAAGTTAATTATCCAAAAGAGAAAACAGGAAACAAGGTAGTAAAAACACAGACCTCTGATTACATTCAGAGTAAGTTAAACATCACAGTGTTGGAATGGGTCAATCAAATAATCTTATCTTCACTGGCATGTTTACCAAGGTGTAAATGTGCCCCCTATTACTTATCATATTAAAGCTTGTTTCAGGCTGTTAAATACATCACAGCACAAAACACTTGTTTAAACAAAGAATCCAGTTGTTCTCTTTCGAATGGTAATACACTGCATTGTATTTCATTAACATTACAAGTCACTGAAACCAATTATTCAATTAAGTAAAGCATACAATGTAAAGGTTTATTTGGGCTTATTTTTTACCCAGTCTGAATTTATGTCAAAGATTAAGGGCTGAGTGAGCACATTTGTGCTGCTATTGGTTTATTTGGAATGAAAAGATCTAAGCAATTGGTCAATCATTCTTGGATCAGGGAAGTCCATAATCCCCTATTAAAGGACCACTATAGGCACCCAGACCACTTCAGCTTAATGAGGTGGTCTGGGTGCCTGGTCCAGCTAGGTTTAAGCCTTTTTTTCTATAAACATAGCAGTTTCAGAGAAACTGCTATGTTTATGTTAGGGTTAATCCAGCCTCTAGTGGCTTCCGCGCTTCTCACTGTGATTTTCACAGTGAGAAGACGCCAGCGTCCAGCAAAGCATTGAGAATGCTTTGCTATGGACTGGCTGAATGCGCACGCGGCTCCTGCCGTGCATGCGCATTCAGCCGAAGAGGAGGAGAGGAGGCGGAGAGGAGGAGGAGAGCTCCCTGCCCGGCGCTGGAGAAAGATGTAAGTTTAACCCGTTCCTCCCCCAGAGCCCAGCGGGAGGGGGACCCTGAGGGTGGGGGCACCCTCAGGGCACTATAGTGCCAGAAAAACGAGTATGTTTTCCTGGCACTATAGTGGTCATTTAATGTATGGGCCTGACTGTGTTACTCCTATTTATCCGACAATGTCACAATTCAGAGATATGTAGCTATGTGGGTTTCAGTGGTGTGCTGGAGTGTATGTGGTCTGCCACTGTGCCACCTCATTTTCCTCTATACTGCTGCTTACATGATGCTAAAAGCAACAAGCACATTCACTCATATTGACACTACACACAAATACACAAGCAAGTATATATTCAGAGACATAATACCCACACTTTAGAGCCTTATGAGATTGTCCAAATGCTGACCATGTCTAATTAAGGTCTAAGCAGTTGCTTCTATTGGCAACTACATAAATTGCAGATATTTATAGATGGTATAAATTTACACATGGCTGTTTAGGAAAGGCAACTTGCAGATAATGCGGGAACTGAGAATGTTGCATAATGAACACTTAAAATCACTGTAAGGCTATGTTGATACATAGAACATCTTGTAGATAAAATGGAACCAGACTTGTAGTAAACATTATAATATTTACGGTTCTTCGCTCTGTTATGGTAACGCTCGCCTTAGCACTTCATCCAGAGAAGGTTGTTCAAGCAGTACCGTAAACAAGTCGATGGAGTTCAGATGGAGATACGGATGGTCAGCAAAGGCATTTGTGTTTGTTCAAGCAAAAATTAGCCAAGAGCTCAGCATTCCAAACTCCTGAACCAGTGACTTCTATATGCTAACTCTTCATTCCATGTAAGCAGTTATTGCACAAAAGTATTTTCTTGAACAGCCGAAGACTGACCAAAAGGAATTTTAGACTAGATATGGTACCTTTCAGAAGGAATAAACTACTGGTACATTCATTTATGGTGCAGTTTGCTGTATAGGTAGTTTTGTTTTCCCCAACATTAACTTCCAGAAACTCTATAGCAGAAGAAAATCACAGCTCATGTAAAACCTAACTTTACTTTCTCTCTCCTGGAAATGAAATAAACTTCCATACTGATGGTCATGGAGTTTGGGTCAAGAATACAGCTCTGGATAAATCATCAGGTAGCTGACTTACACAACATGTAAAAATACTAATACCACCACTACATCTTAAACCAGTAGTCAGGAAACATGTAGCCACGTAATGCTATTGTGTCTGCCCTTTGCCTCTCTGATCAGTTTAGAGATGTGAAAGGATTCTGGGTGAAGCTTAGGCGAGCATAAATGATCCACTCACCGACGTGTCTACAAGAACTGGAACCAGATGGCAAGTACATTTTTTCCTTGAATGAGTCTTCTTAAGCCTCGTTTCTGGCTTAACTACCAAGAATTGAATAGATCCCTTTACGACAAACCACATACAGCCAGCACACATCACACACACACGACATGCAGCCAGAATACACCACACTTGCACCAAGCAGTCAGTACTCTCTGCATGAACATCACACACAGCCAGCACCCACTGCAAATTCACATGACATACAGCCAGCATTCACCACACACACACAATGTAAAAAGGGGAGACTATGGGAGGACAGAGGGTAAAACACTTACGGTATTTCGCAAGACTAATTTTTGCAAAATAAATACAAATGGCAAAGCTGAGACAAATAAAGCCATGTCACTGTAGCAGAGTTATATAATTTTTCCACATTAGCTATTTTTGCCTCCATTGTTTTCATTCAGATTTATTTCGTGAAAATTCAGAGTTCAGCAAAAAATAAAAAAAATAATATATATCTGCAGTGGTCTGAAATTATATATATAATTTCAGACCACTGCAGATTCTGATAGAATGTCTTTTTTGTTTGCGAGCCCTCAGGGACCAGACAAATGTAAACCCAAGGAAGCACATGCCATGCATTACCACAGTGAAAGCCATCTCACACTACACCCTTGATTACATGTGTCACGCACACAGCATGATTAGGTTCCTTCCAAGTTTGTATGGGTTAAAGAGCACTGGTGAGGAAAGTGGGCCGTGTATGGTGTGTGTATTTAACAGATAGCAATCTTGATCCATATTTACTGCCCCCCTGAGTGCTGTAGGGTACTCCAGATCCTGGAAACGTAAAGGCCAATTCAGATCTGTTGAACAGATACACTTAAAAATTGTACTTTCATCAGCAAAACATAGGTCACTATTCAATATTCCAATTCAGTGATTTTGAAAAATACATCAGAATTATATCTATAGTACATGGTTGAGATATTGTGTAATTTTGCTTTCAAAATGAATTCTGAAAATAGCAAACTGCATGTAAATAACAAGGAAGAATCCAAGGAGAACTCCAGATGCTAAATTAAATATCCTGCCATGTTCGGTGCCCATCAGTTAGTGAATATTACATGTGATCATTTTTTTTTTATCTGATACATTTTCAATCCTGCAAAGTTTTTCCTGTATGCTCATATAAAAAGTTCTACATAAAGGAAACAATATAAAGCTGCTACCACACGGATGTAAATACTTCGCAAAATTTACACACACTTAACATGAAAAGAAAAGTATAACTGTGTGGCAAGGTCCACACCAGTTAAATCAGTGGAGCACCAAGATGAATAAAACACTGACCCCTTATTAACATAGGGGTACTTTAAATTTATAGCTTTAAAAGATCCATACAGTTTAAAATTAAGAAAAGTGTTGGAAATGCTTGAGGTAAATTCACTCACATACGGTAGAGACACTATTTGATGGGCTCAAATCAGAAGCGCAAGTGAAGTGTGTGCTTAAGTGACTCCAAACCTTTTCTATGATGAATCAGGAACCAGCTTCAGTAAAATATAATGTGGTAGAATTTTGTGTAGCATCAGAACAGCTCGCCTTAAACAGAGCCACTTATTGACCTGGCTCTAAGAGTACTTGCATATGTGTCTAAAAGGGAGACACTTCCCTGATACAAGACACCAACAGGACTTCAAAGTGCAGCGTTGCCAAATAAATATTGATTTATGCCAATAAGCACATACAAAAAAAAAATAGTTCAAAAACAATCTTCTTCAAGAGGTGTTTCACCAATAAAAGCTTTCTCAATCCGGTTGTGATGTCTGGCAGTTGACACAGAAACAGGCTAACTGGCACAGGTAAATTAGAGATTTCTGTGCTAGGTTTTAAACGGACAGTCTATGCACCATTACCACATCAGAATATTGAAGTGGTAAAGTTGCTGCACTCAAACATCTAACACATTTGTCAAAATAGGGCTTGAAAGAAGAGCTGATAACTCCTGCATATTGTAAAATGCATTTTACGTAAGTGTGGAACTAGAAGACATTTTGTCACGGTATAAACGTATACAATTTTTGATACATTTTAACAGCTCCTTCAGGGTTCATGTCATTGTAACCAGTGTAGGGCCACTTTCCAACTCGAATACATAAGCACATGCCTACATATGGAGTTAATTGAGCCGCTGCAGCACTGTCCTCATTACAGAAATCTGCTTTTGCGTGGGGAAGGGAAGAGTCAGAAACAAAGAATCGAAGAATGATCCTGTAGTGGAATTCAGGGGTTTAACCCAACTTCTATCAGAAGAGTTAGCAGAATGCTGCGGTGTCTTGTTCAAGAGGCTCGGTGTTAACATGGGTTAAGATGGCATTAAAATGAACATTGCTCTCAGTTTAGTTCCTCTGCTACAGTTTGCACAACTGATGTGAATCCCAAGTCCTTATTATCAGCCCTGCAGGCTGTGACCTGCAGGCATGCGTCTATTATCTTTGTGCTGCCAAGTCATAGTTGTGCTACAAAAAGAGCGACTAAGGAATCCTATGCAGTCTAGACAAAGGGAGTCAGGACTTTCCAGTCCGGCCCTTTAGGTTTTAAGGATTAAACATCTCAGATTCCTTGTTAAATCCTTGCTTTAGGAGATTTACTTACTCAGGTGCACATTTTCCCTATTTACTCTTCTAGCTCCTCACCTGATTAAAAGAAAAATTAAAAAGAAAACCTAGTAAAAAAGACCTCTTTAATTCTTTTTCCAGGAAACTAAAACAAAAATACTGACATAAAATGGTCTTTAAGACATTTTCTCCCTTCGGTTAGTAAGGGAGCACAGCGATCACCACTCCTATCATTGCTGCAAAGGTACAATGGTTAATTATATTCCCAAAGAGGCCATAATGTGCACCTGGTGTTTTCAGTTTACCCCGTGCTGTCTAGCAATCTAGGACTGGACTTTTCTCTATTGAAATATCGATAGCCATCAATTTAAAACTACTGAATGAAGACTTTCCAACTATAGTTCCAAGAGTGCAAGGCAAGAGACCCTCATGCGTGATTAAGAAAAGAAATTAGCACTTTTATACAATAAGAAGGAAGGAATCTTCTGTTAAACCCTTAGAGGGTTACTCCAAGCACCATGACCAATGCAGTGCTTTGAAAAGGTCATGGTGCCTGAAGTCTGTATGTGCAGCAATTTGCTTTGAAATGCTGCGCATACAGAGTTTAAGGGCTCTGTTACTGGAGGTATAACCACCTCTGGCAGCAGCATTGAGGTATCAACCAGCAACTTATTGGGAGTTCCGGACTGGCAAATGTCAATTCCGTGCAACTTTCAGTACACAGAATTGCATTCATTGGCTGAGAGCATCAGTTTATGCTCTCAATTAACATAGAAACATAGAATGTGATGGCAGATAAGAACCATTTGGCCCATGTAGTCTGCCCAATTTTCTAAATACTTTACATTACTGAATGGTGATTGCTGTAGCAGAAGCCGGAAGTGCATCACCAGATCACCAGGGAGTCTGGCTAGGACCTAAGTAAGAAAGCAAACCATTGCTAAATGGTTTATCACTTTAATCGGGGGAACCAAGCCAGCATACTTCTCACATCAGCAGGCTGTAGTGGTTATGATGATTAAAATAAACCTTTAGTTAGGCACTTCAGCGAGTTAAAGTGTTTCATGGACTGTAGCATTCCTGTACGTAATAATATTTTAAGGCTTTACTTAAAAAGACTTCCTTCACTCTTTAACCTGTTGGTGCAAATAATTTATTGTTGTGGCATATGTACCCCATGGATACTACTTGAAAGAGGAACTAGAGATCAGAGATGAGTTTGCCTACAGAAATATTTTTAAAGCAAACAACCAGGTAGAATATTTAATACTTTGATATTACTCATTGACAGAAACACTGAAATGCTCACATTTTGAAAGTTCCAAAAATAGGAGTGAAATAAATGAAGGCACAGAATTCCTTCAGTAAATACCAGAGTGTGCCAATGGCTATTAAAAGGGTTAACATGAGGGTATATCCACATTTGCTTTCAAGTCTATTCACCTTTGACTGTCTACAGCATGGGTTGTCAACCTGGTCCCTGCCGCCCACTAGTGGGCATTTCAGGATTCCAGGGGGGCGATAGGGATTTTCGAATTTTGAGAGACTGGGCGCGTGCGAGCCGGCGGTACCCCTGCGACCGGGTACCGCCATCACCACTTGCGGCGGCGGGCTGCATATGGAGGGGTCCATCGGGTGGCCCATGCTGTCAGGGCCACCCGACGGATGTGCATTGTGAGGGGGTCCGGTCAGCGCTGGGCGCTTTAACAGCGCGACTGGGCCCCCTGTGATTACATCACAGAGCTGGGAGGAAGTGACTGCACGTCACTCCTTCCAGCTAACACTGAGAGCCTTGCGGAAGGAAGACCAGGGAGTCAAAGTGGGAACTCTGACTCCCATCCACCTGAGCCACAATTGGACCCCAGGGAAAGTCACCCTCCTGCACCTAAAAGGTAGGAAACAGGAGGGTGACTAAAATATTTTGTGTGTGTTTATGTGTCTGTCTGTATGTGTGTCTTATGTATGTGTCTTTGTGTGTGTGTGTCTGTATATATGTGTGTGTGTCGGTCTGTCTGTATATATATATGTGTGTATGTGTGTCTTGTCTTTGTATGTATGTGTTGTGTGTGTGTGTTTGAATGTCTGTGTGTGCCTTTGTATGTGTGTGTCTGTATGCATGTCTGTGTGTATGTGTGCCTGTCTGTTTGTATGTATGTGTCGTGTGTGTGCCTGTCTGTGTGTCTGTATGTATGTGTGTGCCTGTCTGTAGGTGTGTCTGTATGTATGTATGTATGCCTGCCTGTCTGTTATAGTGGGCTATAGTAAGTAATAGTAATTGGGATACCTAGCTCAGCCTTCCTACTGGGCATTGATATAAGGAAGGTTAAAAAATTTAAAAAAAAAAAAGGTGGGGAGAGGAATTGAGGAAGGAGAGGAGCTGATGCACAGATGAGAAATCATATTATGCGCAAACAGAGAAGTCGTCTGAATATCACAGAAAGAGGAGACCTTCGTTTGTTCCTTACGAAAATCGAACCAGATATCAAATATTTAGTCTTGCAGTATCAACCTCAAGGATCTCATTAAAATCACTAGTAAAGGTAATTTCAATTTACTTTATTGTTTTCTCATATAAACTTTATAAAGTTAAAAAACATTATAAACATGCATTTAAGTAGAAATAAAAAGATAAATGTACATACATTTATTTTTATTTTTTATTTTTTTAAAACACCCTCCTTTCTAAAAAATATTCCGCACTTGTGCGAAAACTGGTGGGCGGTAAAGAAATGTTTTTCAACAAAAAAGATGCATTAGTGGGCGGTAGGTAGAAAACGGTTGACCACCACTGGTCTACAGAGTACCAAGTCATGGTACATTCCTTGATCAATAGTATTGTCCACCTCAAGGGAATTCTCAACTATTTAACCTGTGCAACCGTGAAAATAAAGGAGTCAAATAAAACACTTCCTTTTAAGGCGATACCATCCCCCACGGCCATGCAGACATTCTGACTGTATAAACAGCTATTCCATAACAGTATTCAAGCAACAATAATATCTAGCAATTATGTTACACACAATTACACAGACGTGTATTTAAAGATGTGAGATTGCACATTAATAGAGGTGTATGGACTTGCCCTTCCATACAAACAAAAGTTTGATCTTCAAAAAATAAGAAAAGAAAAAAAAAAACAACAAAAAAACTATACACATACCTCTCACACACACGCATATACACATACAAAAATACATGAGTGCCTGGTATCTTCTTTTAAATTGTGCTGTAGTGATTATGGTGCTAGGAATGTTCCATCAATAATATTAAACAACATTATAAAGATTATTACATTAATATTGTACAAACACTTTGAAACAAATGTGTACATTTTGTTGGCAAGATTACTAGGAACATGCAGATACAATTCAAGCTTTATGTAAGACTGCAGCTTCAATCTATTTACAGGTCCACTTTAATTCTTAAGAATATATTATAATTCTTATTACCATTATGTGAAGGAATACTTTTATCATGAGTGTACAACTTCATACTCCATGTGCTACAGGACATTATCCACAAATCTCTGCTAGCAATGGCTGACAGAGTATTAACTGAGCAGCCCGTCGGCTAGTGCCCAAAAAAAACAAAACAAAACACAAAACAAAACAAAAAAACTCTCTCTCTCTCTCTCTCTCTCTATATATATATATATATATATATAGGTTTTTTTTGTAAATGTTAATTTCATTTCAAGAATATTTCAGCAGTGACTCACAGGTTTAATCAAACTGATCAGTATTTCGACACCTTTCAGCAAACTTGAACAGTTGGAACAAAGAGAATGTAACAAATGACTATTTCAAGGCTTCTACCAGAAAAAAAACAATATTACCTTTTTACTTAAAGGGGGAATGGTCACTTCTCTGGAAGCAACACCAATGAATACAATACTGAAAAATCTTGTGTTAACTTTTTTCATGCAATGCACAGTTTTCTTTCAAATTTATATTAAAGGTCTAGCAATTGACATCACAACCCTGTTTAAGTCCAGGCATAGCCAGGGGGCACACACTGGATGCTCAATGGAAAAAGGGTAGAGCTTCAAAGGTCCAGGGCTGACAGGAATCCAAGATGGAGACATTCAGTTTCAGGATGTAGCTAAACGCAGCTTAGTGTAGTTAGAAAGTGTGATATATAGATGGTGGAACTGCACTCAACCCTTCGCTTTGGACCCTCAGGGTGCTGCTGGATCAGTCCCAGTACCAAAGAGACCATGTATGAAGTATAATGTAGAAAATAATCCAGGCAAATCAAGCTTGACAAAGGCCCTAAGGGGTCGAAACGTTGTGTGATTCTTGAGTCCAATAAAAATTGCCTATCGTTTGGAACAATTTGGAGTGCCTGGATTATTTTCTACATTACAGTTAGAAAGTATGGACAGAACAAAAATGGCATCCTTGATTTGACGTACAAATGTTTTTTCTAACGAGTCTAAGACAAAGAGTGGAAGGTTCAGATAATTGCATATGCATTCTCCCTCCCCCCAACTGCTCGGAATACTTTTACACAAGCTTTTATATGTGGGAGGCAAAAAAATGACATTAAAATTGAAATATGAAACCCTTCGAGTAAGGGAACTACCTACACATTATAAAAAAATGTAGTCAATTTTACCTACGAAAATCCCTGTAATTTATTCCAGCTGAGTGGGAAAAGAGCAAACTGCCTCTGAAATGGCCATGAAAAGAGAAGGCAAAAAAACTAAAATATGAATTATAGGAGGCGACTAACATCCAGCGATGTGCTCTCGATCATTGCAGAAAGTTTATGTGGTTGACTTTAAAAAAACAAACAAAAAAAAACCACATACCTGCATCCTGGGGGGTGATATTAAAAGTGGAACAATACCAAGCAAGAATTCTAAAAATCTCCTAATGTAACTCCTTGTCTTATTTTACTATTGGGGGTCGAGAATAACTTTGTGAATGATTGTCAGCACATCCCCTACAAAACATCTTATCACAATATTGAGCAAGCACTTCCCTGAGAGTACGGGCATTAAAGGATCACTCAAAACTCAAATAACTACTTAATTCCATGCACAGCATAACACTACTGACTTATCTCCCCTTTATTAAAAACAAATGCAAATAATCAAATAATAAAAATTTCTGGCTAGTTATAAACCAACACTCAGCTCTCAAAATATAGATAATCCTTAATTACAAGGAATATATATTTTCTTATAATAAAAAAACTAAACTAAAACAAAATACATCTAGATTACAAAGCACAGCTTCACAATCTAGAGAACTGGCTTATAAAGTGGGTAGTGTGTGGTCTCCTTAGTCTAGTGTGGCACGTAGACCTTGCACAAGGCTATTACTACACAGAGCATCAGCCAAAAGACTGAGCTTATTCCCAAATCCATTGCCAAAACACATTAATACCGCTGACAAAATATAAAAATGTCATCAGGTTTCAGATGTTAAATTAAAAAATCTTACCGTTGAAACCTTGTTGACTACATCTCTAGCCACTGAAAGCCCTTGTGCAAATGTTCGAGCTGCTACGAAGGCACGTGTGATTTGGATTTTGAGTTTACGTGGTACATCCCCAAAAGGTTTTAGCTGGTCAGTGTACTTGCTAACACATTCTAAATAGTCATCTGTGAACTGGTGCTGTGGGTTTACCAGTCGGAACATGCGTTCTAGAAGTCGTGCCCAGAAATCATTCAACATCTCCTCTAAGTTGACATTGCCACCAACATAGTATTTTTTCAGTTCCACAAAGAAATCTTTAAAAAGCTCAGAGTTCTGCATGTAGAGTCTTCCGTAAGTCCGCACAAACATATCATTCAATGAGGTCTCAGAATTTTTAAGCAGCTCCTTGAAAAACTCTGAAGGTGGGAAGAAAAACAAAAAATTGTTAATATGAATCAAATGAAGGGAATAATGATCATCATCAGTATGTTAACATAATTAACAATTGCTTCTCCTGATAATAGTCTCCTTAAATCAGAGAAGCCACTTTTATTGTTCTGTCTCATACAAAGTAATAACATTCTGCAAATACAAGGAAAGCCTCAGGAGTCAGATAGCCAAAGATTCTAACTTTCAGCTATTTTATATGACCTGTAGGCCTGTATACTTTTACTTTCTAAAATGCATTAGATAAATGAAATACCACTAATGTGAACTCTACCTCTTATTTTCAAAGTACAAAAAAGGCAAGTTAAATGACAGAATGCATTAACAGTGGTCTACATTACATTTAACAAACCTTTTTTCTCATTTATAACAAATGAGACGTACAAGTTTCCCACGGCAAATTAAATAAAAGAAAAAGAAGTTGAGAAAATACAATTAACTCTTAGAGTGTCCCAGAGGCCTTTAATAAATTGTAGGTCAAAAGGCACTAAAATTACACACATTCCATTAGGTAGGTCTGTTTCTTATCTCTTCGTTGTAGACCAATGATCAATAAATGTTTACATTTTGTTGCCCTTAACCTCAAAATATAAATATATATATATATAAATAAATATATATATATATATATATATATATATATATATATATATATATATATATATATATATATATATATATATATTTTTTTTTAATTTTTTTTATTTATTTTTTAAAAACCCTGACTAAATAAATGTATTTAGTACTAATTAATTGATAAAAAATTAAACTAAAATAAAAAAATTAAAAAAACAACAACCAAGTCATTTTCCCAAACATTAGCAAAACAATTTCCTATATGAGTGGCAATTTCTGTCTGATGGTGAACTTTGGGTTTTAGTGGAGAATGTTTCAAATTGTTGGGTGAATACATATTAACCACAAAATCACTCTGGCTGAAAAAAAAAAGAAAAGTTCTGCCTTTACTGGAGCCCTTTACACAGGGAGGACATGTGGTTTACCTACAATATTTCATAAATTGTGGGTTTACTCTTACAATAAACAAACACAGATATCACTATGCAACAAGCCAACAGGAACTACATGCTTATGCAGTGTAAAGACACATTCATCCACAATTACATATTTCCATGGCTGAATGAATGTGGGACCTTGAACACAAAAGCTTACAATCGACATACTGTTTGCATTTGTTTTCATATTTATGACTCTCAAAATGTGCATACTACAAAGTATAATTAAACAATGTTCGCAAAACTTTAAAGGGACACTGTAGGCACCCAGACCACTTCAGCTAATTGAAGTAGTCTGGGTGCTGTGACCCTTTTGCACTTACATGTTTACATTGCAGCTCTAAGTCTGCCAGACAGCCACTGAGGGTGCTTCCGGAATCCAAAGGGAGCTTTGATCCGTTATCTGACGCTGGACGTCCTCACGGACCTCCAGCGTCAGATTCTCCCCATAGGAAAGCACTGAATAATGCTTTCCTATGGGGAGGTCTAATGCGCCATTGTCTCGCATGCGCATTAGGTCTCCCCCACAGGCTGACTTTATAACCCCATCAGTAAGTGGGACCTATTAACCCTATAGTGCCAGGAAAACAGCTTTGTTTTCATGGCACTAAAGGATCCCTTTAAGTGTGGAGAGGTAATTATTGTCCTGGAGGGATTATAGACTCAGGCATCTTCCGGCTCAGTCAATGATAAGAATTAAATTCACTAGATAGCACACTGTTCTGCTAATTTTTTTTTTTTTTTTTACGTGGTTTACAATTCTTACAAAGTTACTTTTCTATGAAATGTCTATCACAGAGAAAATTCTATTTTTATCAGCAGTGGTAAAACATCTATAGAATGCAAAAGAAAAATTACTGCAATGATATATAATACTTCTTAAAGGGACTCAACAAAACCGTTTTTCTGGCACTGCAGGTCCCCTCTCCCTCCCACCCCCGTCCCATGTTGCTGAAGGGGTTAAAACCCCTTCAGTGACTTACCTGATTCCAGCGCCAATGTTCCTCTGCGCTGGTTCAGGGACCGCCCACGCTCCTCCCCCGCCGACGTCATCCGGTGGGGGAGACTGATTGCGCATACGTGGCCGGCGGCGGGGATACCTTATGCTTTCAATGCTTTCCTATGGGAATTTTAGCGACGCTGGAGGTCCTCATATAGCTAGAATCTGTGCTAGAATCCTGGAAGTGTCCTCTAATGGCTGTCTAGTAGACAGCCGCTAGAGGAGGAGTTAACCCTGCAAGGTAAATAATGCGGTTTATGAAAACTGCAATATTTACCGTAGCAGGGTTAACGGTAGTGGGAGTTGGCACCCAGACCAGTCCAATGGGCAGAAGTGGTCTGGGTGCCTGGAGTGTCCCTTTAAGTCAATGTTTTGTGTGGTTCACATGAAATTCAAAACCTAAAATAATTTCGACAATTTGAATAATGAACAGTATTTTTCTTGTGATCACATAGTTTTATCATTGGGATGGCAAAAAAAAACAAAACAAACAAAACAACAAAAAACGAGTATGTACATTCCGGGATCATTCTGCTCACTCCAGTAGGTATTAATCATGTTTACCGGTTATTTTTCTATTATTTTCCGCAATTATGGTCTTTTACATACTGTGTAACTCTACCTGCAAGACCAGTTCTTGTAAGACAAACAAAATCCATGTACTTAGAGTAAACCTGCCACCACTTACACAGGTGGGTGTTACACTTCTGTAACACCCATCTCCGGTTGGCCCTCACTCCTCATGCTCACGGATTTTCCCTGCTTGGGAACACTTCCAAAAGCAGAGTAAACCCCCTCCCAATCCATAATGCTGACACTGGCTTGGTTGCTTCAATCTCAATGTCCCCATGCTTCCTTGTCAATGCCAGTAACTAGGAAATTACTAAAGCAACCAAAGGACATGCGCTGTGGTTGCTATGGGTTGACAGCAGATTAACCACCTGTAGGAGGAGCCTTCTGCTCTCATTTATCAATTAAGTCCTTGGCATAGAGTCTGTGCCAAATAATTGATTGACATGCAGGAGGAAAAAAAAACTAATTTTTTAAAAAGTTTTTTTCTCACAATCTATACATTTTCTGGCAACAGTGCCAACTCAGGAAATTTGGTTATTAATTAACTCATTCAACTGCTCCACAATGTTTGTTGTACTGAAAAAACAATTCAATCTTGTAACTTCTACTACTAAAGTTGGTCTTTATACAATGTTCAATACAAACATGGCTGGTGCAATAGCAAACACACAAAAGAAGGGGAGAGGAAGAAAGGCAAGATAAATCCCAGAAATGCTGTGGATTATTATGTGAGTGCCTTTGAACATACAGCTAATGACTTCCTTATATTTACAAGCCTCAAGATAAAAGAAACAGATGTCATATCAAGATTTTTTTAATTCCTGATTAAGTGGGTAACCTCAAATGGCCAACCTCAAATGGCCAGCTTATCCAAATAAAGCACTCAACAGCCAAAGTCATAAAACCACACAATCTCATTACCGGGTCTTGTTATGATACATTAAAAACACACACACACACACAAATTCAGTGTGCACTGCCAGTCCTATGAAATGTGTATGGTTTTAAAATTATCAGTATATTGCCACAAATATTGTGGCTTTACCAGTTCTTTAAAGAACACAATATTGAAGTATGTACAAGAGACAAAACCTAGTCTAAATCAGGTGTGAGTGGAAGAGTAGTAGGGCTTACAAGTAGAACAATAAGTCAACTCTATGGCACTACCTAAAGACTGAAGAGTCAAACAGAATATTTTATTACAGAAATATTCCGGACTCCTAAGGTGCAAGAACAGACAAATCAAAAGTCCTGTTTATTTTTTGGCATAGTTTTATATGCATTGTAAAGAAAAGCAAATGTACGACTCTATAGCTCAGCCCCTTTGTCCTCCACTTTAGTATACCTAAAATAAACCCATACGTTTCTATGCACTAATGCATAGCAACAGTGATATTTCATTTGGGGGAAAATGTTATTAGAATATATAACGTTCAAGAAGCAGTAGACCCCAGGTATTCCAAAACAATGGGTTCACTTTAATATCTTTTTAGAAAGTATTCATTTAGTTCCCCTTTATTGACTGTACTTGAAACCATGTCACCAAAAAACAAAAAAAAACAAAACACAAAAACATATCTCTCCATAAGATAAAGAATGAGAACTAAAAAATTTGATAAAACCCAGAGAATATTAGTGGTGTTTAAACACTACAATGCAGCCATCCATAATCTATGAAAGATAATAAACTGCAATTGGTAAAAGCTTTGGGCCTACCAGTTTAGGAAAAACTAGAAGATTGCTTTAGAATTGTATTATTTAGTCATTACTTACATGAAGTGTTAAGCGGCATTTATTACAAAAGAAATGTAGGAAAACCCACTACATACCATTCAAAATTTATTTGGGGAAAAGATGTGGAATCAATGCTCTTTTTCTTCGGTGTCTCGACTACTGGGTTCCATAAATTAACACCTCTACCCAGAGTCGCTTAAACAAAGTCTACGCACACAAGGATTACGTTCTTACTTTGCAGCGTTGTAAAAACATGTTTTATTGCTGAACGACAAATACACTACACTCATTAAATCACCACATCAACACAAATCCCTTGAAAATCTGTTGAACACAAACATTTTTTAGGGATGACAAATCATACTTTTCTTCACTCTTCGAACACAAACAAACAATGTTCCCTTTTTCACCTAGATTCCTCCCCCCCACCCCCCCCACCCTACCCTTCAGCCAGGTACTTGTGCTAGCGTGGAAAAAGGTTTATGGTTTAAGTTAGGACAGTGGTTCCCAAAATTTTTAGGTTCAAGGCGCCGTTAATATTTTTCCAAGGCACCCGAAGTAAAAACAATTTTCTAGGTTGTATATATGTACAGCGCAGCTGCATATACTGGGCCCCTGCTCGGTAGAAATTCATGCTGTACAAGCACAGATCCAGAATCTAATCTAGGGAGGGGCCCTGGTAGATTACTTAAAGAAACAATCCAGGCACAATAACCACTACAGCACTTTGTAGTGGTTATGGTGCCAACAGTGCCATAGTACCTCCCAAAGTACTAAAACTGTTTAAGAACAGTTTGACAAGTTACCTGGGATCTCCTGGGATATGGGGCTGTAGAATGGGGATAGGGGCAGTAGCGTGTGTGAGGCATGCAATATGTGTGTGAGTGTGTGTGTGGTGGAGTGTGAGGGGTGCGTGTGTGTGAGTGGTGGAGTGTGAGGGGTGCGTGTGTGTGAGATGTAGTGTCTGTATGTGGAACAGCTTGTGCATGTGGTGGGCAGTGTGTGTGAGGGGTACAGTTTGTGTGTATAGAAGGGCAGTGTGTGTGAGGGGTACAGTTTGTGTGTATGGAGGGGTACAGTTTGTGTGTATGGAGGGGCAGTGTGTGCGAGGGGTACAGTTTGCGTAGGGAGGCAGTGTGTGAATGGGGGGGAAGCAGTGTGTGTGTATTGGGGGAGTTATTGGTGTGGTGTGGGGGTGGGAGGGCAAATTCATAAAATATATAAAAAAAATATTTTATTTAAAAAAATAGTAATTTTCATATCCCCCTTCCCTGCTTACCTTTGCCTGGGAGGGGGGACATTTCCTGCAATCCCTGGTGTTTCTGTGGGGTAGCCCCTGTGGTCCTGGTGGTGAGAGTGAATTCTAGCAGCCTCAGGAGCTGCTAGAGTTCAGTCTCGCGAGATTCGGAGCATTGCCGTGGTAACCGTGGCAATGTTCCGAGCTCGCGAGAGGAGAACCCAGCGGTGCTGCAAGTCAGAGCTCCCCAGAGTCCTCTCTCCCTCCCCTGCCAGCATTATACTGCTACCAGACTGGAGGGGGAGTTCCCGGTGCTATGATCAAAGCATCTGGAAAATATCTTGCGGCTCCCCAGTGTGCCACACAGTTTGGGAACCGCTGAGTTAGGAAATATTTCAAACCGATCATATCAATCCAAGAGGAATAACTGATTGACTGCTAGGACTAGCAAATTGGGAAACATTGGTATAGAAAGTATAGTATAGCCAAGTTATGCCTTTTCAAATGGTCTTTCATTATGTCAGTAACTCAATGGGGGAGATTTATAAATTTGACCTGAAAAGTTTAGTTTATTTTTCGTCTCTAATCCGTTTGCATTTATTTAATTGTTCCAAATGTAATGTAAGAAGAGTTTGCCTAAATCATAGGCATGCGCAGCCTATTGCATACAAGTGGGTACCCTAAAGCACACACACACTCCACATGTATATGTATGTGTATATATATCTATGTAGATATATACACACACACACACACACACACACACACACACACATAAATACACTGCTGTGTGTGAGGGTGCTGGTAGTGTGCTGTGTGTGTGAAGGTGCAGTTAGTGTGCTTTGTGTGTGTATGTAAGGGTGCTGTGTGTGTGTGTGCTATGTGAATTTGTTTGGAGGGATTGTGTGTTGGGGTAGGGGGACAGATTAGGAAACAGCCCCTTTTTACCTTTTGTTAAGCAAACACAATATATATCCAACACTTTATCTAAATCAATAATGTGATGGAAAAACACTTTTTTTTTTTTACTTCTTTATTTTGCCTTGAGTGACAATACATACAAGCTCTTGGTGCCCCAACAGCATTCCTCGAGCACATTTTCAGGCACAACAGTTGAAGCACTAGGATTATTGGAACATTTTTATAGGTTAAAGTGATGTAGATTAGATCAGGTTGTTAGTTAAAGTGATACACAATAGCAAAAATCGTGAGTACAAGAAGTGGATTGACATGACTGGCCTCAATTAGTGGCATGCGGAGTTGGTACATTATCCTAACAGGTTAACAAGCTACGAGGGTGTATCAAAATAGCTACGTTATCAAAATGTAGTTATGCAGTCGTTGTCTAACAATGCCAGGATATGTTTGCCAGGGTATTAATACCCAGGCTAAGCAGTGGGTCTAGACATATAATCTGAGGCTGCATCAGTACATGGGGAGATGCCTAAGGTTGCAATGTGGCTGACTAAGCATTTAAACACATATAGGCTAGACAATAAAGGGTTACTGGCATACTGCACAGCGCTTCAGAGGCAACGGAAGGAGATCACCGAGTTCCATGTGCGCTGTAAGGCCCTCAGTGCGCAGTGTCCATTGCAGCTGGAGGCCGTCCGCCTCAGGTAATCAGTCCAGTGTTGGCTTAACCGATACCCATGTCCGGTATGCTCTTGCTGCGGGCGTTTGGCTTCTCCAGGGTCAAGGTGCGGTTTTGACAGCACTCATCCTCTCGTTGGCTTTGGGTCGGTTGGGCTGGCGACTTCGGGCTCCAGGCCCCATGACCCAGAAGGTCTAAGTCCTGTTTTCCACGCAGGCGGTGGAGGGTCCTGTTGCATGTTTGTTGCTTGCGGCGGGGGTCTTTCCGCCCACGTGGTGATCGCTGCTGGGTAAGCGCCCCTGTGGCTCTGGTCCTGGGCTTGGTGGTTTGCTGGGTTGGTTTTGCGCCTGTTTGATAGCCTTCAGTTTTTGGGCTTAGGCCTCTCTGGGTTTCCCTTTGTGTGGGTTGCACTCTCCTCTCCAGCTTGGCCCAGAATCGGGCAAAAGCTCGTCGATATCCTGGAGTGTTCGCTCCACGTGGTTCGCTGCTGTGTGTGAGGCGAGTGTGTCCGCCATCTTGGGCAGCCCAGGGGATTGCGGCTACTACTGGTCGGAATCAGCCTGTTGTTCACTGTGTGCTTGCCAGGTAGGACTAGGATAACCCCTGCCGGTCCAAGGGGGTGGGGGGGACAACCTCTTTAGTCGTGTGTCACCTCCAGTTAGAGCTGTAGGAGAGCGGCCATCTCTCCTTGGCCCAGTTACAAGTAGGCCGCAAAGCCTCGAGTCAGATTTTCTAGCAGAGGAGCGGCCCGCAAGACGTGTTACTGGAACCGCCGGCATGTCAGGATCAGGTTGGGTAAGGTTCTGCAGTCCACTAGGTATTTAGCTCGTTTTTGTGGTCGAATTTAATGTGCCAGACACAGGAGCTCATGCAGCACACGTCTGGACTGCTCCGCCGTCAGGCTCCGCCCCCGGAAAAACACATCTTAATAGATAGTGGTAGCCTTCTCCAGGAATATCCCAGACTATATTCTTTTTATATATCATCTCGTGAGCGCTATTTGTGTTTGCGCATGTGATTATTTCATATAACAGTGTTACAATACAGACTGTGCAATAAAAGAAGTTTAAACATTAGATTTCTCTTTACAGGAAGTGTTTAGGAAGGCTGTGTGAGTGACATGCAGTGAGGTGTGACTAGGGCACTATAAACAAAGTGATTTAACTCCTAAATGGCAGAGAATTGAACAGTGCTCTTGCAGGGGTGTAATCTATACACCAAAACTGCTTCATTTAGATAAAGTTGCTTTGGTGCCTTTACTGTCCCCTTAATCAAATTAAACTTAAGTCCATCCATCCCTGTTTATGTGCTACACAAAATGTAACTTTTACCGACATCAAAAAAGAGAGTTTATATCAGTTGGCTGTGGTGTTTTGATAGATGTAATGTAACCTGCTGAAATGAAAAATCAGCATTTAAAAAAAAATAATTAAAAATTCTTTCAAAGTGGCAGGTTACAAAGCGCGCGCACACACACGTACGTCTGGGTTACTAAGGCTGGTGCTCAAGTGGCTCTTAGTTTCTCCCATGTCTTAATCAGAACAGTTGTGCTGCATGTATGAACCTACCAGGCCAGCTGCTTTGGACCAGCCCTTGCATGAGAGATAGAATGACTTGAATGGCTGAAATAGCTAATCTGGGAGCAGGTCCAACATATTAATGAACTCAGCCGTATCTGAAAAAGCACTGCTATTTCCACCAATACCAAGCTTTCTTTTACTTGATCCAATACTAGGCTGTGCCGAAATTACCTGGTTCCCCATGAATCCTCAGCTCACCACCTGCATGGATAGTGTTCATGCTTGTACACAACAATCTACTTGCATCAGAAAATTTAGCAAAATGTCCTTGAAGAATCCTTTTACAAAATCGGGATATTCCACCGAGATTATCAGAAGATATAAACAACAGAGCAAATCACTTGCAAGCGTAGACATTTCAATGTTGTTGGGTTGGGGATGTTCTTCAGATTTATTCCCAACAAGATCACATCGGTATGAACTCCATTAAAGGCTGCCACCTAATTTGGTGTTAAAGAGCACCGTATGCCCACACACGAACATGTGCAGTATGTACACATCATGTATTTATTTTTTTAAGTAACTTAAAAGAGAAATTGTTTAGCAGCCACCAGCAATTATATGCATTAAAGGCACTTGGCTATACAAGATACCTGGTGGCTGTTTTTTACAAATGTAGCTTCCTTCCTGTATTTCATGAATACAACTACCCTCAGCCAGGTCTACAGCTTGCTGCACAAAAACAAAAAAAGAAACTAAAACTGCCAGATGAACTACTCATCCCATAACCAATTGCTGCAATTATAAGAGTGTAAATGCAGGTCAGCAAAAGCCAAAGCCACAGCCAAACCCAGGATGAAGAACAGGCATTTATTTTCACTACATCACCATCACCAACAGCAAAATCATAGGTACACACACGATTCGGTTTTGTCAGCAGTTTAAATTAGTTTTTAAAATAACATTTGTTTGTATTTCCATCCAGACCAATCCTGTGAAAATCTAATGTGTAGTGTGTTTTCGAATATAAAAAGGGGACTAAGCAGGGGGTTAAGAGTGTGCACGGTAATAGATCTTCAAAACAAGTACTGTTATAAAAACGCCTTTTTATTTTAAAGTCAAATTTTTAGTACAATATTTGTAGACATTCTATACACCAGCAGGGTCACTATTAATAGGGCTGTGTGTCTATTGCAATGTAAACGTGGTAATACACAGCAAGTAGCAATGGTTTTTGGCCAAGATGTACTTCATGAGTTATGAATGTTTTACTTATACCTACTGTGCACAAAAAGCCAATTCTCCCCGAATCAATGAGGTGCAGCTTTCAATGCATGACACAGTGGGCGTATGATTATCTAAATTATCAGTCTGGGAGCGCAACAAAATTAAAAATAGGAATTGTATCTCACAAGATGATTACACTATATATATATATATAGGCTTAAAAAATGCCACATTCACACAGGTCTCTATAATTTCTGTAAATTATCGTCTGAATACTAATGGAGAGATTACAATGGCTGAACAAACAGGGAAGGTAATTTATATGCAGTATTTCCAAATTTTAATATAGTCTATTTGCCAGATCAGCAGGTGCAAAGGAAACCTATTTTAACATGTGCCCTACAGGGCAGCATGAGTAGAGCATGGAGACGCTAGTGTTCCGGGGCAGTAATGTAAACCAAACCCTGCCTTTTCTCTAAAAAAGCTGTGCTTACATTAATTAGCCTGTAGGGTCATACTATAACATACCAGAACAACTACATTAATCTTTGTCTCTTTAATGACAGAGCTATAGTATTCAGTAAACCTCATAAGTATGAAAACAGCAGCAAGGACTTCCACATGCTGCTTCTACTTTTATTGTGAGCTATGTGGAGGTCCCAGAGACCACTCAGATCTGGCCGTTTCTACTTACACAATGGAGGAAATATTTTTTTGAATGTACTGCTAAAAATGGCTATTCTGCTGAAAGCCCCAAAGTAATTAGATATGTAACATTTATTAATAAAAACATGGGTGTGTATGTAGCAAGCATTGATACACACCCTCAATATGTGAAACTTATATAAACTCCCAGGACTTTGCTTGCAGAGAATTCCACATTTTGGGTGTGTGTAATATTGTGGTTAAATCGCGCCCATCCAAAAGGGAAGCTTTGTAATTGGAAAAAGGGGGAAAATATGGTACAAGTCCAGAGGTGAATGAATCCTCAAAATGTTTAAACTGAACTCATGCAATAGGTATATAAACATCTTAACTGTAAGTGCAACAGAAGTTTAACTAACAAAATTTATATATATATATATATTAAAATTAAATTTTAAAAAAGTATGCCCATTTTCAACGGCATACAAACCCATAATTACACAGAACAATCTCTAAACAGCTGTCCATTTTTTTTTATTTTTTTTTATGGCCACCATCTAAGTTTTGTGGTTTAGGATTACGACCAACCCCTTCCAGAAGGAATTCATTCTTTGGTTAGGAGCTGAATAAGATTTGGATAAACAGCAATTAGGGGCACTTGGAGTCTGGTGGCAGCTGGGGTAAGGGTCAGCAGGCCTCACATGTAAGTCCAAGTGGGATGCCAGACTTGGTGAGGGGGTTAAATAATAAATGCCTTCTAAATAAAGGTTTTTTGGGTCATAAAATACTCTGCCTGTACAGTCAAAGCTGTGTTATTTAAAAAAAAAAGAGTCCAGAGGGAGTTCGGTGCTGAACAGCCTAAAAGCAAAAATAAAGTGTGGCTTTCAAGCGAATATGAGCTCTAAAAGTTTTTATTCCACATGAGCAAGTATTCCCATTATATATTATGGTACATGTGCTTATATGACATCAAACACATGCAAACGAGAAGGATATTTGAAATAAGTGAATGAAAATCATTTAAGTAAACCTATTTAATTGTTTCAGTTAATGAGAAGCTGTCATTGTCTCTAATGGATGTGCATCACCTGCATATCCAAGTTTAACTTGGGAAAGCCCCCATTGGGCAAAGAGAATTGAGAAATCATGTTTCCACAGCTATCCCAGCTTGACATGCATATGTGCACAGGCAGGCACTTGTTTCAGACTTCACCCTACCGTTCTGCAGGTACCCTTGGCAATGGACGCTCTATTAAACAGCTTTTTTTTTTTTTAGATTCAAACTAGAGCATGGGTTATGATTCCAAAAAAGTGACCAGAAATCAGTCATGGACTGCACAGTTTTAACATTTTTGGTCTGACCAGTATGTGGCTGGTTTTGGTCTGAAAGTTAAAGGGATTCTATAGTGTCAGGAAAACAATTGTTTTCCTGGCACTATGCTTCTTCAGTGCCTCACTCCCTCACGCCTCCCCTACCATGGTGCTGAAGGGGTTAAAACCCCTTCAGTAACTTACCTGAATCCAGCGCCCATGTTCTTCTTCACTGGGTCAGGCTCCACCCACGCTCCTCCACCACTGACGTCAGCCGGCGAGGGAGACCTAATAAGCATGTGCAGCAACGGGCACATTTGGATTTCCCCATAGGAAAGCATTATTCAATGCTTTCTTATGTGGAAAAATCTGATGCCGGAGGTCTGTTTCGGTTCCGGAAGTCCCTCTAGTGGCTGTCTGGTAGACAGCCACGAGAGGAGGAATTAACCCTTAGAGGTAATTATTACAGTTTCTCAGAAACTGCAATAATTACCAATGCAGGATTAAGGGACATTGCACCCAGACCACTTCAATGAGAGTGTATAGCTAACACCAAACACATTAAAACTCTGCACAGTGCTTGGTCTCACCACATTTACACACGTACACATATATATTCATCTCATATGCTTAAATCACAGTTGTAGGCACACTGCGGAGTCTAGTCACCAATCTGTATCCCATTACTAGAAATTAATTTAACTCTAGTAACTGGATAGCAGTTCTCTCAGACACTTATGAGTCGGTCACTATTCATCATCAGAGCTTGGCTTTTCTCCAACAATAGAACCTAGCACCTGGCTGGTTTTCAATACATGTTAAAAAAAAATAAAAAAAAAATCTTAAAATGAGCCCCAGGATTAACACTACTATACTTCCAAAGATGTTTTGGGTCGTGGGACAAACTATAGATTTAGCAGGAAATTTACTGTATTGAATGTTGAAATGGCAATCATTTTTACGATAGATGTGTTTTGCATTGCCTGAGGTTAAAGGGTTACCAATGATTACTTGTACGCAAAAGAAAGGGACATTATGGATTTGGCCATTTGCAGACTACGAAAAAACCAAACCTAACCCAGAATTCATGTGATATATGAAATGGATTTAAAGCTTTCATATGTTTGGACAGTGAGTTGTCACCTATTCCAAAAGCTGTGAGAACAACAAAGGAGTGGACTATAAAAATCTTCAAGGCCAATGCTTGGGTATGACAGATGGTTCTCATATGTCTGTCTGCTGGTAGGAGAAGGGCGTGAAACCAAAACAGAGTATCAAAAGGAAAGAGAAACGCAAAAATATAGTATCAGCACATATTTTACCTACAGCGAGCCACCGATACCGTCTGCCTAAAATAATGCAGCAGAGATCATTCACTATTAAAGGCTGAAAAACCGCAATAAATTACATAGAGAAAGAAAAACACAGCATTGCTTTTAAAAAGTTAATGAAATTGTCCTTACCATCAAACTTGCTGTATCTGGAAGCAAAAGTATTTTGCACATTGTTGCATGGTTCGATGACGGCTGCCTTGAAGTCGTGCTTGCTCTGTTGGCTGTATTTTTCCTCCATGGCCTGGGAGCAACATGTGTGCCCCTGTGGACATACTTTCAAATGATCACCTATAAAATAAAAATGTATTTAATCAAATTGCACAGGACTTAAGGAATGCCAATAAGGAAAGGGTATCACTCAATGAATATCTATGGGTTATCTTTCAATATTCAATAAAAGCTCTGTGCCCACATAGGTCTTACCTACATAACTTTCACATTTTGCCTCAGAGTGAGCAAGAAATAGAGTTCATTATCTAGATTACAAGATATCCAGTTGCTTTGGAATGGAAAGCTTACTTACTGCCCAACTACTTATGCCTCTTCTAGGCACTCATTTAGCCACCTATGCCTCTGTTAATTCTGTCCCTGGGAAAAGCGAGTGCCTCTGTTACTGATACATTTGTAAGAGGAGAGGGACAGAATTACATCTATCTGCTAGGTAGCATTGTTCGTTTTTAAAGGAACACTATAGGATCAGGAACACAAACATGTATTCCTGACCCTATAGGGTTAAAACCACCATTTAGGTGGCTTGACCCCCCCTTAGAAGGGGTTAAAATGTACCTTATTTCTAGCGCTAGGTGGATCCACTGGTGCTGACCCTGGCCCCGATCCGCCTCCTTGTTGACATCAGAAATGCAGATTTTTTGCCAATCCAATGCTTTCCCATAGGGAAAAGCATAGCGAATGCATTGGATTGGCTAAAATCGCCAAGGAGGCGGGATGAAGTGGGGCCAAACTCTGTTTTGGCCAATCAGCACCTCCTCATAGAAATGCACCGAATCAATGCATCTCTATGAGGAAAATTCGTCGTGGAAAAAAAAAGCAGAGCGTGGAGATGCTGAACGGCAGTGCTGCCTACTGTACGGCACTGTCCCAGGAAACACCTCCAGTGGCCATCTGAGGAGTCCTTAGGGGGCAATGTAAACAAAGGTAATTATTCTACTCATCAAAACAAATACATTAAGCTGTAGTTGTTCTGGTGACTCTAGTGTCCCTTTAAAGTTTAAACAAAAAAAAAGTTAACAAATTTATCCGAAACAAAGCAGTAAAATGCACTGCTGTAAGTTATACTGCTATAAAATAGGAGCCCTTTCTGCTGCACCGAAGCTCCATGTGTTTTATTTCACTTTGTCCATTAGATTTTCGTGTGTGTGTGTGTGTGTGTGTATGTGTGTGTGTGTGTATGTGTGTATGTGTGTATGTGTGTATGTGTGTATGTGTGTATGTGTGTATGTGTGTATGTGTATATATATATATATATATATATATAAAGACTAGATAACAAATCAAAGGCCACAACTGTTTTACAACAGAATAATTAAATATATATGGAATAATTCACTTAAAACACCTTGTTACTGAGATAAATAAGTTAAAAAGCTTCATAACAAGTCAGGGAGATTTCTGTAAAAAGCTGCTCAGCCTGATCCAAATATTCTGGGCTGGGGGCAAAGGTTCATTCAATAGAAGACAGCAAGCACATTTTTCAAGCAGGTCTCTTGGTTAGGGGCAGATTCATAAAACCTCACTCAGCTGTTCAGGGCTATCAAAGGATCATTTGTGTTCATAATTGGCAGATTCACTGTACACAGGCATGCAGCATTCAAAGGAAAATCCTCTGTCTGGGATGAAGATGAGCCGTTCTTTATGTGCAATCATCAATGTTTTCTGTAAGTTTCTAATCAGTACAACTTTCTTTTAAATCAGTGTTCCTTAATGTGATCCGCTAAGCAACATAATTACAGCTTGCCATAGTGGTTTTGGTGCATTTTTCCCCTAATCAATCCATAAGAGTACCCAGTGCCCATAGCTTATATTTGCCATCCAAATTTGGATGTATTTATAAAAAAACTTTCACATTATCTCAATACCAGCAGAGGGGGCATGCTCCAATTGCTAAAAGAGCACGATTACAGAAATAATTTGACAAAAAACAAAACAAAACACCACAAAACAGAGGGACTACACTAAACGCTCCCTGCACCACAAGTACAGTGGATAGGGTGATCCGGTCAGATTTAAAGGGACACTATAGTCACCAGAACAACTACAGCTTAATATAGTTGTTCTAGTGAGTATAATAGCTCCCTTCAGGAATTTTTATGTAAACTCTGCCTTTTCAGAGTGGTGGGTTTAGCACTATAGTGTCAGGAATGGACGCCTGTGTTCCTGACCCTATAGAGATCCTTTAATATTGAGAAATGCTATTTTATTACAAAATTTGCAAATAAAAAAATAATGTAAAAAAAAAAATAAAAAAAAAAAAAGAGACTCTTTTTGAGGCCAAGTTTGGAGCCAGTAATGTTAGCCTTAAGGGCAACACATGCGTGAAGGTTGACAACTGTTAACAATGTAACAGAGCACAGTTAAACCTGATGCGAGAAAAGGCCGATCTAAACTGAGCTACCTCATTCTGTTTCAACTGAAATACTGAAAAACTAAACTGTTGGTTTGCATCAGTGTGACACATTTGCATGGCTCTGACAAATTATGTATGCTTGTGACATAGATATCATCTAAAGTAATAGCACTTTAATGAAACCTACTAAGTTTATTTATTTTAATAGAGCTCTTACCCTCAGGGCTCAAGGAAACCGGTTGGCCAATGAGGGACATGGCGAGACACTACTAATCTAGCATACATCAACATTCTTCAGAGTAGAGAGACAGCTGAATATAGAGCAGGTAATTTATTTCAGATTAAACACTCAGCGGGGAGGATGGAAAGTACATGAAATAATATAGTAATATGAATATATACTACAAAAAATAATAGCTGGAAGAAATGGGTTCTGTTCACTTTTTACTAAAACATGGTAGGAAACCACGTTGTGTATATTACAGCGACATATAAGCCAGACATCTTTCCTAACACAATGAGTCAACAAGCCAATAAAATTATTTTCACCTGGCACGCAGATTATAAAGATAAGAAATTAATCTACAATCCTGTAACCCCCTCCCTTCCTGTTGTATTTAGCAGGAACTAACAACAAAATAAACATACAATTAACTGAAACATTTTCTAAATGACTTGCAATTTTGTCATAAACCAAAATCTCAAATCTAAAGCGCACATTTTTTGGAAAATAAATTTTCCAAAATTTGAATGTGCAACAGATTAGATGGTGCACTACATTTGCGGCAAAATTAAAAATTTTCTGTCAAATTCACACAGGCAAATTAAAGCCGGCGAATTCACACATGCAAATTTACACAGGCGAATTTCATTTGGGCGAATTCACACAGGCAAATTCCGTTCCTGAAAGAGGGCTAAAGAAAGGATAGACTTAACATGTAACACTAAAATTGAAATACCTTCAATGTTACTATGGTATATGGCAATACACATTTTCATTGTAGCACAACGCGCATTACTTTCGCCAGCAAAAACATTTGTTAGCCGTCATGTTTAAAAAACAAAACAAAAAAAAAAAAACATTTTGAGGTGTGCATTAGATTTGATGGCGCATTAGATTTGAGTAAATACACTGTACAAAAAAAGTCACTAGAAATTTGAGGCATGATGTTTGAATCAATATCACAGAGTGCTTGGCCAGGACAAAATTAAGCACGTTTGATAGACCTATGCATGAAGCATGTGCTTATGGTGCTTTGAGAGTCCCTTTAATAAAATGCTGCATAATGTCAATTACATTGAAAGAGTGTTGCAATATTTATGCAACATAATGTTTATTTTATGTGGGAGTCGATTTGCATACAAAGTCTGTTTATGACTGTCTTATTGTTTAAATACATTTCGCCATGTGATCAAGTTTGCAGTGCTTATGGCCAAAGCCCTCCAAATCAAGTCTCAACAGAGATCATTACTGTAAAACAATGAGGGCCTGTGTTTGTGATGGCATAAAATAAGAATGAAAAAAATCCTACTGATTGTTGGAAGAAGAAAAAAAAAACATTCTAAGAAAGACATATCATCAGCATTTATAAGGAAGAAGCAGAGAGTGACTTTTAGTGTGATGCGAAGATGTGCAAGTGTAATAGAGCAACTCTTGCACTTGGACAGTGGGATAGTAAGAACATGCAAACGGTTTAGAATAAGAAAATGTTTCTGCTTTCCTCTAATTCTTGCATTTGTGCTGCGCATGTTTGTATGATCACGATTTCCACTGAACTGACAAACGCACATACAGGAAATAACTTTGCTTGGTCCCACAAAAGCAAAACATTTGCAATTTTTTCTTTTGCAAGCATCACAATCAAAATAAAGAAAGTTCTTCTTGAGATTGCAATATCCGCTTCTTTTTCGCACATACAGGAAATAACTTTGCTTGGTCTTTGCGGTATATCCCACAAAAGCAAAACATTTGCAATTTTTTCTTTTGCAAGCATCACAATCAAAATACAGAAAGTTCTTCTTGAGATTGCAATATCCGCTTCTTTTTCTTATGGTTATTAGGATTATCCATAAGCATGTGTTAAAAAAGCATGTGTTAAAAAAATAAAAAAAATAAATGCTGATACATATTTTCACAACTTTATTACGCCATGATAAACACAGGTTTTACCTACCGACCTGAGATACACAGCTAGGACAAGAAGATATATGTAAAACAAATCTCTAAGCTACACCGCTATGGTAAAAGCAAGATTTGATTTTTCTTTTTTCTTTTTTAAACAAATCACTTGCACTTACTACAAGCTACCTTTTTTTTTTTTTTTTTTAAATACAAAAAAAAAAAAAAAAAAGTATAATCGCCAGTATAATCAAATCCCACTGGGTGCGAAGGTAATTCCGATATTAACTAGACAATACAAATGTGACTGTTCAAAGAAATCCGAGTCTTTGGGAAAAGTTACTCTCTTGAGTTCGTAACCCGAGTGAGTAGGTGTTCCTCGTTATTTAGAAATTCTCATTTGCAAGAGGAAAGCCAAAGAAGAATACATTTAAAACCGCCAGACAGATTCTTTTCAAAGCCCTGTAATAATAAAACTACTCAACAAGCGGGATGTATGTTTTGGCTGAACTGGTATTTAATAAAGCGATATGTCAGCTGGACGTTAGTAGCAACACCCTCCTCCTTAATGCTGTATCATCCATATTTTGTGAATAAGCAGCCAACCTAAACACTTAGATTGAGTGCCAGCCCAAGTAAGCATTAAGATCTACCATTAGAGGCGATTTGCACCATTACCGCAAGCACTTTTGTACTGAAAAACACAAGAAAGGCTTTTATGCTGGTTCATAAGTAAAGGAAGTACAAGGGAAAAGTTTTTTTTACATTCTATTTGCACATTATCAAATCACAGCATTTATTTTTGGATAGGTAGATCTTGAAAAAGGCCCAAACGGGTCGGTCGGTCGAGAAAAAACAAACAAACGCACACTAGACCAGCAGAAACATAAAGTAAGCAGTCTCTGAAATCGGTTTATATGTTTCATCACCTTATGAAGCATATTTAGCTTTCAATTGTGGGCTGGTTACCAATGGGGAGTGAGAATAATACCGAATACCAGTAGGCAAATAGATCGATTTCTAGTATGTGTAAAAAAACAAAACAGATTTCAAGGTTTCATTTGATTTAGTTCTGTTGGGATGTAGGGTTACTTCAATAGTAGTATCATTACAAAATGAAAATCTATAGCTCTTAGTAGTACTTGCCGATTAACCCAAAATAAGGGGTGTTGGATTGAATGATCCCTGCGTGGTGTGAAGTTGAATCATTCCACCAGTCTGTTATTGTAATTTTGAATTTTTCATATTATTAACAGGACAACTTAGTCAAATGATTCTTCCCCGATATACTCACATGAATATCGATGTCCCCTCAACATTTAAGAGTATACAATCTTACTCTGAATATAAAGAACACAACATGGGAAACTGATGCATAGCAAGTTTCCTGAGTGTTGCTACAATGGGTTATTTACTGAGAGAATTGCTGGCAATACAAAGATTTTCAAATTTAAGGCTGATGTAGTCAAACTGGAAAAAAGTCTCCAGGTCAACTGTGTTTGACTTACTTTGGCCTTAAATTTGAAGTGCTCATTTAAGACACTTTGGAATTATGTTGATTCTCACTTACATAACTCTGAAAAATACCCAATGCAATTTGATGTAAAATGAAGAACAAAACTGGATAACACAGGATATACTATATCAAGATGAACCCAACCACAATCATTAAGCTACTTGATGATTCTATGCAAGGTCATGTATCGGTTCACTTAAAGTTGCTCTGTCACCAAAGTTTATCTGATCTGATTCTATATAGCTCCTTTGGTATTATTTTATTTCTTGAGCTCCATCGTTTTCATTATTTACATATATAAAAGTAGGAACCATTTTTCCTCATGTTTAGAAGTCACAATGACAAAACTTGACAATGGATGCGGCTTAAAGGACCACTATAGTCACCCAGAACACTTCAGTTTAATGAAGTGGTCTGGGTGCCAGGTCCCCCAGGTTTAACCCTGTAGCTGTAAACATATCAGTTTCAGAGAAACTGCTATGTTTACATAGCAGGGTTAATCCAACCTCTAGTGGCTGTCTTCCTGACAGCCACTAGAGGCGCTTCTGTGCCGATCATTGCAAAAATCGCATTGTGCACGCAGAACGTCCATAGGAAAGCATTGAGTATGGGTGGATTGAATGCGCACGCGGCTCCACTTGGGAGTTTATGTCGGGGGGAGGAGAGGTCACCAGCGCCGAGGGAGCCCGGCGCTGGATTAAGGTATGTGGCTGAAGGGGATTTAAGCCCAGCGGGAGGAGGGCCCTGAGGGTGGGGGGGACCTGAGGTTTGTTTGCCTGGCACTATAGTGGTCCTTTAAAGTAAGATTCTGTTTCACTTGGCAATTAAATATACCCACAAACCATCAGTTATATCAGTCCACAGAAGGCAAACAGCAGACATCATGGGCAGTGGAAAACAAAATTGCTGCATCCAGATATTGATATCCAGCACAAGGAAGAAAAGAAAATATAAATAAAAGCAAGTGGTATCTGTAAAGGAAAACCACAAGAAAGAAATATGATAGAGCGGCTTTAAGAGAATATCTGTGTTCATCATACTGGGTGAAACACTGGCTTTTTGATTCAGATGTAAATTTTAAATATTGTTCAATGAATTCCAATCCTTTGTATGTAAGCCAATACTTTCATTAAATACATTTCTGATTACATGCTAGGGTCATTAATTACGATTGTTTATTTTTCCAAAAGTGTTCCTTGTAGCAAAATCTGCTTCGAGAGTAAAATAAATAGTTTGAATAAAAAACTTTTTAAATAACCAGGAAAAGTGCTTGCATTAGATTTGCCAATTCTGGTTCCAACCCACAATCCATTTGGCATGTTAAGCTCTAGAGTGAATATTTTTTAATAAACACAATCTTGCCTACAAGTCATTTAGTTAAATACAATGCACAGTGATTTTGTTTGTTTTATAAATTTAGTTAAATGTAATAAGAAGCAGACTAAATAATGACAATGGTTTCTTTGTGCAAAAACTTGCATACTGAGGGAGCAAACTTTGCTCTAGTGATAAAGGTTGTATATGTTTTTCTATTTACGCAATTAACTATAAAATTCTTAATAAAACAAACAGGAAGGGTTCCATGAGTTTCAAGTGCAATGTTTGCAAAAATTTTTTTATAATATATATATATATATATATATATATATATATATATATATATATATATATATATATATATATATATATAATATTAGATATAAACACACACACACACAGGGAAATGATAAGATATATACAAAAGTGTATTCGTGAGAAAAAAAAAAAAAGTTATCCTCCACCCTATATTTGTCATTATCGCCATGACAAGAAAGCCTGCTTATATAGATTTATGAATACTGTATGTAAAAAGAGTAAAGGTAAAAATATGACCAAATAACAGATACTGGCCTCTATTTAATAAGTTTTTCAAATGATTTTTTTGGGGTGGTAAACTATCAACATTTAATGGAACTATTAAACTATTTTACAAAACAAAATAATTTTAGAGGTTTATCCCAAAATATTAAATCCAGGCCACTGCTGGAAGCAGTCTTCCTGGCCCCAAGGTTCATATAAAGAGATGTTGGATAAACTGATCGCTAGGACTTATGTTCTAAAAAGAAAAAAAAAGTCATAGTGAAAGATTTGTGTCACGAACCCTTACAGAGATAGTACATTCAAAATAAAACCTTAAAAATCAATAAGTTATTTTGTTATTTTCTTCAATTTAACATTTCGCTCATGCAACTAGGAAAATCTCAGTTTTTAGGATGTCATGAGATTTTAGTCAGAGAATATATTAACCCGAGGCCATATCATGGTCACTAATTATTCCAAGAACGTGGTAAGTTCATTGCACAGTTCCGTCAACGTCTCATCAAGATAAGGAGAAATTAGACTTGTTTTAGACAGAGAAACAAAAGCTGTTCTGTGCAAGACATAGAAAGTAAGGACAAACAAAATCTGACCTTTAAAAGGGGGCTATAAAATATAAACACAAAATGATCTCAAATTGAGCACGAGCTGTCACATTTTCAGTTCTAATTTTACATTCATTAGAAACCATTTCCTTTCTAGCAGATGTTGAGAAGCTTACTTTTAGTAGGTGCATCTGATCTGCACGCCATAGCAGTTAATTGTAGGGCAAATATCATAAATGCTCATCAATGGCTAGTGTGGGCTAGAGCCTCAAGTTGAACAATGGAGCATCAGCAGAAGGTGGTTCTGGAATCTGTCTAATAACCAAGTCCAGCTCACTGTCTGTTCCTCATCCATCACAAATACCAATTACACTGCTCCATTGACTTTCAGTGTGGTCATGTCCACGGGGTATTGGGGCAGAAAAGTTCTATTCCAGGGCTCACCACAAATGTTAAAGGCAAATAACATTTAAATATGGAGAGAAGGACAGGACCTAATTTTGACAATGAGATAAGCTGTAACCCCTCATGGGCTGTTTTAGCGTAAAGGATGCAGACTGCCCCAGTTGATAAGTCACTTACTGTTAAAATCTTGTTTTGTCAAGTAAATCAGCAAAATGGATCTTGGCTAGGTTACATTTAAAAAAAATAAGGTTCTCATTGCAAGAACAAAAGAGGGGGCTCTCACTGCAGAAACAGAGACGGGGCTCTCCTCCACAGACAGACAATCCTCTCACACACTGCCTTAAAGGACCACTCTAGCTTAATGATGTGGTCTGGGTGCCAGGTCCAGCTATGGTTAACCCATTTTATTTTTTTATAAACATAGCAGTTTGTTATGAATGGGTTAAGCCTTCCCCCATTCCCTCTAGCGGCTGTCTCATTGACTGCCGCTAGAGGCGCTTGCGTGCTTCTCACTGTGATTTTCACAGTGAGAGCACGCCAGCGTCCATAGGAAAGCATTAATAATGCTTTCCTATGCAACCGGCTGAATGCGCGCGTGCGCATTCAGCCGACGGGGAGGAGAGAAAAAGAGGATCGGAGGAGGAGAGCTCCCCGCCCAGCGCTGGAAAAGGGTAAGTTTTTACCCCTTTCCCCCTTCCAGAGCCGGGCGAGAGGGGGTCCCTGAGGGTGGGGGCACCCTCAGGGCACTATAGTGCCAGGAAAACGAGTATGTTTTCCTGGCACTATAGTGGCCCTTTAATACGCAGTCTACATACACCTACAGCTTGTCAGCCATACAGTAGCTGTCAGTGTAAAACATTATGGACAAATATGTCAATTTTACACAGCTAAAGTGGCACATAAATAAGTTTTGGTTAAATACCAAAGTATTATATGTGCAGGGTCAACACACTAGATCTGAAATGCTCTCGTGTTTGACTTCTTATTTTTTTTAACAGGTTTTTTAAAATATTTCACTAAAAGTGTTAAAGAAGCAAACACAGTGTATCTAGAATTTAGTCAAAGTTTAGTCACTAAACAATGAATTGTAGCGAATTGATGACCAAAATGTCCAAATTTGACACTAAATTTACCAGATTGTGATTTTAGATTAGAGCTATTGCAAATCAGTACTTTTTGTCAAACTTTTACAAATCTGTTTTAGTCAATACAATTCACCGTTTAGAGAATAAACCCCCACAATATAAAACAAAAGCATAAAAAAAAAAAAAAACAACAACTACAAAGTTGGCTTAATGGAACCCTTTTGTTCCCGTAAGTTTTCTTGTAATTGTCCTATTTATAGTTAAATCCCCACTCTCATAATATTGTAAAGCGCTACGGAATCTGTTGGCGCTATATAAATGGCGATAATAATAATATTAGCCTGTATTCCTAATGCTGTAGTACCCCTAGTTTTATTCAGCATCCTCCCCTATTTTTTTAAATTTCCTTTTTCCAGCATCAAGACTTGGAACTGCTGTCCTCTCTGCCTCCCGCAACGTGGAGAAGGCATGATTTCCTCAGGCAATGTTCCTCTCAGCTGCAATGTCACATGGCCAACCTTTACTCTGTCAGAGCAGCGGCAGCACCTCTAGTGGCTTAAAACATTTTCAACCATTCAAGGTAACATTACCCTTTCTGCAAAATGGTAATGTTTTCATTTGTAGGGTTAAACATACAAGACCACTGCACCCAGACCACTTCATTTACCGCCTTAAATTAGAGAAAATTAAAACTTAAATTAAGACAACACCTGTGGGAGGGTTAGGGAAGCAATGAATGCAGAGAAGAGTTACAAATTAAAACCGTGTGGGAAAAGTAGCCATTTGTTAAAAAAAATATTTAGTAAACACTTGTCTAACTACCCATCCTCCCTATTACTCTGTACAATAGAACACACTAAGCATCCTGACATCTGGTGCAATGTTATTTTTTAATAAAAAAGAAAAAGATGGTCAGAAGTTCAGTTTATGCTGCACTTTGGAAAAACACCAAACCCTGAGGTAATAGAAAATATTCCATGTACCATCAATGGTTCAGTGGACACAGATCATGTGATCTAGCAGATACAAGGCATGCTGCATGAACTCCGCAAATGGCGCACAGAAAACCGCAAATGGCATGGGGGGGAGGGGCAGGAGGAATCACTGCACAAAAGATTTATTTTTTAAATAATATATCTGAAGCGTGATCTTTGGCAGATATGCATACACACAAGCTCATGGCATTGAGAGTTAGGAGTCAGGAGCACCACATCCTCAGACATTGACCCTACAGGAATGTCTATTAGCTCAATCAGCTACATTATGCTACCCAGGCAGCACCCATAATTAGTTCAACCTCCATTTTGGAAAGGTCAATGTGTTCTCCCATTACAGCAAACTCCCTGCCAAACAGACCAAATAATGCTGTGCTATGAAAACATGTAGGTATGCTTTTTAAGAGCATCATAATATTTCCACACAGCATAAAGTTAAGAAGAGGTATGTGAGGTAATATATACATTTATATTTATGAAGTAGTGCCAGATGGTATTTTAATGTTGACTGTGTTTATTTCATGTAAGTGTCCATTTCACCATGCTAGAGATAAAATAATGACACTATAGTAAAATAAATAAATTTAGGCCAAAATAGATAAATGGTGACTATAGTGAACTTGGGGCCTTTCAAAATCAGCACCTTTTCACTACATTTTGCAATTTGATTTTCAATTCACAACAATTCTGTTTTTAGTGAACAAACACAGATGAACTAGGTGGAGTTAAAGGACCACTATAGTGCCAGGAAAACATACTCGTTTTCCTGGCACTATAGGGTCTCTAGGTCCCCCCCACCTTTAGGGTCCCCCTCCCGCCGGGCTCTAGGGGGTGGAAGTGGTTAAATCTTACCTGTTTTCCCCTGCCGGGCTCCCTCGGCGCGGGGAACTCTCCTCCTCCTTTTCGCCGTCATTGGCTGAATGTGCATGCGCGGCAAGAGCCGTGCGCGCATTCCGCCAGTCCATAGAAAAGCATTCTCAATGCTTTCCTATGTGGAAATACTAATGGAGTCTTCTCACTGTGAAAATCAATGAGAAGTGCAGAAGCGCCTCTAGCGGCTGTCAATGAGAGGTTAATCTTAGATGGACCTGGCACCCAGACCACTTCATTAAGCTGAAGTGTTCTGGGTGCCTACAGTGGTCCTTTAATCTTAAAAAAAGCAACCCAAAATATAAAAAAAAAAAAATTTTAGACCACCATTAACAGTAGATTTCACTACATCTGACATGCATAAAGAATACAAAATTAGTTTCACTTGATGGTGGTTCATTCCTTTAATGCAAACTCCATGCACTAGTGGTTTTGGTGCATAGATGATGCCCGGTTTCACAGACAATGAAAAATTTGGCTCAGAGAAACAGCAATGTTTACATGAGCCAGAGAACACACTTCTAGTGGTCACTAGAGAGAGGCACTTCATCATTAAGACCTTCGGAAATCAAAGGTCTTCATTTTCAGGGGTCATCACACATGGCATGAAGATGCCATACAGCGTTAATACTTTTCTCAGAGAAGAAATGGGTTCAATGCTTCTCCATGAAAACAGTCAGATTTGCCATGCATACATCCTCTATTCGCAATGCTGCGAGAAACACTGGAATGAAGAAAAGTGATGTGATCAGCATTCATGACATCAAAGAAGGCAGGGCAGCAGCAAAGAGGAGTCGGTACTAGTGTTGCACTATGAGCACGTTTCAAAGAGCTTTCAAAATAATTAAAATACATAAACTGTGGAGTAAATATTTGGGGGGAAAAAAAGAAAAAAAAAGGCAATATATAATTTTTTTTTACATCCTCAAAAAGGGGAAACATTCCTGTACTAGATGTTAACAAAACAAATTAACTATTGCCGAGGAGATATTCTTATATTTACATAGATACACCTATTTATATAGACAGATGGACGGACCGACCAGAAGTTTACAGTTACTTTAGACAAACGAGGAATTGGTGGTGAAAAATTAGCTTTCCAGTGATTGCTGAAATTTACTATAGTTCAGAAAATGACTGTTGTACATCACATACATATGTCAGATCTTACTAAATGTCTGTATTGGGCATAGCATTTGAGTAAACCTTTTTCCACCATTCTCCAATAATCCCCCTTTGGATATGCAAATGAGCAGACATGCATTGTGTTTCAGACTTCATCTTGTACTTGGCACCGATACCAATAAAACAATGTTTTAAAGGGACACTATGGGCACCTAGATCACTTCATTGCAATGAATTGGAATGGATGCAGTGCTCCTGGAATTTAAACCCTGCATTGTAAATTACAATATGTATCCCTAACACTTAAGTGCATTTTTTGGACACCAAAACCTATACTACAAACACACTAGCAAATCTGTTATAAGAATCCCAAAGTCCTTGAAGAAAGATATCTTATTTGCCATTGCATTCCTTCTAAAGCTTTTTTTTTTTTTTTTTTTAACACTGCAAATATTTCACCTCTGTTATCTGTTTATTTAGCAGCCTACCCCCTGGGAAAAATCAACACTAATACACCTGAGGTGTTCGACCCCATTTCCTGCTACTAAATCAAACTGAAATACTGAAAAAGCTGAAAATATGTTAGAAATTTTATACAGAAAATGACATAAGTACCGTGGCTAATTTTAGCAAAGTGCAGTGCTTTCTCAAATGTTTGTACACTAATTAAAAGTTTGGACTTTATTAAAGGAGACAGAACAATTAAGATTTTCAGGTGGGACTTTTTTTTTTTTTAAAGAAATATAAAAAGTTAAAGGAACATTCCCGTGTTATAAATATATTCATTTATGCCGCTAGAGTGTTGAATGTGCTATTGCTATCTATTGCCCTTTCCTTCACCCTAAATTAATGAGGTTACCTATCTCTAATTCAGCTGCGAGAGGGAAAGTTCATCACTGGCGCTGATATTCTAACCAATCTAATGCTTACATAATAAAGCAGTATGAGGCAGGGGGGATGTGCATCAATCACTGCACTGCGCAACAATGCTTCTCATAGAAATGTAATCAATCCAATATTTTTTTATTTATTTTTTTATAAAAAGCCTTCCATCCTCTGAGCTTACGCTCAAAGCATTCAAGGAACAGGGTGCAACGCAGGACCTTTATAAGTAACAATTTCTCTTGAGGTCAGCCTTTTTCCAAAGACAGAAAGAGTTGAAGTGCTTTAGGGGTTTGGAGTATCCCTTAAAAAAAAATAAACAAACTTGTTTAAAAGTGACAATTTTTATGTAGATTAATAGAATATAGTACAGGAATTTGGCTTCCGAGAAGTTGAACAAGCAAACTAAATTTAACAAGGATCTGTATCAGAAGGCCACTGAGTTAATCACTAAACTGGAAATTGTAGAGAATTGACTAAAAGAATTTCAAGCTTCATGCTTCAGTAATTGATCCAGGAAATTTTTGGGCCAAAAGTTTGCAATTCCCCACAATATTCTTTTGTTGTTTTTAATTTATTTTTTTAATAAAGGAACAGAAATTAGACTGTTTAGCATTAAAGAGAGGGTGCATCCATAGAGAATTATCTCCCCCAAGTTAAGAGCCGGTAGTAAAATTTAAGAAGGCAAGGCTCTGAGTATGTAGGACACAGAATGCAAACTTGGGTAACTGCAAGAGAATGCAAATGTTACAAGCTGTGACTGAAAAATCAGTAGCTCATTAATCATGCTCTTTACTCAATCTCCCAGACAATTTCAGGCCATCTGTGAGTAACTGAGAACATGTGGCTTCTCGGAGCGAGTATACCATGCAGCAACATGTACAAATGAAAGCAGGGTTTGTAACTAAGGAATATCTTCATCATAGGAATGGAATCATCCTACAATTCCGTTTGCAAGTTAAATATGAGAATTTATGTTTAAAGGAAATATAGAGTTAGGAATGCAAACATGTATTCCACATGCATGTACTGATAATATTTTGCCGATAATAAAATAAAATAAATAAATGCACAGCAAATCACCAAGCTTTGCCAATCAGCATAGAGATGCATTGAATCGATCTTTGCAGGACCAAACTCAGGAAGTTCCACTAGTATATTATGGCATTAATCAATTAACTGAAAATCTTTCTGCAGGCAAGGGTTAACTAGTGATTACATTTGTGCCTTAAGGTAAATATAGGTGATCACTTTAATTAAAAAGGGTTTCAATTCACAGTGGAAAGCAGTTTCTATCTGCATGGAGTTCTGGGAATTCTGTGGAAGATTTTGAGCTAGAAATGCAATGATCACTGAAAACATTCTACACCATTATCTGCATTTTGTTTCTAGACGATAAAATCCTTTTCTCCCAAAGTCTATTTTTAAACTATATGCAAATGTATAAAAATAAACCTGCAGGATATGCTAAAGAAAACCTAAAAATACTCAGTTGACATTTAAAATTTCATGAGCACATTCCTGATAATAATCCCCACTCCCTCCACACACCAAATAAACTTTTTATTGAATTTTAGATATGGCTGCACTATATTCTACTTATACAGGGCTATTCACTAAGGTGAGAATTCAAAGTGAATTACAATTTTAAGGCCAGAGTAGTCAAAGTGAAACCCCAGCTGACTTAGAGAATTTTGGCGTGTCAGCTATTTTGACCTTAAATTTAAAATTCACTTTGTATTCAAGTAAAACTCTAAATTTTAGTGAATAACCTGGTAGATTACAATCCAATGAAAGTGTACAATTTTCCCCCTGAAAGGAACACTCCAAACACCATAACCACTACAGCCCTGATGCACTAAGCAAATGAGCACAGTTCCTCATGGCCCTCCTATAAGTCTGCTGATGGATCGATGGATCCCAGGTAAGACATCAAAACTGCGCTAAGATGTTTTAGCTATTTACTGTGGGACATCGCCAGAGCACGACTGGCACCATAACCACTACAGCCTGGCTTTAGTAGTTATGGCGCTGCTTGGAGTAACTCACAATAGCAACAGCATTTTCTAAATATGACAGTTTAAAACTTTGACTCCATTTTGATGGCTAACTTTGGCACCGCACAGGCTTAACTGCAGTTTCTATAATGCCCAGCTCAACAGCGAGCCACTGTGTATGAAGACAAAAGTATGGAGAAAAAAAATAAAAAATCATGTGATCTGCTTACCACACGCACTGGAGGCTACGGCAGGACTCACGTGTTCTTTAAAAACATCTGTTCCAGTGAAAAAAGGGGGGCATATAATCACAACATCTAACTTGGTGAGCCATGTTTGTGACTGCTATACAGGAATTTCACATCACACGCTAAACTACTTATTTTGCAATTGAAATCTAGGCCCTGACCTTACACATTATCTATTCCCCCTTCTAAAACAATGCTTAGGAAAAGGAGGTGGAGACTTGAGTAAAAATGGACAGGGTAACAGCAGGAGAGCATTTAAAATGTAGCAGAAACAGAAGGGGGTTAAAGTCTGTGAGATAAAGTTGCACATCAAACACTGGGAGGGTTTTTTCACATCTGTAAGTCAGTGGAAGCAGAACAGAAGGTGTAAAAAAACTACCCAATCAAATGTTTGCAGATCTGAGTTGTCACAATAACTTGTGAGCATGTTTTCCCATTCCTTCCCCCTTGAATGGAAGAATTCCATATACATACATAAATGGGTACCTAAACCTTCCAAATAAAATCTACCAAAGCTAAGGTACGTTTAAGCATTAATAGAATGTGTAATGTTGCAGTGTGGGGAATAAAACAGGTCATGAAGGGGTTAATAGCATATGGTACAAAACGGTCTTTAGGCATACATGAAAAATGTCAGCCTAAAATCTATTGATTGCCAATAAGCCCCCAAGTCTTTTAAAATGCCTTTACAGGCTATATTTAACTCTGCTGACCTTGTTTTATACAAATAAAGAGCAGATATTATGGGATATTAGAGTCCATTTAAAAAAGGAGTGTAATGCATTGCACAATAAAACACAAAACACAAGTAAAAAAGAAAATTATCTAAGTCTATGACGAAGGTTTATTTTCTAACAATAACCGATCAATCTATTTAATTACAACTTCTGGCGTGAAGGGGTAAGATAGGTATGCATCTTAATCAGGAAAGAAGGTTTAAGAAAATAATATTGAGCTTTTTTGCACATGTTGATGTTCTGTGGAAAACAGAACACAGTGCCTTGATACAAAAGAGGAACCATCACTTTCCCAGTTTTAGCTTAAAGGGACACTATAGTCACCAGACCAACTACAGCTTATTGAATTTGTTCTGGTGAGTAGAATCATTACCTTCAGGCTTTTTGCTGTAAACACTGTCTTTTCAGAGAAAATGCAGTGTTTACATTACAGCCTAATGATAACTTCACTGACCACTCCTCAGATGGCTGTTAGAGATCCTTCCTGGGTCATGGCTGCCTAAAATGCATCCAAACATTCAGTGTCTCCTCCCTCTGCATGCAGACACTGAACATTCCTCATAGAGATTCATTGATTCAATTCATCTCTGTGAGGCGATGCTGATTGGCCAGGGCTGTGTTTGAATCATGCTGGCTCTGCCCCTGATCTGCCTCTTTGTCAGTCTCAGCCAATCCTATGGGGAAGCATTGTGATTGGATCAGGCCACCACTTCTGATGATGTCAGCAGACTGCTTATTTTTTTTTTTTTTTAGGCAAACAGCATGTAGATCTACAGCTTCAGGCTTGAATACAGTAAGATATGGCTATATTTATGGGGTCATGAGGGGCCCTATAGGGTCAGGAATACATATTTGTTGTCCTGGCCCTATAGTGATCCTTTAACTAATAATGTAGCTATTGATTGAGCTTAAACATAAGTAAATTAATACAATCTACATGGTTTCTTTTATTTTAACTTGCCTGTTTTGGTGGGGAACAAGAAACAGTCACATCTCTGGAAGGGTTAGTACCTCTTTAAACTTAGACTAAAAAAATACTATTGCTAAGTTATGGGTGAAAAAAAAAACGGAAAAACAAATAGAACAAGAAAATAAAAACAAAAACGGGCACAATGGTGTATTAAAAAAAAAAAAAAAGAGGCGTAGTGATGAACCTTTTCATTTTTCTTTTGTTTGTTTTTGTTTCATATGTAGAAAAAAACAGAATTGAGAACCAAAAAGTAACATGATATAAGTATGCAAATTTGTTCACTTGTAGTGCCATACACATGCACTGAATGTGAGCCTGAGGGTTTGCCAATCACATAAGAGCAGCAGAATTAAGAAAGATCAGCTGGGAGTGTATAAAAAAAAAAAATAATAAATCAAAATAAAACAGACAGCATAGGCACAAGACTGTTCTTAGTAGATCTGGTCAGCATGACGGGTCATTTTCTCTCAAAGCTACTGTCAGAGACGATATTCTTAGAATCCACTCTACTACTTACAAATATAGATTCCCATTGGTTGCAGAGTGGCAGCCACTGACAAGATTGTCCCTCTTCTCTGCCATACGCTTAAACAGAGACACCAGGCAGAAGGGAGTGCGGGAGTATGTATGAAATGTGCATTCCATTATAGAACACTAATTTGGTTGCAGTTTAAAAATTAACATCTGCTGCTATAAAAAAACAGTAAGAGTTATTTTAAAAATGTAGTTACTGAAGATAGGGCCTTCAATTCAAATTTGAACACAAAACATTTTTTATGAAAATTAAATTTTTTACCTTGAAAAACATGAATTCTATACACAAACACACCATAAAATATATTTTTTCTCTTCAGAAATTCAAAATGTATCCGCTTGTCTGTTTTACGCTGGATATGTACAAAAGCACCTTGAAAAAGGTCCCCCTTCATCAAAATATTTTTCGATCTTGTTTTACATACAGAAAGGAATTCCACACAAGCACTGACCTCGAGAGATGTTCCTTTCAGATCTCTGTACCGGAATATAAAGCTTAAAGTAAAAGGTAAGTTCTAATTACACTGTGAAGCAGAGCAGAAAAAATTATAGGAGATCCAAGAAGGCATTATTAGCCATGACAGGGAAACACTTCCATTCTTATATGAGCTCACAGGACAAAATAAGCTTGTACAATCGTACAAAACCTGTGATCAGACCCCAAGATAAAATTTCAGGAAATAAATTACTTCTTTTGCTGATACAGGGGAAAAAGAAGGAAGTAAAATATTTGGATATTTGGGAGGAAAGAATGCTAAGATATATGACATCAACCCATAGGGGATGTTGAGAAAACATTACTCTTATGGGAAAAACACACGGAGATGCCAAATATTTAGTAAAAAAAAAAACAACAAAAAAATGTTGTGGGACACAAGTGAGGAACAAGCAAATCATGCGTTTTTGGCACTCTGAGGAATTATCTCTATGTAGACTCGTGGTGGAAGAATGTTTTACAGCGTGCCAAAAGTCTTAAACGTTCCTGCCTTATGCCCCGAGTTTCCTTATGGATATTCATACAAAGGAAACTTGCCATGATCCACTGCAGGATCATGGTGTCAAGATACAGAGATGACCAACAGATTTTTTCGAGAATATGAGAAAGACAAAAGAAAGCAGAGACATGGCTGACTGATTTTAATTCCCAAGATGCATTCTCATTTCTATGAACAAATAAGTAACAGTATGCCAAGATTTTCAAGGGTCGGGGTCGTGTGTAAGAAAAACACCCACTAAACTCTGCTGACATTTCCCACAGACCAAGGGAGCCTAGTTTGTGGAAACATAAACCATTATGACATTCAACCATGCACAATACGTGATAGGGGATGCTTTTTCCTTTTCACAATTAATAAAACGCAAGATAACCTCAAGTGAATAGTTTCTCATGTCCCAGCATTCTCAAAAGATTACCGCCTAATCCTTTCTCATACGAACATGGGATATGAACCCAGAGGATCCCATGTCGCTATGGCGTTTCAGTTCAACTAACTTATGCATTGGGATTTAAAAACAGCCCAGCCTTGGAATGACAATTTGAGGCTGATCTTGTAAATTTGCTCCTGACTTTATTCACAATTTTACAAAATTGCTACTACTCTCACACAGCTTTTACGGTAAAACCATGGATAAATCCAGATAACGAGAGATATCAGATATCACTTTTACAATTCATGAAGAATAGAACAATGGCTCACTTTAGACAAATTGATTTCCACACACCTACACAACACTTGTACACTCATATTACAGTAAATGATCACACTGAATATTTGAACACTCATTCATACCTCTTAGGGAATAAGAAATTAGAACCATCCATCTTTAGCAAACAAAGAACATTCTTTAAAGGATGTCGGAGAATTACTGCAGAATACCCACCAATGTTATACACAGGGTTAATGGAGGAATGAACCATTTATTAAGCTGATAAAAAAAAATCATAATTTTTCAGACGTTAGACTTGAGCGTCTGCTTTATCGCACAGTTTATGAATCATCTCTTGTAGATTTATTTCGAAAAAAATAAATAAAAAGTTAGTAAAATAAACTGGCTGTTATGGAACCAATTTCAATGTTGTCAGATGTGTTCAAAACTGTAACATGAACAGAATGGAACTAAAACAGAAGAACCAGGCGTACAGCTTTGATGAAAAACAGTTTTAGAAAGATATGGTTTACCAGTACTATAACACAGTTTGTTAAAGGAACACTAAGCACCATAACCACAGCAAGTGTCTCTATGAGAGCCAGAATCTCTCTACTTTAAGCAAACCCTAGCGTGTTGTAGTGGTTATGGTGCCTGGAGGGTTCCTTTACGTCACAGAGAGGTTGGATGGGGGTAGGAGGAGCTAAAAATGGTAACATCACACTAAACTTACTCCCTTAACAGTAACGGTGACTAACAAGGCCCAAAAGATCTCAGCTTTAAATAGCTGAAAGTGTTATGTACCCCTAGCCCCTTCATATGGACAGAACATGCGATTAAGGGCTTACTCATAGGACTACATTTGTAGGAAATAACTGCTCACTGAACAGAGCAGGCAATTGTAGACCACAAAATGAAGCAAAAAAAAAAAAAAAACATTTTTGCATCAAACAAGAAATCCATTGAAGATATGGTCTTATTTTTAAGGTGGCAATCTTGCAAGTCTCAATGCATTATCAAACTAGATTAAATTTGAAAGGTTACAGTTTATGCTTTCCTTTAGAAATCCCAACCCATCATTTTAATTTTGAAATGCATGAAACATTACCTATCTTGCAAAATCGAATTGTTACTCCCAGTCACAGGACACAACTTAATTTCACACAGACCAAACAAGACATTTTATAAGTTTATATTAAGCCTATAAAATTACAATCAGCATCCTTTACTCAGTATTCTAAAATTAGGGAGCAATTATATTGCATGGCACAATAAAGATCAGCAAAAAAATGTATATGTATATTAGGATTAATCATGTAAACCTGAGGGAACAGAGAATTATAAGGCCACTAAGGCAATGACAAAATAGAATTTGGGAATTAAAAGGACACTCCAGGCACCCAGACCACTTTTGCCCATTGGCGTGGTCTGGGTGCCAACTCCCATCACCCTTAACAACCCTGCAAGTGTAATTTATAAACTGCAATAATTACCTGGCAGGGTTAAGTCCTATCAGACGGCCACTAGAGGGACTTGTGGCTTCTTAAAACACAAAAAGAGTTTTAAACGACGCTGGACGTCCTCACGCTATGCATGAGGACCTCCAGCATTGCCGGAATCCCCATAGGGAAGCATTGAATAATGCTTTCCTATGGGGAGGTCTAATGCGCGCGCATGGCCGTTGCCGCGCATGTGCAATTTTGTCTCCCCCGACGGCTGACGGCGGCGAGGCAGGAGTGTGTCCCTCGGCGCTGGATTCAGGTAAGTCACTGAAGGGGTTTTAATTCCTTCAGCAACATGGAATGGGGGGGTGGGAAGGAGAGGGGCACTGCAGGATTCTACAGTGCCAGGAATTAATTATATAAGTCACAGCAGGCAGGCTGATAATACATGCAAAAGTTATTGTAAATAGGAAGTTACAGTCAATAGGCAGTCTGTACACAACCCATCAAATTTAAAAGTCTAAAAAGCACACACAAAAATGGAGAAAAATCAATTTCAAAAAAATCAATTGAACTAGCAAACATCTAAACTGTATCTATTGCAGGGATGGATATTTTTTGCAAAATTGCTATTGTAGCTTTTTAAATGTTGCCATTTCATTTCAATTCATAACAGTTTGTTGTTTAGTAAATAAACATATGTGTAGGTAGTGTATAAAAAGTCAAAAAAAAATAAACTTAAAAAAAAAGTATAGCCCTAAATTGAGTCTATACGGAATATTTTAGATAGAAGTTTTAGAAGTGATTTTTCAACCAGTAGTCAAATAAATGAGCAAGGAAAGTCTGCATCTATGAATTTAAAAACGACATTCATGAATAAATCCACCATATGTGACTTGTCTTGGTAAATCTTCCCATAACAGAGCGCCACTGAGAGAAAGCATTCACAGTGCATTGCTATTCAGCTCTGTTTTGTAAATTCAGACATATTTTTCTGCATTCTTAATCCTGCTGTCTGAAATGTCTTAACAACTCTTCATTAAGCTTTCCATAAAGGTCAGAAACATCTTTGGTGGGATTTAGCGAACACATGTGGCCTACAGAAATTTCATCACAGCCCTAATGAGCATAAAACGTCCACCTACCAGATACTAGTGGGGCATCGGCTTCAGAACAGAACGTTTTGCAATTTTTTTCCGTTAATTTTAATAGGAATTGTTACTTTAAAAAAAAAAATAATAATAAAGAATGGTCAAAGCAGCCACACATTTTCAGACATTTCTTTTTACAGAAAAAGTCAGTCAAAAAAAAGTAATCTGTACTGCAAGAATGGAAAAAAGGAAATCGATTTTATTTAAGTTTCCATAATTAACAAGTAACGTCCCAACATTTAAATGATATACACTAGAGCCCTTAGCCTATTCCCATTTTATGAATAAGTTAGGTTTAGATTTAAAGAGACACTGTAGTCACCAGAACAACTACAGCTTATTGCATTTGTTCTGGTGAGTAGAATCATTACCTTTAGGCTTTTTGCTGTAAACACTGTCTTTTCAGAGAAAATGCAGTGTTTACATTACAGCCTAGTGATAACTTCACTGACCACTCCTCAGATGGCTGTTCGAGATCCTTCCTGGGTCATGGCTGCCTAAAATGCATCCAAACATTCAGTATCTCCTCCCTCTGCATGCAGACACTGAACTTTCCTCATAGAGATTAATTGATTCAATGTATCTATGAGGGGATGCTGATTGGCCAGGGCTGTGTTTGACTTTTGCTGGCTCTGCTCCTGATCTGTCTCCTTCACAATCTTAGCCAATCCTATGACTCAGAACACCACTTCTGATGTAAGCAGACAGCTTGCTATTCTGAGCCATACAGGGGCAGATCCAGCAGCTTTAGGCTTTAATACAAGTTAGATTTTACCATATTTAGGGAGGCAAGAGAGGGCCAGGGGGGCTATATGGTGGTTTTAACACTATAGGGTCAGAAATATAGGTTTGTGTTCCTGACCCTATAGTGCTCCTTTAATGGACCACTATAGTCACCCAGACCACTACAGTCACCCAGACCACTTCAGCTCAATTAAGTGGTGTGGGTGCCAGGGCCCCCAGCTTTTAACCCTGCAGCTATAAACATAGCAGTTTCAGAGAAACTGCTATGTTTACATTGCAGGGTTAATCCAGCCTCTAGTAGCTGTCTTCCTGACAGCCGCTAGAGGCGCTTCCCCGACGTTCAATGCGTAAAATCGCATTGAGCACGCAGAATGTCCATAGGAAAGCATTGAGAAATGCTTTCCCATGGGTGTTTTTAGTGCGCGCGCGGCTCTGGCCTCCCATGCGCATTCGGCTCTACTCGGGAGCTGACTGAGGGGGGAGGAGTGATCACCAGCGCCGAGGGAACCCAGCGCTGGATAAAGGTAAGCTGCTGAAGGGGTTTAACCCCTTCAGCCCAGTGGGAGGGGTGCCCTGCTGGAGGGGGGGACCCAAGGATTATATAGTGTCAGGAAAGCAAGTTTTTTTTTTTCCCTGACACTATAGTGATCCTTTCAGGGTAAATTTTTATTTTGAGATTAGTGTCATTAGGGAAAACATTAAATGTAAAATTATGTTTAAGGTTAATTTAAGCCTTACTCCTAGAGTTCGGGTGAAAGAGGTTAAATGTGTTACCCGACCCTAATTTTAACCCTCACTTAACCCTAAACATCCCACATGCCTGTTCTTGTTAAATGCCCTAACTATAATGTGAGTGCGAAAATAGATTTACTTAATTTGCAGGACCTTGCGGAGGAGGAGTTAGCAGTTCAGCTGATGCCTCATCATCAGGAGTGACGTGGTGGTCTCACGCATGCTCTCAACCACCAGATTCCTATACCCGTCAGGAGTACTAGCATATGTGCAGCACAAGTGACAACTGATTTTTTTGACAGGGTATAGAAATCTTCCAAAACACTGGGAAATGGGGCCAGGGAACGCCTCACATCATAACTACTTTAAAATAATCTCCAGATCTTGTGAGCATTTCTTCTAATGTGCTTTTGTTCCAAAATATGTAAGGACTACTTTATCTTTTGGCCCGCTTTCTGATGCCTTGTGATGTTAATTTACTTCTAGTGCCTTAGCCCATGGTTAGTAATGGGAATATTCAATAAACAGAGGATTTCTAATATAGACAACTGAACTTGTGGACAAACGGGATTACTTTGGAAAATCATCATGTAGAGGTCAAGCCAGGTATAGGAAGACGAGTCTGGTTCCTTCACCTTGAAACTGCCATTTACAATGTGCATACACTCTATTTTAATCACTGTTTTAAACTGTAAAGAACAAAGTATAGGGGATATCACAATTCATGGGAATGTTGAAAAACAAAAAAAACATACAGATAGATTTACTTAATTTGTGGCCAGAAAACCAACCTTCTATAACACAGGCACACATCCATGGAAATTTAGTAGTGGAAATTTGGTATAACACTACACAGACTTAAAATAGATTGTAAGCTTATGTGCCTGCATAGCACTTCATTAGATTAAAGCCATGGACAGGGTTCGGTGTACATTATATGGAATTATAACCAATTGCATCTCAAGTAGAAAAGTATGTACAGTAATAATCAATCTGACCTTGTTATTCTGAACCCATGGTGGACTGGTTATCACAAATTTCATTTTGGTAGATAAATATCCTTGTACTGTAAATTGGCTGCAGAAAGAGAGGGGAGTGATTGTCTAAGTGCCTCTTTTTCCTGGCGATCATCACACACACCTATTACAATAATTATATAGAAGGGGATTTTCCTCCTTTGGTTTATTGGCAAATCTTAGAACCCATAGTATGTTTTAATATGTCCACAGACTCCCCTTCAACAACTTCAAATAAGGCACAGTCTAATGCAAGAATGAAAAAACAGCAAGCCTCCAGCTGTCTCTGGACTATAAATCACACATCACTCAGCCAAGACGTGGATATGGGTTGACTTCCAATAACAGCTGGAGAGTCTCACTTGCCCAGCCCTATCTTCAGTATAAAAAAAAAAACAAAAAAAAAAAAACACAACATCCCAGTAATGAGCATTCTTCTTCAATGATGTGATGAGAAGTATAAAAGCGTGCCAAGTTCTCTTTATTAGTCCTATAGTGAATGCATGTACAGATGTCACACAAAGACACTTAACTTCTGACTAAAAAGGAATATAAGACGTAGGAAAATTACAAAAACTATTACTATACAATATTTCTAATTCATTCTAGTGCTGAAGTGGTTAAAAAAAAAAAAAAGGAAATACAGATATGCAGTTATAGAACTACGACTTCCAATTTGCTTTGCAAGTGTATCACTCAAAGCATCATGGGTGTTCTCCTCAAACAGCTCCGTGTCCTCATTTTGGCTACAGCTGCTCTAAAGCATTCCCTACATATCTCACCTGAGTTTCCTCATTATGCCTATAAGGCACATAGCTTGACATAAAAGTGTATAAAAAAAAAAATTTTTTTACTAAAAAACAAGTTGCGATGAACAAATTAGAAATATGTAGGCTAGCGTACAGTCAATGAAACTTACCTACCAGCTACTGTGTTTTGTTTTTTTGAAAATGTTGAACGTTTTACTAGATGAAGTAAAAGCGAAAAGAACAAACTTAGTGGACAGAAGACGACAAATATTACAAGGTGAAAATAATGAAGATGGGTCCACCACCCAACTGTAGGATTCCGAGGTAGGAATTAAAATTAACTGTGGCAGCAAGTCAAAATAAGTTACATTCATACCAACTATATTGAAAATACTGGGTTACGCCACAACGTGTAAGGAATTTAAAAAGTAAGTATATCTTATTGGGGCAGGGAGGTACTTGAGTTGCTGGTTTTTATTTTTAGTTTTTTTTTTTTAATTCCTTTATTTTGGCCTAAATTTCTTGGCTAATTCTAGAAAAATCCAAAACAATTCACAGTTCACCTAATAGCCATGATAGATAATAGGATAACCCCAAATTGATGTCAGAAATTCACATGATACTTATAGAGATAGGAGATATGAGGACAGAAAATCTGTTGTAACAAGCACACCGTGAAAAACAACAGTATTGAGCAAGTTTTTCTCTTATACCTAGAAGCAGTGTTATTCCTCCCAAGTAATTAAGATGATAATGAAGTGTTAAAAAGAATGGAAGTGGCCACGCACTTTCCTTACATAACATGTCAACAAAACTATTACAGAATATATTAGACAGATATTTAGGAGGCAACTTGATTCATCTAAAGTTCCTTTCTTAGACACAAGGAATATTTTATGTTATTTAAAACGATCTGAGGTATACACACACACACAATAGTAGCTTCAAAACATCATGGTGCTCTAATGTTTATTAAAGAGGCCTAGGGTGTGGAGGGAAAAAGGAATCTGGAAAATGTTCTGTATGGAACTGAAGGCATGAAGCATATTCGATTACAGCATTCTGTGGACCCACTGTTTCCAGAACTCTTAGCCACCGACAACCTTAAACTCGGCACAGAGTGAGTTTGTACTTGGGTCTACTTCTCCATTTTACATCCATGCCATTATACTGCTTGATAAAACTAACAATAACTGAGAATTCATTCTTTTGAACCCGTTAGGCATATACAGAGATTCCAATTTGATATTTTAAATCAGAAATCAGTTTTGAGATTTGTTTATTTGCTTTGTGGCAGATTTGCTGTGCCACTGCCTTTTGTAAAGCACCAGGTTTCATTTACAGAATTCAGATTACTGTTAAGAGGGTCCAGAGGTTTAAACTCATCACTATGAGGGGTTATTCACTAAAGTAAGAATTGCTGGATATTCAAAATGAAATTAAGATTCAAGACCAAAATAAACTAATAAAGCTTTTCTGACTTAGAGGATTTTTCTAGTTTGGTTATTTTTGCCTTAAATTTGTGGCGCAATCTCCAATCAGTACACAGTATGCAGTGCAATGCACCACATTGTGAAAGTCTAGCTCGAGCACGTCAAACTTGCAGCATGTGGCCGACAATGGATAGGTTTGCGGCCCACATGCCCTGGAGCCACTTTGTGTTGTGGCTGCAACCAGGCGCAAGACAGGAAAGATATTTCCTATCAGATTGTCTTCCCTCCCACGGCTGATCGTGTGCTCCCGCAGGCCAGCCACTCCCCCTTCCCTCCTGCTCGAGGTGCCTGCTCGAGCAGAGAAGAGCAGGGCTGGAACAGGAGGACAGGCGGCTCATCTAAAGGTAAGGAAAGAGGGGCTTGGGGGACCTTCATGTGTAGTGTGCCAAATTTGGGAGGGGGGCCACTGTATTAATTTGAGGGAGACAAAGGGGGCCAGTGTATTAAATTGGAGAGAGAAGGGGCAGTGTATTAAAGTAGTGGGGGGTGGCAGTGTATTAACTTGGGGGAGTGGAGGCAGTATATTAGATTGGGTGGAGGGGGCAGTGTATTGGATTTATGGGTCAATGTATTAGAATGGGGGGAGCCTGAAGAAGTTTTTGTTTCTTTTTGCAGCCCGCAAATTTAAACCTTGTTTTTTTGGCCATTGTTAGCCTTTGAGTTTGACATGCTTCGTCTAGCTCCATAGAGGTCAGGTAATGATGCACTTGACTATTTGGTAATTGGAGAGATTATATTATATTATAGTGAATACGCGAATGCGCTGGATTCTGTATTTTGTGTGTATATACATATATAAAAATAAAAAAAACACACATATATACATACATACACACACACACACATCTACACATATACACAACCATTATAGAAATTACTTGACAAAAAAATTTAAAAAAAAAAAAAACATTCACTTGAAATAGAAACAATCTGAGCACAGATTTATTTTTTTAGTTCCAGCTTTATAAAAAATGTTCACAAACATTCTTACTTAAAATACTTTGACTCTCAGGATCTCAAAGAAGTCTCACAGGGATGTAGAACAGCAAACTATGCAACACAGTACTCAAGTCAAGATATTAACTAAACAAGAGTATGCTTAGTAAGAAGCTTAACTCTTACATCACTGCTTGGATGTCCTCCTGCTTTTTGAAACTCAGTCTCTCTCAAACTGAACTCCTGGTCTTTCCTCGTCCTAATACTGATCCCCCTCTTTCGCTCTCCCTTCAAGTGAGTGGTACTCACATCAGTCCACCATTGAAAGCCCGCTGTCTTGACGTTATATTTGATTCTGGCCTCACATTTGAGCCTCACATCCAGTATGTAACCAAATCCTGTAGATTCCACCTTAAAAACATAGCCCGCATCCGCCCCTTTCTTACACAAGATACTAAGGAGCTTGTCCAAGCTCTAGTAATCTCTCGCATGGATTATTGTAAGTCTCTCCTAATAGGTCTTCCCACAAGTCGTATTGCCCTGCTACAGTCTGTAATAAATGCTGCAGCTAGACTGATTATCCTCGCACACCTCTCCAATCTGTCAGTCATTACATTGGCTTCATGTATCCTATAGGAGTCAATTCAAGGTACTAATCCACACCTATAAAGCACTGACCAATTCTAGCCCCTCCTATATTTCTTCACTAATCCGCAGGTATTCCCCTTCTCTGTCTCTCCGCTCTGCCCGTGACCTTCTCCTGTCCGCTGCTCGCACCCGTACGGCCAACTCACATTTGCAGGACTTCTTGCGGGTGGCTCCTTTCCTTTGGAATAGCCTGCCTACGACCATCAAGCTATCCCCTAGTCTTCAATCATTTAAAAAGTGCCTCAAAACCCATCTCTATAGGAACGCTTATGGCCTCCCAGAGTAACCTTTACCTCACATACCTGTCCCTTGCTCTCTTTTAAAGGGAAGCATTCTACACTCTCCACCAGCTCTGCTTCACTCCACCTTGTTTGATTGCTACCTCCTGTCCTGTTGGGTTTTACGCCCCACTTCCTATAGACTGTAAGCTCGTTTAAGCAGGGCTCTCTTCAACCTATTGTTCTTGTAAGTTTTTGTAATTGTCTAATTTATTGGTAAATATCCCCCTTTGATAACATTATAGACCACTACGGAATATGCTTGTGCTATATAAATACCAGTGATAATAATCATAATACATCCCTTTATGTTCATCCAAGAAAATGTTAATGTCAGAACAGAGTTAAGCATTTGCTTATATTTTTACCGTTCACCCCTTTTCACCTCCCTGTTTGACATAGCTGGTCTTGTATAAATAAACAACATAAAAGAAGGATGACTATTTGTAACTTATTTGGTAATAAAAAGACAAAGAAAAAAAAGTTCTTCAAAGTAAAAGGAGGTAAACTCATTGCATAAACCTAAGAAGGGAGGCATCTGCACAGTCAGACCAAAACAGCCAGGTGAAGAAGCAAGACAGACCTGATTGTTCCACAAATGTAATTTCTCACTACATTCCACAATTTACTACACTATAGTTAAAAATTACCAGGAATGTTTGGCTGAAACAAATATAGAATCCTCAGCTGACCACACACAGAAAAAGTCCTACAAATCTAGACTGCAGCTGAGCAGAAACTAGGATTTTATCTCTACAAATTGATTTTTTTTTCCAACCTAGCAATGCATTCTTCCATTATCTCTACATTACCACCCCCTACAGACCCAGGAGTTCAGTTCATGTGATGGCAAATTGGATTTAAACTGTTCTCCATTTCACAAAACTTATGTTTAACTAAAGCTTCCCAGAGGCCAGGGATAAAATGCAGGAGTTCAGCGCCCCAAACTACAATTAAAGTTTGAAACTCCACCAAGGCAATTCTCTATCAATTTTATTCGTTTTTATAGATGAATGAAAGAGCCTGATCACATATATTTGCACGTTCAAAATTTAAAGTCAAAGGATAGGGGTGCCAGGCTAGATGCGACCAATATAATGTAATCTATGACACAAATTATTAAAAATACAATACAAAAAAAAAAATTTACATTTTGTTTTTGCTTTTTGTGCAAATCCTTATAGGGGAAATCGCCTTTACCCCCTCCCACTCCAGGAAGTAATGTTGCTGATCAGAAGTCTTTCATTCTGGCCAGGGCTGGTACAAGGATTTTTAGCTACACAGGCGAAGCTGCATTTTACATACACAAACAGTCACAATTACATTCCTATGGTACAGACAGGTCCCTGGGTTCATGCTGTCCGGCTCTGTGCAGTCTTGGGCACCAGCCATGCTGTGTGGTACACAGGGAGCAGGAATATGATGTCATTCATATCACGCCCCCTCCACACAGCCTGCGGCAGACACGAGTGTAAGAGGCTCCTCGGGCGACAGTAAGCTTGGCAGGCGGTAAGAGGCTGGGCTGTGCTGAAGGGAGGCGCTTGCGCTCGGCCACGCTTCAAAAAGTAAACAGATGGACGGGAGCGCAGAGCGCTTCCCTCCTGCCGGACAGCCTGACATTGCGCCCCCAGGGCCAGTCCACCCAAAAGTGGCCGCCTTATGGTAGCCCCAGCTCTGCTTCTGGCCTATTGAGCCTGAAGTGTTGGACAAGTTTAAGACGACATTGTAAGGGTTAAAATGCAGATCAGACACTGGCTGTTTAACACTCTTTGCAAAGATTAGAAATGTGACAGACACTAGTCTGAGTTAGAGGGACACTATAGTCACCCAAACTACGGTGAATTGCATGTTTGGGGAGTAGAATCCTTCCCTTCAGGCTTTTTGATGTAAACACTGTCTTTTTTTTTTTTAGAGAAAACGCAGTGTTTACATTACAGCCTAGTAATAACTCCACTAGACACTCCTCAGATGGCTTCTAGAGATGCTTCCTGGGGCAATGCTGCACAGTGAGCAGCACTGCCATTCATGGTCTCCACCCTCTGCATGCAGACACTGAACGTTACTCATAAAGATGCATTCATTCAATTCATCTCTATGAGGAGATGCTGATTAGCCAGGGCTGTGTTTGAATTGTGTTGGCTCTGACCCTGATCTGCCTCCTTGACAGTTTCAACCAATCCTATGGTGAAGCATTGTGATTGGCTCAGATCACCACTTCTGATGAGGTCAGCAGATATCAGGCAGGTCAGAGGCAGATGGGGCAGAGCCAACAGCTGCATACTTGAATACAAGTAAGATTTTACTACAGAGAGTCAAGAAGAGGGGGCTAGATGGTGGTTTTAACAGTATAGAGTCAGGAATACACGTTTGTGTTTCTGATCCTATATAGTGTTCCTTTAATACACACCTACAAATCTGTGAAACATTCTGTTTATGTGCACACTGTATGGAAGGAGGAGTTGACTAGCAGATTTCAACCTCAGTTCTATGCAGACCAGAGGTTTATGGGACTGGTAGTTCACTCCAAAAAAAAAAGCTACAGTCCAACTCCCAGAAACTTTGCTGTGCTTATGGATTTTAAGGATGTAAACTCGTTTGCACAGGATCCTCAACCTATTGTTTCTGTAAAAAAATATTTTCTCATTTGTTGTCAGAGTACCCTTCAGTGGCGCTACGTTATAAATTGGTGCTATATAAATGCAGATAATATAATATTGGGAATAAAAATTGTGTTATTTGACACTTCAGGTTAGGTGGGCAGGACTGACAGGAAGCGGCGACATCACAAACAGTTACATTAACTAGGATGTGTTTTAGAATGCCAATGGGTAACTTAAAGAGGAACTAGGATACAAGAAGCTGCAATTTTTATTTTTTTATATATTTTTTGCAAAAGCTACATACAATTGGGCGTGAACATGAATACATTATTTAGGACAAAACTACAAAATGCAAAACATTGCACTTGAAAGTGATATATCTCCTGACTTCTGGACTTTGAGGCAATAATATTCCCTGTGCGCTTGTTACACTATTTATATGTTACCATGGTAAAGATCAAGCACGGCCTAGAGTGTCCTAACAATTTGGTCCTTAAAGACCTACTCTGACATGGAATGTCCTACTCATTTAGTGACAGCATGGTTCTATTGAGCTCCCGCTGAAAAATATGCAGGACATTCCATGGTGGCATAGGGTCTACAAGTACCAGATTGCGATGACAGCACTGAATGTCATTGTTGTTTAACCCACTAAGAATCACGCATTTGTTTTTACCCAAACTACAATCTGATATTTAAAGACTTCATAGCAGGAGAGTTTGCCGTGCATATTTAGAATTGTAAATACTATACTAACCCTGCTATGCAATGACTGTGATATTCCATTTTGGAGAAAAATCCTTAAAGATCAGATTATTAGGACAGCACAGAACGTTATTACTGTAGACTATAGCAGTCATTTTCAAATGTGTGGCATCTCTGGTCACAAACAATAACTAACTGAAGAGCTTGTTAAGTGTAGTACTGTATGTGTGTAATGTTTCTGATTAAAATATTGTCATAAAAGCACCAATGTGCTAGCAAAACCATTAACAGATTTATTTAACCAATCATTGTTAACAGGAGTAGTCCCAGAAGATTGGAAGTTAGCGAATGTTGTGCACATTCACAAGAAAGGTAATAGGGAGGAGTCGGGCAACTATAGGCCAGTAAGCCTTACTTCAGTAGTGGGGAAGTGATGGAAACCATGTTAAAGGATAGGATTGTTGAACATCTAAAAACACGTGGATTTCAAGATCAGAGACAACATGGTTTACTTCAGGGATATCATGCTAAACTAATCTTATTGATTTTTTTGATTGGGTAACTAAAATTATAGATCAGGGTGGTGCAGTAGACATTGCTTACCTAGATTTCAGTAAGGCTTTTGACACTGTTGCACGCAGAAGACTTATCAATAAACTGCAATCTTTAAGTTTGGATTCCAATATTGTTGAATGGGTAAGGCAGTGGCTGAGTGACAGGCAACAGAGGGTTGTAGTCAATGGAGTATATTCAAAGCTTGGGCTTGTCACCAGTGGGGTACCTCAGGGATCTGTACTTGGACCCATTCTCTTTAATATTTTTATTAGTGATATTGCAGAAGGTCTTGATGGTAAGGTATGTCTTTTTGCTGATGATACTAAGATATGTAACAGGGTTGATGTTCCAGGAGGGATAAGCCAAATGGCAAATGATTTAGGTAAACTAGAAAAATGGTCAGAGTTGTGGCAACTGACATTTAATGTGGATAAGTGCAAGATAATGCATCTTGGACGTAAAAACCCAAGGGCAGAGAACAGAATATTTGATAGAGTCCTAACCTCAACATCTGAGGAAAGGGATTTAGGGGTGATTATTTCTGATGAATTAAAGGTAGGCAGACAATGTAATAGAGCAGCAGGAAATGCTAGCAGAATGCATGGTTGTATAGGGAGAGGTATTCGCAGTAGAAAGAGGGAAGTGCTCATGCCATTGTACAGAACACTGGTGAGACCTCACTTGGAGTATTGTACGCAGTACTGGAGACCGTATCTTCAGAAGGATATTGATACCTTAGAGAGAGTTCAGAGAAGGGCTACTAAACTGGTTCATAGATTGCAGGATAAAACTTACCAGGAAAGGTTAAAGGATCTTAACATGTATAGCTTGGAGGAAAGACGAGACAGGGGGGATATGATAGAAACATTTAAATACATAAAGGGAATCAACACAGTAAAGGAGGAGACCATATTTAAAAGAAGAAAAACTACCACAACAAGAGGACAGTCTTAAATTAGAGGGACAAAGGTTTAAAAGTAATATCAGGAAGTATTACTTTACTGAGAGGGTAGCTGATACATGGAATAGCCTTCCAGCTGAAGTGGTAGAGGTTAACACAGTAAAGGAGTTTAAGCATGTGTGGTATAGGCATAAGGCTATCCTAACTATAAGATAAGGCCAGGGACTAATGAAAGTATTTAGAAAATTGGGCAGACTAGATGGGCCAAATGGTTCTTATCTGCCGTCACATTCTATGTTTCTATGTCAATATAACAATGCTGAAGGGTTGCTGCATTCATAAAAACACAAGTATTGCAGTTCCAATTACACTAGCGCTATTAGGGTTCACCCTTGTGGGTTACAGTCCTCAGCATCTTGAAGGCAGGTACCCCTTTGAAAAGTTACTCAGAGCACCACGACCAATTTAGATTAGTGCCAGAGGTGGAATTCTACCTTTAGCAGTGCCATTATCCTACCCTGAATGAGTATACTGAACTGGCTAATGTCAATTCTATGCATATTCTGTGGCTGAGAGCAATCAGCTAAGGTTTTTCGGACACTGAACGGAATCAGCTTCTACAGTTCTATAAAAGCTGAATGCACACCACCAGCCATTTAAAAAGCAGGGGGCCAAGGTAAAAGGGCTTGCAAAGCGAACCAAAGAAAAGCAGGTTGTATTTATTATGATGTATCAAGTAACCCTTACTGTGCAAAGTACACAGCTGCATCGCTACCCATTACACCTGTAATGGTAGACATTTAAGTGGTTTGACCAAAAAACATGCTCTCCCATTGCTAAACATACAAACCCTCTGCTGTGACTCACCGAATGTGGAAATTAATTCTCCAACTTTGGATGACAATTATAGATTAAAAGTACTGGAAACAGATTGGTTCACTTCCTCATCAACCAGTCGACAGCAGAGAGGAAGGGCTTAAGGCGTTTGTTAAACTACACTCAAAAACTCTTTACATTATAACCAATGAGCTGTAGTGGTTATAATGCCCCTTTAAAGAATGTTTAGCTCAGGAAATAACTTCTCAAAGCTCTGTAGAGTTTAATATTTCAAGGCAAAACTAACCCTGCATACACGTTACATTATTAAGTCCACTTGGATTTTATTTTAAGGTCAGCACAAAAGTCTATCTAGTTGCTCTAAATGTCAGTTCCTATAATATTTACTTTCCAACCACATTAATTACACACAACTTTGCTTAAGCAAACACAATAAAAGAAATCAAGCTTCTAAGGTTAATCTCTTTTCTGCCTGCAGTGTTTTGGGAACACACACAGCCTGCAGCAAAATAATCTTTATGTCCTGATAAGTAGTAGAGGATATACATGATTGCGAGCACAGAGCAGTCTGGCTCTGATAGACTACTATTCATAGCATTCCCTTCACAATTAGTGACCCACAAACTGCACACTAAAGCTGGTAAGGCTATTCACTCAAGGGAGAACTGTATGGACTTCAAAGTTAATTCAAAATGTAAGGCTAAAATATTCTTCAATTTAGCTACTTTGTAATACACATTAAATTTGCAACAATTCTAACTTTTGTGAATAAGCTAAAAACCAAATTAAAAATTTTATGTCAAAATAATTTTTATTTTTTTTAAATGAAATAAATTCTACAAGCCCACCATGTTTTTCAGTTACTTTACTTTGACCTAAAACATTGAATTTCTACTATACTGAAAATGTTAAATTTTCATAAATCGTTATCACTGTAAGATTGAGCGGTATGCCATTATCTTCCGCAGAGCAACTAAGAGGCTCTGTGTAGATAATGTTATCAGGAGCCGAAGATAGTGCTGCCCAATAACATGGCAGTGCCAACAAGGACGGATTTCAGATAATTCTACAAACACCACCATATATACATTCATTCTCACACGCCTTCCCTAAACAAGTCAGAACCACAATGTATTCCCACTTGTGGATACCAAAAATAAAAATGTTCAAAATTTTGGCCATGTCTCAGAATTAGACAAAGTGGTGTAATGAACGAACAGATAAATTGAAAAAAGTATGTTGAAATAACCAAGTTAGATGCACATCCAAATGTAATCATTTTTGTAATGTGTCAATGCTGGCCTAATTTTTGGCATTTTGTAATTTACCATTGGTCACTGTAGATAATGATATGTAAAACACAGTTTTAAGGTTTAACACAAATGATATCTAACAAAATAAAATACAAAGGAAACAGTGCAAATATTACTGCCTTTCTAAGTACAGCCCTTTCCTTGGTGGAGTTCTGAACTTCACAATATAAAGTGATTTTAAATTCACCACCCAACACCAAGGGACTTGTGGGCTTAGGAATAAACTAGTTTCAGGGCTGGGCTCACATACTTTAATATAAACATAAGTGTTTTTAGCAGGAATAAACCTTAAACTCTAAGATTGTCATAGGGATGATAGATACAAACCATTAACAGGGTTACAGCTATATATACAGGAAGTTACCATTTAAATAAAAAAAATGTAAAAAGTGAAATTATAGATTTCCTACTAATAAAATTATGCATGGTCTGTTCAGCCTTTTTGTGTGCGTGCGTCAGCGAGTGTGTCTGTCAGGGAGTGCGCGCGCCTGTCTGCAAGGGCGCGCCTGTCTGCGAGTGCGTGTGTGTCTGCAAGTGTGTGTGTGTGTGTGTGTGTGTCTGTTTGCAAGTGTGTGTGTCTGTTTGCAAGTGTGTGTGTCTGTTTGCAAGTTTGTGTGTCTGTTTGCACGTGTGTGTGTCTGTTTGCACGTGTGTGTGTCTGTTTGCAAGTGTGTGTGTGTGTCTGTTTGCAAGTGTGTGTGTGTGTCTGTTTGCAAGTGTGTGTCTGTTTGCAAGTGTGTGTCTGTTTGCAAGTGTGTGTCTGTTTGCAAGTGTGTGTCTGTTTGCAAGTGTGTGTGTCTGCTTGCAAGTGTGTGTGTGTGTGTGTCTGTTTGCAAGTGTATGTGTGTGTGTCTGTTTGCAAGTGTATGTGTGTGTGTCAGCGAATGTGTGTTGGTCAGTGTTGCGATGGCAGCTTTACATTGAATAGCCTGCAGGACATGCTTTACTCACAAGAACATTAAGATGTAGTTGTACTGGCGACTAGTGTACCCCATGCTGTAAAAAATTTAAAAAATGTAGGTATTACTTGGGACACCCCGTGCACCTACACTTGTAATAAGCAAGGTATGGGTTAGGGCAGTGGTTCCCATACCAGTCCAGGATTTAGGAATTACAAAGTTGTGTCTACAGTGTTTTTAGAAAAATTAAAAAAAAACTCCTTAGACAACTGGGTAATCCCAAGTAGGGGAACCTTGAGGACTAGTTTGGGAACCACTAGGTTAGGGTACAGTTTGTTATGATGAGTGTTTTTGGTTTTGTTTCTCTATAAATCCACTTTTTGACCCTCCAACCTGTAGTGTTTCTCTTTTTGCTCCAGTAACACAGCTGTACATTAGGTCATCACTTGTGTTGTGCTCATAAACCACTGCTGTAGGATATAATCAACTCTGCCACATAAAATAAAAAAAAAAAAAGTATCACGACTGGATGAGTCACCCGTGATCTGGGTAAAGTGCACTGCAGAAACTGGAATTCGAAGTTCCTGAATATGCTGTAAACGCATTTAAAATCCAAAACAGATGGGTCATTTCTAGCCTGGAGCGTCCCTTTAACTTCTCAACTGTGTCTAGATAGAAAGGCTTTCTAACAATGTTCCAGTCACAGGATCTAATAAGAGCTCCAGAGACACAGGCTTTATGTCTTGATAAAGATCTTGAAAGGACTAAACACGCATCACATCATAAATCTCTTATTGCACAACAATCCCCTGTAAGTAATCCCTTTTTATGGGTGGCAGAACTATGCAGCCACCCAAAGCAAGGCTAATTTGTCATGTTTAAAGTGTCCTTAAAGCAAAATGCAAGTCACATAGAGCAGAGAAGGAAGATCACAGCGTGGATAAGGAGCATCCATTTCTTATCAGAGCAATTACTGCAAAAGGCAATAATTTGACAATAGGTTGGATTGGATAAAACAACTGCTTACTCTGGCAGAAATAGCTTTGCATCCTCTGAAGTCTCTGCCAATGAAAGCAAGCCTCCCACTAGCTGGAAAACTCAAAGCAGTTACTGCTAAGTACCCGATTAACACTGGAGCTCACTAGATTCTACAACCATTTGTGATTTGAAAGCGAAAAAAAAAAAAAAATGAAAATTCTGGCAAAATAAATAAATAAATTACCTACAGTTATCTATAAACTAAGTGGATCAATCTCTAATCAAAACTACTGCTTGATTTTTATCACAGAATAAGAGGGAATTTATTTTTATTTATTTTATTTTTTTTTAATTATAAACACACACACACACACACACAGACACACAATCTAATTGCTTTCGAAGTTAACAATGCCGAGAGACACTAAAGTAGTAGACAGGAAGACAAGTGGCAAATCTTTGTCAAAAACAAAGCCACTATTCCAAAGTATTAAACACCATTCAATGAACAGAGATTCCTATGTAAATAGGCAGACTGAGTGGACCTATAAAAAGGTAGTTAAGCCTGTTGAACAGTGCATCAATAGCCAAAGACTGTATGCAAGCACATACAAGGTTCAACAGCAGCTCATCTTTGCAGAAAAGCAGGCTAGTTACTTATAACCTAATGGGCCTCGGTAGTTACAATGCAAATGAAAAGTAGCAATTTAAATAAGAACAGGACAATTTGGAAAAAAAAAAAATTCCATTTACCAACAAATGGGGAAAACTATTTATTCAGCAGAGTAAGTCCTACCTTATCCCTAGAATTGGTGCTTTACTACAAACCTCACAATTCCAAAGGATATGTTAATTGTAACGCAAGGAAGCAGATTTGTGCAAAAAAAATTGCTATATTTCCATTTGAGCTATTTTGGCTTAAAATTTGAAATCCAGAATGAACGCCCGACAATTCACACTTAAGTGATTAAGTGATTAACCATGTCAGACTTCTTGCCTATTAAACATCTCATCACTTTAAAGGACCACTATGGTGCCAGGAAAACATACTCGTTTTCCTGGCACTATAGTGCCCTGAGGGTGCCCCCATCCTCAGGGTCCCCCTCCCACCGGGCTGGATGGAGAGAAAGGGGTTAAACTTGCCTCTTTCTCCAGCGCCGGGCGGGGAGCTCTCCTCCTCTTTGGCTGAATGCGCATGCACGGTAGGAGCAGCGCACACATTCAGCCAGTCCATAGGAAAGCATTCACAATGCTTTCCTATGGGCGCTAGCGTCTTCTCACTGTGAAAATCACAGTGAGAAGCACGCAAGCGCCTCTAGCGGCTGTCAAGAGACAGCCACTAGAGGCTGGATTAACCCTAACATAAACATAGCAGTTTCTCTGAAAGTGCTATGTTTATAAAAAAAAAAAAAAGGGTTAACCCTAGAAGGACCTGGCACCCAGACCACTTCATTAAGCTGAAGTGGTCTGGGTGCCTATAGTGGTCCTTTAATATATAGAAAACCTAAAAAGCAGATCTGACATGAGATGTCGAGAGCTAGATGCTGTCTATAATATCAGAGACACTTCAAAGAGGAGAAGAAAAAAAAATCCACTAGCATTTTTATAAAATTGGTAACTGTGCAGAAGAAATCTCAAGGGACGGTTAATGCAGTGTCAATGTTCAATACGGTGACATCCTTTGCACTCGATGACATGTAAATTACCCCAAAAAGCTAAATCTAGTGTCACCAATAAGCCATTTACACATTTGCATAATTACTTAAGGTACTGAGAGATGAGTGTCTTTGCTCCATTAACTCAATCAATAAGGCTGATTGTTTCTACCTTTCCAAGATAACCACCCCCAATAATGGAAAAAAGATTAGCTAATGGAATGCTCTCCTGCGGAGCAGGAAAGAAAGGTGTACTGATGGCTAAAGAGACAAACGCCACAATCACTGTTCTGCCAAGCAATTATTCCTCATGTAGAACTGATGACAAAAACAAGATATCGTAACGACTCTTCATTATCATGCAAATTACAAGGCTTGCACATTAGACATACTGAAACAAAGTAAAAATCCAACATTTTACCCATTTGTTAGAATGAAGACATACATACGCACATAAAAATATACACACATACAGTAGACACAGACGGCACAAGATTTCCACTTGCCAGTAGTTTTATCCTCAGCAAATAGAAATTCATTCCCAGTGGGTATGCTAAGGCCTGACGTCAAATTTTAAGCATTGTCTAATACAATTCTCACACACATTTTTGGTGACAGTCGCTTTAAATAGGTTTATATCCCAATTCCATATAGGCTCTCCGGTGATAGTGTATAAATTTTGTCTACAGAAAACTGCATGATTTCACATTTGCTCCCTAAAAGGACACTGGGTTTGTTATGACAGAATGCATCACTTAGATTTTCCTACACCCATGCATTTACATTACATCTAAATAAAACAGTGCTTAAAAGGCACGGCCAAATGGATTCATCTGAAAAGAACTCTTTAAAGCAAGACTGAGCTTTGTGCTTTTGAAATTAATATTTACAAAAAGCTTTAGTAAAAGGCAGCCAAGCATTGCCCACGATCTGAGATCAAAATCAATGAGATGCAGCATGTACAAGACATGCAGAGTCTGCGATGCTATGGGCCATTGGCCCATTAGCATCTTACGCAGTGTGGCAGGGAAAGTGTTAAAATGTTGTTGCAGGGCAGATTAGGCAGGTGTGAGTTAAGGGAAGCAGGTTTTGGCTGCAGGTAGAGAGGATGTATTAAAGGGGCAACATTTCACTATAAAAAGGAGCTGTCAGGAGGTGCAAGTGCAGTGAAACATCAGGCCAAGGAGGAGCAGCAGCAAAAGAACTATATTCACAATGTTTTTATAAAAAAATATATAATTTAATTTGATTTTAACTTAATTGATTTGTTCTTTTTGTGGCGTTTTATTATTTATAAGGTGATCCTCTGGTTCATTTTTAGGGAGGACCGACTTGCTTATTTATTTTTGTTGAAAGGCAATCTGGCTACAGCAGGGTTGAATGGGTTTTAAATGTGTATGAATTTTATGGAATGTTTTATTAATAAAATTGGAGATTGGTTTATGTATTACTATGTGATGAATTACTTAATAAAGAATACCACAGCAATTCACCAAGTTAAACTAACCAAGTTTTTTTGGGGGGGTGGGGGGGTTAGTTTATTGGAAGGACAGAGAAACAGACTATTATATAGACAGATGGCACCACTGTTGGCTCCTTTACTTAATACTAGAATTTATTGCTACACTTGCCACATGTGGTGTGGATGAACATTTATAAGTTTTGTTGTGGGTTTTTTTTTTGTTTTTTTTTTAAATGTGTTTTTCTGTAAACCCTGATTAAATCAGGTATGCACCCAGCAGGAACTAGTAGCTCATAGAATGACTGACCAAGCCATGACATATGCTGTAAAATGGCCATATGTAAATAATTGTTTCCCCACAGTTTAATATCTATGTAAACCATGCAACAAGTAGCTTTCAGCAGAGGCACATGTGCACCAAACTCAGTTGTTGAGTTGGGTCCATAACGATGGCTATTCAATAGTTTGTGTGCTACTTGTTGGGTGTAAAAGGACAGAACTATGCACACAGATAAGGAGACAAACCTAACCAGAACCAAGCCAAACATGCTGTGTTTATAAAGGCCTTGGGTATTTACTGACATGCAGCCATCAATTATTTCTAGGCTAGTTTGTAACTTGCAATTTACCAGAAAGTGTCTTGTTCATTTATTCACATGCTGACTGTAATGGCAGTCTTTAGAAATGATCGAACATGTGCTCATGGAGAGCAGACGGAACTAAAAGAGAGCATATGTATGAAAAGTGCATTTCAGCCCAGCCCTGAACAAAAATACCAAATGTTCTGGTTGCATTGAACATCACTGTGCGGCACTGTGCTTTTGCATACGTAAATACTCATTAGCTTTAGTACAGAGGGGAAAAAGGCATAAAAATGAACTGTAATCAGTTTTTTTAAAATACAAACATGGACTTGCCATCAATATTAACATGGAGTGTACAGAATCTACAATAAAGGAACATTACAACATGAAAATATAAAAAGATTGCCTTATTACAAATTAGCTTCTAACACGATGCTTTTGAATGACTGATAGCAGCCACCCATGTCACTGCAGCCTGTTTCCCATAATGCTCAGCTAAGGTTAAAGTAAACGTAGCCATCAAGAGCTGGAATTACATTGTAACCAGGTGTTTTCATTGTGCCACTTTGCAGATACAGAATATCTATAAAATAGTAGATATTTTATGCATTTTTTTTTTTTTTTGCTTGCTTACGCAGAGCACTGACTGGTGTTGCTAACATCTGCCAATCACATAGATACAGGACGTTTAACATTAGTTACACCAATCACAGCTCTGCATAAGCAGCCAATCAAAAGGTATCGTTCAGTTCAGTGACTGACAGACATTCTCCTCAATAGCAGGTTAGAGAAGGGAAGCCAAAAACAGGATGAATCCATCACATGAGAGGTAAACAGGAAGTGTTAGTCTGTTGACCAGATGTAAATAATAATAATAATAATAATAAATAATAAAACATTCATAGCAAAAAACACACATATACGTACACTATATGGACAAAAGAAGCAAAAAGTATTGTGACAAATCTTAATTATGGAATTCAGGTGTTTACATTAGACCCACTGACTCTGGTGTATAAAATAAAGCCATGCAGTTTGCATTTATTTACAAACATTTGTGAATAAAATAGGTCATTCTGAAGAACTCAATTCAAACATGGTACTGTGATAGGATGCCGCCTTTGCAATAAGTCAGTTGGTGATATTTAAGCCCTGCAAGATATTCCACAGTCAAATGTAAGTGGTATTATTGGAAAGTGGAAACATTTAAGAAGAGCAGAAACTCAACCACAAAGCAGAAGACCACGTAAAGTCCCAGAGCGTGGTCACAGAGTAGTGAAGTGCGTGGTTTGTAAAAGTTGCCAATGTTTTGCTGATTCCATATCTGAAGAGTTCCAAACTTCCACTGGCATTAACATCAGCACAAAAACTTCATGGAATGGGCTTCCATTGATGAGCAGCTGTATGAAAGCCTCACATCACCAAGCACAATACAAGTGCTCGAGTGGACTCTGGAGCAATGGAAAAGTGTTCTGGAGTGCCAAATAACACTTGCATGTTTAGCAGTCTGATGGGCTATTCTGGGTTTGGCAGATGCAAGGAGAATGTTACCTGCCTGACCGCATTGTGTCGACTATAAAGTTTAGTGGATGAAGGATAATGGTATGGGCCTGTTTTCAGGGCCTGGGCTCGGGCCCTTTCTTACAGGGAAAAGAAATCTTAATGCTACAGCATACCAAGACAATTTGGACAATATTATGCTTCCAACTTTGTAGAAACAGTTTTGGGGAATGTTCATTTCTTTTCCAGGATGACACTGTCCCAGTGGATAAAGCAAGGTCCATAAAGGCATGGTTGGAAGACTTTGGTGTGGAAGAACTTGAATGGCCCACACAGAGTCCTGACCTAAAACCCCTTCTAACACATTTGGAATGAAATGGAACAGAGATTGCGAACCAGGCCTTCTCGTCCAACATCAGTGCCTCACCTCACAAATTCTCTACTGGATGAATGAGCAAAGGTTCCTAAAGAAATACTCCAAAATCTTGTGAAAAGCCTTTCCGGAACAGTTGAAGTGGTTATAGCTGCAAAGATGAACCAACTAGATATTAATGTCTCTGTATTTAGAATGAGAAGTCATAAAACTCCCTGTTGGTCCTTCAGGAGTTAAGGCATGTGTTTATATTATTGCTTATCATGTAAGCAGCTTATCGAAAATAAAAAATAAAAATTGTAATCCATTATATATATATATATATATATATATATATATATATATATATATATATATATATATATACACACACACACACACACACACACACACATATATACATACACACACACACACCCCAGCTGGTTAGACATCATTATAGTATGAAATGTGTCATTAATGAGAAAGGGTTACAAAAATAAAACATTGTTGGGATACATGGGCAGCTAACCAGAGAGGTAACAATGAAGATTACTCCATTATCTATTTTAGAAGCCTAAAGGTATTTGCTTGGGTCTGTCTGTGTTGTGACAGTGCCCTAGATTTGAATGGAATGCCTGTACCATACTGCATTTTTAAAGTAGTCAGTCATGCATTTTTAGTTTTTGTTGAATGTGGTGTGAAATTGCACTGTGTGAGCTGAAGTTCTTGGTGGTCCCCTAAGGATTCGGGCTAAAAAGGCATCTCCTTTGTTCCCAAACAGAATGCAGTCCAGTAGGGTCATTGTAAATATCCAATAAAAGCAGCGTTAGGAGGGAAGAAACCAAAAAAAACAAAAAAACAGCGTGTTGAGGATTTTTTTTTTTTTTTTTGGTGGGGTTTGAACACTTAAGCCACTATTACCAACTGAACGTAACAGAGTCATAAAAAGGCAGTCTCTAATTTCAGTTGGTAGCCATTTGGGAAATACGAGTAGTACGAATTACAGTAATGAGAGAAGACTACCAGCAGATTTTAGATCCAAATCCCTGGATTATTTGAACTTAACATTTACTTTATTGAATGCATTCAACGCTATTTAAAATTAGTAAATGCAGTCAGCAAGAAAAAAAAAAAAAAAAAAGTTCAAAAATCAAAACCCAACATTCGTAAATACCGTTGGCAAGATGAGGAGCAAGGCCACATACCCAGACAAGTATATAACGGCCTCGTCCAAACGTGGATCAATTGATGCATTATGGTGAGGAAAGAAGCACAAGACTTTCCAGTGCTTACACATCCCTGGTATGAAGGGAGCCATCCAAAATATTACCGAAAATGTAAACTGTTCTAAAACCAGGATTTCCTGAGCAAAAACTGCAATTAGCACAAGATGTCCAAGTGACAGAGCCAACAAACATCACTAGGCTCTTCCATCCAGGCAAAACCTTGTTCCCCAGGTGTGTATCAGGAGACCCAGTAATGTTAAATTTGTCAAAGTAAGAAATACATAAAAGTAAGGAAATCTGTGTAATAATTTTTTTTTTTTTTTTAAATCTAGCATGTCCACGTTTTTCTGCCATTTCCTCAAGCCACATGCGAATTTCCGTAGTCCCACACAGTATCTATACGTAACCAGGGGAAACAAAGAGATTCTGTCTCATGTGAGAGGAAAGTACTTTTTTTAATACAGTGATAGCTATTTTATTGCATACACATTAAGTTTAATAAAATTTATCTAACTTGCTTTTGAAAAAGCCTCGGTTAAGTCATTTACTGCAAATCACATAACATTTACCATAGTTCCTATTGCACACCATGCAGCTATGGAAGCGGATTGCTGTGAAAACCAAATTTGGCCACAGTGTTTAATGCAAATGAAAAAAAAAAAAAAAAATAGGATAGGCCCCGTTTAGCACAAGAGAAATGCGTCTCTTGTTATAAAAGCCTACAGAACAGCAGGCAGCCAATAGAAACTGGTTACATCAGTTACACAATTGCAAGCAGGAGGTATGCAGCCAGTTTGCAAAAAAAAAAAAAAAGCGGCCTTTGTAGAATGAAAAAATATTTGCCACATTGTAGAGATGTTTTTAATGCTTAATTCAGAAGTTTTCCCAAATAAAAAGTGAAATTTTTTGGAGGGGAGGTTCAGGTCTTTTAAAGTAACATTTGTTAACTTTTATTTTGACAAAATTCTTCCGGGTAAATGATATTCCCACCTCAGCTACATAGCTTCTCAGAATGTCAGGAAATTAGCCATTTTCAACCCCCGCTTTGTAAATATGCACACAGTAATCTGACCGCTTTGCATTTAAATTAGGACAATGAAAGAATGAGCTAATCAGTCCAAGTACAATTCATTGGCAGCAATGATTACCCAAAGTAGAAACATATTGCAACCTTACCAGGGATTTTATGCCCTGCGTTCTCAACAAGTTTCTGAATAAAGTCCAGCACTATGCATCTTAATGTCTTGCGAGGGCTACAGGGACCGTCACTGGCATATGGCCAATGTCCGCCTATTCAGCCACAAACAGTTGAAATATTAGCGCATGTGTATCCTTGAATAAACCTCATAACATCCATCTGATTATTGAATTAGCTGAATGATTATTAGCAAAGGCTCTTAAAAGGTTAAAAAAAAAAAAAAGGGCAGATGATCACAAGTTGTTTAGTACTAAAAGGGTTAATGGTGGCAGGATTCCTTACTTGCTATAACCCTTACTCTCCCACCTTAGAGATTAGTTTTTCTTCATTTGCATTAGCATCTCTAAACAAAAGGAGATTTCAGTTTCCTGTAATTACTCTTTTCAGATGTGTCTAATAGCATTTAAAATTTATCCTCAGGCCAAAAAAAAAAAAAACCTAGTCACAAATACACCATTCTCATGGGTATGTTCACTCCAAAGTGGTAAAAAACAAAAAAAAACACCATGTTTAATTTGTGTTATAAAACTACACCGTAATTAAACAGAAAGCTCTGACGTTAATTATTCTCAAAATGCTTTCCCCTCTTGCTCAGAGTGCAGGGACCAGGCACATTTTTCTCATTCTGAAGTCACAAATATTTCTATGCAGCTCAGATCAAATTTCTCTTGTAGAAAATTCAGCCTCCCTAACTTGGGCAGACAAAGACAGAAGAGAAGGGGGGGGGGGGCTTGTGTTCAACCTTTTAGGAGGCTCATAGTGGAAAGCCAGAAAGCACTGACACTGTTGTATGGGGTGCACAAAGAGGGTCATTTAAAGATCACAGCTGCCTGCAGCTCTTAGCTGTAAAACAGACTGCAAAAAGTAGTTGCAACAGATATTTCTGTCTCTTTTACAGATTAGACTATATACGGTATTATAGGGATGAACATTTTTCACACTTCTTCGGTGCTTCACTACTTTGAGGCTTCCTCAGTTCTCCATTTCTGGAGCAATTAATACTAAACGTATCATGTCTGTTTTAGCCATCCTCGGAGTTCCAGGGAATCCTCATAAGGCCAAGGGAAATCTGAATGTAAATGCTCTAGAATGTCAAGCTCCCATGCTATTCAATTTGGGTGATTTATCCTATTGTCACCAACAAAATGGTAGCCACTTTTGTTAGTTTACTTGCACGTGTGGTCCTGGTTACCTCCTGTTTTTACATCTAATGTTGTGTTGTCACTAAATGCCTAAATGAGTTGTTTACCCATATTACAACACAGTGGGAAGTGTTGGTGTTTTACAAGTAAAATTACTACAAGGCAGGGATTAGCAAGAGGCATTGAAACAATATTAAAGTTGTATGAACATATATAAAAAAAATCTTTAATATATATTTGTTCAGCAAATAGCAAATGTAGATGAACTGCAATACATAGGCAAAAAATATTAGTTAGTAAAAAAAATCTTTATTAGCCAAAATGTAGCTGTTGTGATGTAATTTTGTTGTTTTTTAAAAAAAAATAAAAAAATATTCCCAGTGTAAAGACAAAGTTGCAAACAGTGCACTCGGATAGTATAATACTGAAATTTTCTGTAGTACAGTAGACCAATGTGACCATAACAACACAAGAATGTGACAATAGAAAAGCAATGTAATGTTTTGTTTATTCTGTGTGTCCTGGAAATCTTAGACTTCATAGGTGTTAACAAGGCACTACTGTATTCTGGCCTACACAACATTAACATTTCTGTAGTGCTTAATGTACTTTATGAGGCCTGGCAGCAAAAATAATAAGCTGCCACAGAAAAAAAAATAAAAAAATTATATATTTTTTTTTTCTCATTAGATTACAACACAAGAATATATAGAGAACAGAATTTTGATCTTCATAAAAATGTAAATTTACAGATTCTGAAACCCAAAGACAGATGCTTAGAGGGTAATGGATCAGCTTGATAGAACCTATATGATTTTAAATGTTTCACTCAGAAATCAGATGCCCATTAACTACTGCTGGGTGACTCTTCCTCTTAGAAACTTACAAAAGGTGATCAAAACAAGATACAACAATAGTGTCAATCGTCCTCAAAAACAGCAAATAATTTAATAAACGCACTGACAAAATGGAATAGAATTCACAATATTAAGCATAAAAGCACTTGTGAATAATACGTAATTATAAGCTGTGGACTGTTGAAGACAGCTGCAATAATGTTCAACCAACCACACAGCTGGAATGCCAAAAGTTAGTCATCACTAGAGAAAGGAATATTGCTTGATATATAAAAAAAAAAGAATATATATATATATATATATATATATATATTTTAGAATCATTAGGGGTGGGCAACACAACCAAAACAAATATCTATAGCAGCAGCATATAGATGTACATATGCTGTGAAGTCTACCAGCATGCTGAGGATCCAAATACTGACGATGAACATTAAGGTTGCCTAACAAAGCAACACAGGATTTTTACAATATTCTTGTAATTTACTGAAATAAAAGCACTGCGTGTGTAATTACATTTATTGTTATAATACAAAAGGATATACTATTCCATTTTAACAGTTATTACAATGCACCAGTGACAGATTATTGACAAGCATAAATAGCAGGCCTTGGTAGAACTGCAAATGATCTGGAAAAGAACATGCCCAGATCATTCTAAATTCCACATGGAATCAACTAACAGCAGGTGACAACATTTCGAATAGACTTGGACCAACAGATCAATCTTTTCCTTATCTAAAATAAAGCTAATCAATTAAAGAAAGAGCAAGCTAAGTGTAATTGAAGAGCTGCAATCACCATATGGGACAGTTCGATAGTCTGAAGAACCCCTGAGGTGTGCCTTCTAACAGACTTTGTACCCAAAGATAGATCACAAAAGGATTGCATTTACTAGCTAGAAAATTGTGGCAAGAAAATGTACATAAAAAAAAACTGGACAGAAGGAACACATTCAAATCTTATTGTGGCCTTAATTTTGCAAGTTATGTCTCAGTTTCAAAATTAATACTCATATACATTGTGTTTTAAAAATAAAATTACATGTTTTAGTACCTGTGTTTAAGAAACCTAACTGTTGAAAAAAAAAAAAAAAAAGTTTGAAAGGCTTAAATGTTAAGCATCACTTTTAACCCATGTAATGCATTATTCATACAGCCAACCAATAAATAGCTCAAGTGGCAGTTAAAGGGTTACACGGATGCACTCTAAATGCTTAACCCATTATCTTTCATAGGTCTGCTGCTCCAATTACCAGCACAGTAACTTGTCTAAGTCTGTTCCTCCAAATGCCAGCCACTTAACTATGCAAAAGGAGCTAGATGAAGATTTCTGCATAAGTTGTATTTGTGCTGTAACTGTACACACTCTAAATGTATGTGTAAGATGCACACTACACACATTACTTTGCCAGGTACTATAAAGCATTTGTAACAAAGCAAAAGAAAGTTGTAAAGAGGGAGGAGCATTAAACACATGCTTAAGCTCAGCTAACAATGTATTCTGGAAAAGGCAGCAAAATATATCAAAGTTCGCGCAAAGGTCCAAAATATGTTGTTCCCCCTCCCCTATTATTCACAATGCTGTCTTAGGGTGCTGAGAGTTGTAGTCCAGCAAGAGTTTCAGTTTGCCAAATGCCTTTCCAGCAGTCACTGCTCTTGGATGACTGAATCCAAACCAACCCCTTATTTCCTGTGCTTCTGAGTCACTCAAGAGCTGCCTCAGGGGCTTAGCACACAGGCAAATTCTCTACTGGTTTTCCTTTCTTACCTGGCTCCTGAGCCAGTAATAGGAGGGGGAGGATCAGCCTCACTTATAATGAATCACCATACACTTCATCACCATCTACATTGTTACTAACAAGTAGTGATACTGTACATAGTGACAACCTCCTCAAAGTAGTGGGGCAAGTCACTGACATTCAGCAGACTGATTTACAGCAATGATTTCTACTCTTTGGCATGGCATTCCAGGTGTTCTAAACTCTGGAACTCCAGTTTCCTCGTATCTCCACATTCTCAGGCAGACTGGCCCAGCATCATGCAATACTTCATGCCAACATGCATTGCCCTCACTGGCTTAATACAGGGTACTTGTCTCATAGAGTAACTCTATTCTTTGTCAAATAACAGTGATGACTGACTTTGGCACCCCAAAGTGCTGTACATGTAGGGTAATTCACAAACATCTGAGGTGCCTAAGTCTTCTACAGAAAGAGTTAAGAACCCAAAATACAAAACACACAAACTACTAACTCTTATATTTCCAGTCTTCTTAAAACTCTGCTATCTGCCTGTAAGATCATATGCCCACGTGAGATCCCCTGCTAAATCCAATGCAAAACCAAAATTCTACATTGCCCCATGGGTCTCTTGTTAAGTCAATTCCCATCCAAATCCTTATAGCCCAACGAAACCCCCACTTAAAAATCAATGCCCATTGCAGTCCATGATGTCTTAAGTGAATCCCTGCTACACCAATGCCCATTCAAGCCCTATAACCCCCATGAAATTCCCTATTAAACTAATGCCCACCCAATCCACTATTGCCCCCAAGATTCCTTTACTGAAACCATTGCCAACCCAATTCCACATTGCCCCCAGGAATCCCCTCACTGAGTGCTCACTCACCATTGATTTCATGGTAGGGTGCATCGTTTTGGTTGAAACCCTTGGAAATATAAAGTCTCCGGACCTCCACGCAACTTTTAGTCTTGAGATCAGCCCAGGCAGGGAGGCTGCATACTGCTAGAGTGCAAACCAGCAGGAGGGGGGCAGCCATCCGGAGCATGGTGAGTGAACCAAGGCAAGGTGGACACACACAAAGGGTTCGAGGGAACGGGGCAGGGGGGAGTCCCGTGAACTGCTACAAGGCGTACCGGGAGTTATACAGAGGGTGAGTATCAGATAAGCAATGCCCACTGGCTGTCCCCTGGGCTGGCTCGCTCTCTGGTTTGCTAGCTGTGGCTCACACCGGCGACCTTTACTTGCCAGGAGAAGTTTGCAAAGTGCTGTTGGAGCCGTGGCTCTGCCCCTGCTGCCGCCTCCTGAGTGATTGGCCGCAGCGCTGCTCGCTTGCCCCCCTCCTCCTCCTGTTTCCTCCTCCCAGTCTGTGTCCGGGGCGCACTCAGCATGGAGCCAGCACAGGGCGCGCAGGAAAACCAGGCGCATGGAACGCGCATGGAATGTTGGACTGGGAGAAAGCGAGCGAGAGAGAGAGCGCTCTGATTAACCCTTACTGTGCTAATCTACCTAAATCCCCCCTCCACACCTCCAGCGTGCTGTGTGTCAGCAAGCACTCACTGTGAGCGCTGGATAGGGTTGCTAGGGATATCTCCAGGGAATTGCACATTTAATTAGAGCCAAGTTGGAAATACAGCTCACTTTGGATAATGTTTTGGCTATTCAGCTATATATATATATTTTTTTAGACAATTCTCAGTTTACAAATAACCCAGTGACTCGTTTCAGAAGTACGGACACAGTCCAGGCTTTCCAACAGTACTTGGGGTGTGTGTATTTGCTTATGGAAAAGTGTGTAATGTATGATTATTTGTTATTTTAATTAATTTGATTAGGTGCCCATGTAGTCAAAAGAAGTATACCTTTTTTTTTTTTTTTTTTTTTTAATTAACCCTAATGCTAGTTGAGCTCTGCAGAAGTTGTAGTTAACAGCAGCTGTAGTACAATAAGTTGGCCATCTCACATTAGTGTAAATATAGACATTAAGGCTGCAGGGCATATGAACAGTCCCAGATTCAGCAGGACAGCATGAGCCCATCTTTAGATACATTGTGCAGAGTAAACTCAATTCACCCTCTTTTTTTTGGGATGGTCCCTCCCACGCCTTGCCATCATCATATCCCCTCTTGTCCAGTTCCACCCACATTCATACCTCCCAGTATTAGGAAGCATACCTTCTTCTTGGATTGTTTAATTTTTATATATTATTATTTTATTATTTACATAGCGCCATCAGATATCGTAGCGCTGTACAATGGGATAATGAATACTACACTATCTGCTCTTATTTCAACAAACAGATCATCATGTGTTCAAGTCTCATACGGAACGGAGAGTGAGGCCACAGCTGCCACGCCGTGATGTAAAAACATTTTTCATGGTTTGTCTCTGAACCGTGCAGTCCCCGGACGAAAGCATCCCAGCCTTCCCTAGACTAATAGGAGTTATTTTCACAGGCAGCGGGAGCCATTGATTCATACACGTTCACACTAATAATATGCTGGGAGCAGAATTTGGAAGAGAGAGAATCACACTCAGAGGTTTAGTCACTAGACACAGAATGTACTGAATACCAATTTGAGAAATTTAGGCAAATCGACTAAATTCCCCAATTTAGCTACAGCCACAGCTTTGTTATCTCAGCCTAAAATTTTAAATCACATTTTCAGTTCACAGCAGCTCAGAGTTTAGTTATGCAGGGTCAGGCCCTGAGTGGCCATCAGAGGGCTCAGGGACGTTGCTATGTAGCAATAACACCAAGGATGCCAGCCTCTTTTATGGCCACATATAGACTTAGGCCCCTACTCAGAACCTGCCCTATATCATGCCCTTTATCCAACCAAGTTCTCAGTACTTACCAAGTAAATATCGACTGGGCTATCAGTAACACTCACCACAAAGCTCATGGCACATCTCTGTGAGGCAATACAAATATCTCTTCTCATTTGACATACTCCCTGACACCTCTATTTATTTTCCACACTTTTCCACTGCCACCTCCATATATTTGCCCTGACTGCAATTTCGGTGTTTGCGCCACTAATTATTTTCCTAGTTAAAACACTCTTCCCTGCTACTTCCATTGTTGTTACAATTATTATTTATAAAGCACCAATAAATTCTGCAGGACTGTACTATAGATGGACTAACAGACAAGTGTTTGCACAAATACAAATTGGATGCCCAGGAACAGAGGGTGCTGGGGGCCCTGCTCAAATGAGCTTCCATTATAAGGGGAGTGGGGTAATGTGGCACAAGAGGTAAGGGTAAGATATATTTTTATGTAATCGAAAACTAGGTTGCTAGAGGAGTTTATACATTTTTTTGCAGGAGAGGAAGTAAGGTGGGATAATAAGGTGTTTGGAGGGAAAGCTATTGACAATTTAATTGATATGCTTTCCTGAGTTTTCAATTTATTTTGGAGACTGAGTAAGAGTCTAACAGAGAAGGGAAGGCAGTTCCATAGGAACATTGCAGCCCTAGAGAAGGTGGGTATCAGAGGTGCAAGTACAAAAAGTTGATAGACACAGGTCTTCGGCAGAGTGTAGGGACATGGATGGGACATACTTGTGTGTTAGTGAGAATAGGAAGGAGGAGTGTTATGTATTGATTTTTAAGCAATTGCCAGAATTTTAAATTGAGCTCTAAATTTTAAAGGAAGTCAGTGTAAGGACTGGCAGAGGTGGTAGTGTGAGAGATGCATCAGGACAGGACGAGCCTCGCCGCTGCATTCATTATAGACTGTAACTAGGCAAGCTGGAAACGCGTAAGACCAATGCTAAGCAGATTTCAGTAGTCAAGGCAGGAGAAGATAGCAGCATGAACTGGCACTTTAGTCACACCTCGTGTTAGATAGGGGTGGATACAAGCTATGTTTTTTTAGATGGAAGAGGCAGGATTTGGTGATTGACTGGAAATGAGGGGTGCCCCTTCTGCTCTTCCTGTCAATCAGTGCTTTGGCATAGAGTCCGAATTGATTGACAGCTGAGAGAAAAAAACTATTTTAAATAGGTATCTCTCCTAATCTTTAAATTTGCTAGCAAAACTGCTAGCATACTGTATACATGAAATGTCATGTTTTTTCAAAGAGCATTAGTAGTTCTTTTTTTTGTTTGGGTGGCTGGGGGGTGGGGGGGAGAAGGTTCATTTTAAGGGCCCAATGCAGGTACAAGTTTAGCCCCCCTTCAGTCTTCACATAGAGATGGTAAATGGGGCCAAGCCAATTCATAGTTCCAGGGCCCCTGCCTAACTCATGGGCTCTAGATGGCTGCATAAGGTCACCTTGTGATTTTTTTGTTATTGTGTAGGTAGTTAACTAGGTGATTGGAGATCACCTAGGAGAGGTACCTTAGTGGTGGTGATATTACTGTGTGAATATTGAAAGCACCTCCTTTTGTGGTATTTTAAAATGGTGACTTAATAAACTCCCCCAAATGACACAGTATCAGCATACATAATACCCTACTTATAGAGTATATGCCTAAATATAACCAGAAGGAAAGCAAAGGATAGATTTACTTTTTAACTGTCTAGGTAATGGCCATGCTGAATTATATACGTACAATCAGGTGAAAAGATTCTTGCTAGTCGATGAACTAATCTAGATGAAGGGTTAGAGAAGATTCCTTTAATGAGGACATTAACCAAGTCAGAAATACTAAAACATAGGATAAGTGATAAACAAGCCAATTCAATACTATATGTTAGGTACTAAGGAAAGCACTATCTGGCCATATATTAACCAACTCTCAGAGAGCCTGGCTTATTAAGAAGCAGATAATGGCATAATTAACCTGCATCAAATCTTCGTCTACAGAACGTGAGAGACAGAGGAAGAACTAGTCACAAAATGACACAAGTCTTGGATTAGATAAATAAAAGTGGACAAGTAGCGTCTTGCATAAGAAACAATGCTGAAATTAGTCATCAGACATGGATGGAGTAATGCTGAGGAGTGAAAATGGACGACTCAACGTAAGAAATCAGAGGCATTATGACGCCACTGGTCCATTGACCCAGAAATACTTAGCAACTATATTGTATATATTCTAACTGTGGTCCTTCAACCCATACATCATGATAAAACTGTGTCAATATGAGATGCCTGTATTTCAGAGACATAATTGTACTCACATTTGGGATATTTCCTACGTACACCCAATACATACTAGCCTGCTTAAAACCCACTACTCTTCCTATATGTTGTGGTAATTTTCTTCCATTGAAACTGTCCCTGGCCAGTTGTTTAGCTGTGTCACCCCTCTGTGCGGTGTTTGGAGAAGATGATGATGACTGGGCTGCAAAGCAGTTGGAAATTGTGGTTCATGATTGTGCACACAATAATGTGGGGCATGAAACAAAGGGCAGTTCGGTGCTTGCAAAAATTGACTGAATACTTTGTCACCATGCTGTCAATTACTGAGACCAGAGTGGCACAGATCTGTCTAGGCCTTCTTCCAATGAAGAATCAAAGTAACACAAAAAGCCAGTGGGCCTATGGGCCAGTGGTGGAAATGATGTAGAGAGGGCTGTGGTGCAAGACATTTTTCTGCCTCCCCCCTTTTCCACATCTCCACCAGTGCAAGGGTGGCCAAAAGGAAGATTCCCATCTGTCGTACAACTCCCGCGATTTGTTGCCAGCTGGGTATCCGCAATTTGCCTAGCCCTGCAGGTTTTATTTGTGGGCAGTGTTTGTTTGTTTAAATGTAAGCACGTGTTTGTATGGAGTATATGTGTGTGTGTTTGAACATAGGTTTCTATTTGTGTGTAGTGTTGGCATTTGAATGCAGTTGTGCCTGTATGTACCGTTGCCACTTGAAAACAGTGTGTAGTGTGTTTAAACACAGGAGTGTTTTGTATGTAGTGTTGGCGATTGATTGTAACAGTGTGTTTGTATGTAGTGTGTGCATTTGATGGCAGAGATGTTTTTGCATATAGTGTTGGTGTTTGGAAAGGTGTGTTTGTGTGCGAATGCTGTAATCTATGCACATATACACATATGCAGCCACACACACCGTGACACAGATGCACACTAACACACACAGATACCCACACACAGATACACATACATACTGACACACACAAGTCTCAATTTACATATTTCAGCCACCCCCTGTTTCAATACTTTTTGGGTGCAGGAGGGTGGCTACCTGGGCTGGCTGAAGCTGATGTCTACAGTGCACTCCCTCCTCTTTCTCTGTGCCTCCTCTGTGCTCCTAGCCCACGCAGTCTGTAAGCTGGGAGGAAGTGACAGATAGTCATTTCCTCCAGGTACTGGCTGTCGACATTAAAGGGACCTTCATTAGTTCCGCCTCTGCAATGGGCTACGACCGCCACCATTCTCAAACATGTACAATGGGGCTATTAACCCTTTGACAGTAATGGGTCAGCGTAATAGAATTGGTGATGTTTTTGGTTGAACTTGGGACAAAACTGGGGACTTACACCCATGTCCTACTACCACCATAAAACTACAATGGGCTGTAATGGTAGTAGGACTAGACTATGCCTTA